CCCGGCTCTCCCGCCGCCGAGGAAGGACAGGCCTCGGGCCAGGCGGCCCTCCCCGACCCCGGTTCACCCCTCCTGGCCGGCTGCCCCTCCGAGCCCGCAGTGCCCGTCCCGCCTGCTACCTCACGTCATTGGGATCGCGCCCGGTGAGCTTGCGGATATTCTCATCTACGTTCTTGAGGCTCTCTTTGGCCTTCTCTAGCTGCTCCTGCAAAGTTCTCACGGCGACCGCCATCTTCTCCCCGCAGCAGGCTTCGAGACTGCTCCACAGGCCGCGCCGGGGCTGCGCCGCGCCGAGAGACGCACGAGACGGACAGCCCGACTCGGCCAATGACGAGAGGCGTTGCTTTTCGGTCTTAACCACTCAGCGCCTGGAAGGGGGAGACACTGCCCGCCTTTGTAGCTCTGGACCAATGGGGAATCAGCCAGGCGGCCGCCCCCTCCCCACGGAGCTGCGGATGGCTGGGTCCCGCTTTAGCGCAAAGGCGGGGCGGGTTCGAGACTTGGGTCTTCAGGGCCGGGCCTGCAGGGCGGCGTGGTGACAGAGCAAGCCGTCTCTTCCACACCTTTTAAGCTGTAGTGCGACCGTCCTTCATACCATTTGAAAGATTAATCTCATCAGGGAGGGTCGGAGACGAGTCGGCTCGCCCTCCTCTCCCACCCGGGTGGGTAATTAAGAAAGGGCGTGACGGCGTGGTTGCCGCGCATGCCCAGAGATGAAGTGAGCGCCCTCCTCCTTTAAGTGGGTTGGGTGGAGGGGGATGAACCGAAGACTCCTATGGGCTGACACTTGTTAAGAACTGTGTGGACGCAGTGTGAAACTTTAAAAGCCTTACTCCTCAGCACCAAGAGCTTAGATACGAACCTCTTAAGACTGATAAGGAAATGAAGCCTGGAGATAGCATGATTGCAGCCTGTAAGGTGATGCCTGACACCGTGTCTGATCAGACCCACAAGTGTGTGCCAGAGAAAATCGGCTTCCGGTGCTGCATGCACTGCCAATTTGAGAAATGTACCAAGAGTAGCTCAGAAAACTTCTTCACCGAAACATGAGTAATCTTAGATAGCTATCATAGGATGGCTATTCGTAGGCTGAATGTATTTGCTTTGAACCACCATTTTTATTTCATGTACCTTTTCAAATTTTCCTGGTCTGTAACAGCAGTAAGTTAGACTTGGAGGCGGGGTGCGGGTGGGGATTTCTTAACACAACGTCGTTGAAGCTCTGGGTTTTGTGAACTATTTCATCACCAATTATTTACTGATACGCCAAACATATTCTAGGCACTTTGGATAATACAACGTGCAATATAGGGTTCTGAAGGAACTTCCAGGAAGGAAGAGTGTGGAAATATATATTAAAAGTAAGTTTATGTGGGCCCAGCGGCATGGTCTAGTGGCTAAAGTGCTCGCCTTGAACGTACCGGGATCCCATATGGCGCCGGTTCTAATCCCAGCAGCTCCACTTCCCTTCCAGCTCCCTGCTTGTGGCCTGGGAAAGCAGCTGAGGACAGCCCAAAGCTTTGGGATCCTGCAACCATGTGGGAGACCTGGAGGAAGCTCCTTGCTCCTGGTTTCCAATTGTCTCAGCTCTGACCATTGCAGCCATTTGGTGGAGTGAATTAGATTTTTTTTCCCCTATTTCTGCTTCTATTTGGCTCCTGGCTGTGGATTGACACAGCACCGGCTGTTGCAGTTACTTGGGAAGTGAATCATCAGATGGAAGATCTTCCTCTCTGTCTCTCCTCCTCTCTGTATATCTAACTTTCCAATAAAAATAAATCTTTTTTTAAAAGTAAATTATATAGAGTGTTATAAAGAAGTGTTGTTGAAAGAAGAAAAATTGAGTATTATTTCTCTTTTATTTTTATTGAAAAGTCAGATCTACCGAGAGAAAGAGACCCAGAGAGGAATATCATCCTCTGGTTCACTCCCCAAGTAACTGCGACGGCCAGTCAGTGCTGAGCCAATCTGAAGCCAGGAGCCAGGAGTTTCTTTTTGCTCTCCCATGCAGGTGCAGGGTCCCATGGTTTTGTGCTGTCCTCTACTTTCCTAATCCACAAGCAAGGAGTTGAATGGGAAGTGGAGCAGCCGGGACACGAACCAGCACCCATATAGGGTGCTGGCAGATGCAAGGTAAGGCTTAGCAACTGAACCGTCGTCATCCTGGGCCCCTAGTTACTTTTTTTAAGTATTATTTATTGGACATGCAGTAAAATAGAGATCTTCTAAAATAGCTTCTCTTTTTGTTGTAGGGTTTTTTTTTTTTAAAGATTTATTTATTTTACTTATTTATTTTTTAAGATTTATTATTATTATTTTTTTTTATTGGAAAGGCAGATATACAGAGAGGAGAGACAGAGAGGAAGGTCTTCCGTCCGATGATTCACTCCCCAAGTGAGCACAACGGCCAGTGCTATGCCGATCCGAAGCCAGGAGCCTCTTCCGGGTCTCCCACGTGGGTGCAGGTTCCCAACGCCTTGGGCCGTCCTCGACTGCCTTCCCGGGCCACAGGCAGGGAGCTGGAAGGGAAGCAGGGCTGCCGGGATTAGAACCGGCGCCCACATGGGATCCCGGGCGTGCAAGGCGAGGACCTTTAACCACTTGCGCCACCGCGCCGGGCCCTGTTGTAGGGTTTTTGACTCCGAGTATGGCAGCAACCTCAATTGTTTTCTCGCAGGAAAGAAGAATTTTCGTGCGGACACAGTTTAGTTTTAAAGTAAGATTTATTAGAAAAAGTTGAGAAAGGAGACTCCCGTTCTAGTGACGGGAGGGGGCTTTGAGATGCTCTGCCATGGTGGCAGGAGGAAAAGTAAAAAAGACCGGTATCAATGGTGGGAAAAGCATCTTTTAAAGGTTTCCCTCAAAGATGTCTGTCCATAAACAAAGAAAATTCCTGGTTTCCATGGTACTGTGGACAAAAGGCCAGAAAGGTGTCACTGGCCAACTTCCTTGGTCCCTTTCTAATGATAAAGAGGCCAGTGTGAAGCCCTCCGGCTTAGCACTGGCTGGAGACACCATGGGGCTGAGGCTTCAGGTGGGGAATTGATATGTTAATATCGCCCTTGTCTCTTGGGGAAGCATTCCTGATAAGACATGCACTTGTCTCAGGAGAGACGTGCTCTGGTGAATCCAAGACATAGTGGGGAAAATACCCCTTTATATTTGACAAAAAAGTGACTTGGGGCCAGAATGCCCTAACTGCCTACTACCCAGTCTAACTCCTCTCACATTTTCGCTTTTTTTTTTTTTTTTTAAGATTTGCTTTTTTATTTCAAACGCAGAGCAACAGTGATAGGAAAGTCTCCCATCCACTGGTTCACTCCTCAAGTGGCTGCAACAACCAGGTCTGGGCTGAGGCAAAGCACAGAGCCCAGAACTTCATCCTGGTCTCCCACATGGGTAGCGGGACCCAGACACTTGGCTGTCCCAAGTGGATCAGAAGTAGAGCATCTGGGACTCGAACTGGAGCTCATACGGGGTGCCAGTGTTACAGCCAGGGACTTAATTTGCTGTGCCATTGAAGGAGAATATTTAGAATAGAGGTGTTCGATTTGGTTTTTTGCTTTCTGTATCTCGCTTGCTGAGAATAGCTGAATAGGACTTCTCTTGGTAAATGATTAAGTTCAATTGGGATTCAGGACACAAAATTCAACAGTGGCCCTGAGATAAGTATCTCAGGAGGAATCAAGGTAAAATCGTGAGGAGACAGAAAGTCCCTGACTTCTTCAAGGAGGCTCCAAAGGTCTGAGAAAGGCAAACTCGGTCTGAGAAAAGCAAACTCAAGGAAAATTGTGACAAGGAACTGAAAGAAACAGCAGTCTTATGATGTAATGGTCAGAAAAAAGCCCCTAGCTTTATGGTCTTAGCCTTTACCCCTTTGTACAAGTGATTTTAAAATGCTGTGTAAGTAATTTTGGCCTATAAAAAATGTTGTGTAATGGCTCACTGCTGGTGTGTCTGCCCTCCTGCGTGAGGAACTGGCTCCAGCCCCAGCGCGCTGGTACCCGAATAAAACCTCACGCTTTTGCATCAAGCCTCATCTTCGTTGATCATTGGGGAGACTCACTTTCTCGAGTAAGTCGGTAAGGCTGTCCTCACTTCGTGCGGCCTTACACCATAAAGCTTTCCCCACAGACCTCAGTCTTGAACTCAGACACAGATAATGTGGGTGTCCCAAATGTTTACCACCTATTATTTATTTATTTATTTCTGGGATTACAACTTTACACAAGAGACTGGGACAGAGTTCTGGCTTTTCAGGAGGCCGACAGAAAGTCCTTTTTTTTTTTTTTTTAAAGATCTATTTTTATTGGAAAGGCAGATATACAGAGAGGAGGAGAGACAGAGAGGAAGATCTTCGGTCTGATTATGGTTCACTCCACAAGCAGTGACAAAGGCCGGTGCTGTGCCCATCCGAAGCCAGGAGTCAGGAACCTCCTCCAGGTCTCCCATGCGGGTGTTGGGTCCCAAGGCTTTGGGCCATCCTAAACTGCATTCCCAAGGAGCTGGATGGGAAGCGGGGCAGCCGGGATTAGAACCGGTTCAAGGCGAGGAGTTTTAGCCGCCACGCTATCGCGCCGGGCCGACAGAAAGTCTTACTGCCTTCATTTGTATAGCTAATTACCGCGGGGAGAGCAGCTGGCGAACCCTGTCTTCCTGCACCCTCAACCATCACCCCGGCAGTCCGGCGGGAGCCGCTTTCCTCGTGTCCCGGTGCACCGGGAGGAGCTCCATGACCATAGAGCTGGTGGAATGCCGGGCTAGAGGCGACCGGAAACCGCTTCTCCGCCCCCCACCCCGGGCCGGAACGGGTCTCCGCGGGCTTCGGGTCTCCTAGGCAGCCTGTCGGGTTCGGCCCCGGGGCGGTACCCCGAGTAGGGGTCCTCCGTCAGTACCGGCCTTGTGAAGCCAGCCCGATCTCCTAGCAGCCAGGCGCCGAGGGAGCCGGGGGAGCCGGGGGAGCCGGGGGAGCCGGGGGAGCCGGGGGAGCCGGGGGAGCCGGGGGAGCCGGGGAGCCGGGGGAGCCGGGATCGGGCCGTGCTGCTCTGCTGAGGGCCAGTTCCCCGGGCCCTACCCAAACTAGAGCCCAAACCCGGAGCTTGGAAGAATAAGCAAGACATGGCGGACGAGGCGTTGTTTTTGCTGCTGCATAACGAGATAGTGTCCGGAGTGTACAAGTCCGCGGAGCAGGGGGAGGTGGTGAGTGCTGCCACAGCGCCCTTGAGCTCTTCTTGCGTCCTCTCAAGCTCTTTCACCTACGTTCTTTCCTTCAGCCCCTGCTGTCGCCCTCAGCATCTCGGGGTGTGACCTGTCCCCTCCTCAGCTGCCTCCTCTGGCATCCTACCTTCCTTCCTTTCCTCTGGTGTCTGTCTGCCTGTCTGCCTGTCTTTCTCTGTCTCTCTTTTTTTTTTTTTTCTGGCCGTCTTGCAAGCCGGAGATCGTCTCTGTTTAGTATCTGCTGCTGTGATTTTTGGTGGGGTGGAATGCAGACCCCTTGGCAAGTTTGGCCGGCAGTTACAGCACTCCCGAGCCTCCCTCACTGGACAGGCCTGTCCCGGCGGAGAGTCTGTCCTTCCTTCCCCCTTGCAGTTCCACTCCACACGACTCCAGGGCAGAAAAGCTCAGTGAGGTCTGAGGTCGGAGCCTAGGGAAGTAGCCGGCGGTAACCATACTGTGAAGACAGGCTTTAAATACAGAAACTATCCACTGGTCTAGAGCTGCTTTACAGAGCTGAGGATAAAGTAGTGCTCTATCCTTATGAAAGTGACTTTGCAGTGTTTGGGGTAGGAATATGTTGTGTATTGGGTGTGAATTAGGTGTAGAATTACAGCGGTCTCACGGATTTTATAACTGAGGTATCCCAAAGTCATGCTCGAGTCACAAACCATTCTCTAGTACTGCTGATGGAGATGGGTGGAGGCTGGGAGATGGGGAATAGGAAAAGCCCTGTAGGAACGTGAAAGACATAAAGTACCAAAGTGGTGGATCTAGCAAATACACCGAAGTGTTTCATTGTGACTGTGGAAAGCATGGTAAGTGAAAAGAATTGGCAGCTCTAGAGGGAAACAGCTCAGATGATTGGACCATTCTCAGAGGCTTTTTAAGGGGCGGGGACAATGTGACCTGTTCACATTTCAGAAAGATGCTTTAGTGTTTGCGTTAGAGAAAGAAGTTGCTTCTTCATAGTAACACCCATTATTGCAAGAATTACAGCAGGAGATGGTCTGAATTAAAACCAGAATAGTAAGGAGAGAACAGTTTGACAGGTAGTAGAATCTGCAGGCCTTGAGTAAGTATGGAAGGGAGAGTGGAAAGTCAGCAAGAATGTCAGAAATGGAGGAAATTCAATGCCTTGTAACAGTTTTTTTTCCTTTCTTTTTTTTTTTTTTTTGTAAGATTTATTTTCATTGGAAAGGCAGATCTACAGAGAGGAGGAAAGACAGAAAGATCTTCGCTCCATTAGTTCACTCCCCAAATGGCTGCAACAGTCAGAGCTGAGCTGATCTAAAGCCAGAAGCCAGGAGCATGTTCTGGGTCTTCCATGTGGGTGCAGGGTCCCAAGGCCTTGGATCATCTTCTGCTTTCCCAGGACACAAGCAGGGAGCTGGATGGAAAGGAAATGGAGCAGCTGGGATATGAACCGGTGCCCATATGGGATGTTTATCCTTGCAGGTGGGAGGATAAGCCCAAATAAGCCATTGTGTCAGCCCCTCCTTATAATTTTTTTTAAAATATCATTTGATTTGAAGAGGCAGACCTAATTTGTATTCCATTGGTTCATGTCCCAACAGCAGACTGGACCTAGCCTAAGACTGGAACCTGGCACATAATCGAAGCTTCCTACTAGGAATCAGAGACCTAAAGTATTTGAACCATCACCTCCTTGCTGTTCACTCCCTGCCCCTCACGGATTCCCATCCCACCTCACCCTCTACCATGCATTACACGAAGCTGAAATTACAAGCGGGGCTGGGACTCAAACCTGGGTACTCTGGCAAGGGATGCTGCGTGTTTAAAATGGTGTCTTAACCACTATGCCAAATGCCACATACAGATTTGTGCTTCATTTGAGGATTTTGTGGGCTCTCTTGATGACTCTGTCTGGTCAGTAAGTATGAGAAATACAGAATGAGTGGGCATGGGCTCATAATTGGAATGCATTTCCTTGGAAGAAAGTTGAGCAAATAATGAAGCCTTTAGTTTACTGCTTAGTGTAAATCAGTTGGGCTTCAGAAGATATAAATAGGGCCTGGCATGGTAGCGTAACGGCTAAAGTCCTTGCCTTGCACGCACTGGTATCCCATATGGACGACAGTTCTAATCCCGACAGTCCCGCTTCCCATTCAGCTTCCTGCTTGTGTCAAGGGAAAGCAGTTCAGGACAGTTCGAAGCCTTGGGACCCTGCACCCACATGGGAAACTGGGAAGAGGCTGTGGGCCCCTGGCTTCAGATTGCCTCAGCTCCGACCATTGTAGCCACTTGGGGAGTGAATCAACTTATGAAGGATTTTGCTCTTTTTTATTTGTTTGTTTTTTCTTTTCTCTCTGTCTTTCCTCTTCTCTGTATGTCTGACTTTCCAATAAAAATAAATACATCTTTATTTTAAGAAAAAAATAAAATATTAAACCTGTATTAAATGGTCAAAGATGGGTCTCAATACAGTTACTGAGTGGCTAAATGCTTGTCTTACAAGTGCTAGGATGTCATATAGGTGCCAGTTCATGTCTCAGCTACTCCACTACTTCCATCCAACTCCCTGCTTGAGGCCTGGGAAAGTAGTAGAGTATGGCCCAAGGATTGGGACCTTGTACTCACTCAGATACCTGGAAGAAGCTCCTGGCTCCTGGCTTTGGATCAATTCAGCCTTAGCAATTGCGGCTACTTGGGGAGTGACCCGGTGGACAGAAAATCTTTCTATCTCCTTCTCTCTATATAAATCTGTCTTTTCAATAAAAAATAAATACATAAAACTATATATGTATATATATAGAAAGATGAAATGACTTAAAAATGAAAGTGTAGGGCCTGGTGTGGTAGCCTAATGGCTTAAGTCCTCACCTTGCACTCGCCAGGATTCCCTTTAGGCACCACTTTTAATCCCAGCAGCCCTGCTTCCCATCCAGCTCCCTGCCTGTGGCCTGGGAAAGCAGTCAAGGACGGCCCAAAGCCTTGGGACCCTGCTCCCACATGGGAGAACGGGAAGAGGCTTCTGGCTCCTGCCTTTGGGTCAGCGCATCTCTGACTGTTGCAGCCACTTGGGGAGTGAACCATTGAACGGAAGATGTTCCTCTCTGTCTCTCCTTCTCTTTGTGTATCTGACTTTGCAATAAAACAAAGTAAAATAAAATAAATCTTTTTTTAAAAAAGTGTAAATAGAAAAAAATGGTGAAAGCCATTTTAAAGACCCAACCCTTGGGACATCTTCTACTTCTTTACCAGGTGTGTTAGGGATCTGGATCCGAAATAGGGCAGCCAGGTTAGAGCCAGTAACCATGGGGGACGCCAGCATTGTAGGCAGCAGCTTAACTTGCTGTATCATAATGCTGAACCCAAAAATTGTTTCTTAAAATAAGATTTGTTTACTTGTTTGAAAGGCAAAATTAGAGAAGGAAAAAGAGAAACTTCACATGGCCCAGACAGGCTGAAGCCAGGAGTCTGGAATTCCATTTAGGTCTCCGATGAGGGCCGCAGCAGCCTAAGTACGGGAGTCATCTGCTGCTGCTTCCCTGGGTGTGTTAGCAGAGAGCTGGGTCAGAAATGGGGCGGCAGGGACTAAAACAGGTGCCCATATGGGTTGTTGGTGTCCCAGGTTGCAGCCTAACATTGCTAAGCCGTAGTGCTGGCTCCTAAAACAGATTCTGAGGCAATATTAAGTAGAAAAGTGACATATGACATCAGAATTCAGAGGGCTTAGTTAGAACACAGATACTGGTCTCACACCTACTGTTTCTGACTCACTGGGAGTGGTGAGGGGTTGAGGGACTAGTGAATGAATATTTTTAGCAAGTTCTAAGCTGTTGCTGTTGCTGGTCTAGGGACACACAGTCAGTAGGTAGAGAGCTGCTGAAGGGACATGACATGGCAGGCAATTTTAGCAAGAAGGTTAAAATGAGCTTCATTGGGATGGTGAGGAGAGTGAAGATTTGAAGTGAAGGATTTGGTTGTTGAGCTGCTGGAGGAGGAGCAGCTGATGCAGAAACCCTCAGGTTCCATGGCTGCTGCTGTGTTTAAGGGTCAGCAAGGAGACCAGAGCAGATGGGGTGGGGTGAGTGTAGCGAGTAGAGAGGTATGGGCCCGGCGCCGTGGCCTAGCAGCTAAAGTCCTCGCCTTGAACACACCTGGATCCCATATGGGCGCCGGTCCTAATCCCGCCCACTCCACTTCCCATCCAGCTCCCTGCTTGTGACTGGGAAAGCAGTTGAGGACAGCCCAAAGCCTTTGGGACCCTGCACCCCTGTGGGAGACCTAGAGGAAATTCCTGGCTCCTGGCTTCAGATTGGTGCAGCACCAGCCCTTGCGCTCACTTGTGGAGTGAATCATCGGACGGAAGATCTTCCTCTCTGTCTCTTCTCCTCTCTGTGTATCTGACTTTCCAATAAAAATAAATAAATCTTAAAAAAAAAAACAGCCTCCCTGACTCTAAGAACATATAACCAAATGCAGGATTCTTAACGATGTAGAAACATTAGGGGTTGGTACAAGGGGAGTGTGTCACACTAATCCTCAAAAAAGGAAAAAAAAAAAAACCAAGTAGAGAGGTGTGGGAAGTGTGGAGCTTTGAGCTTAGGGTTAGTGTAAAGACAGTGGCGGATGGAAGCAGATCCGGTGACCGGGTTTTGTAACATAGGAGAGAAGAGCCTTTCGGAAGAGTCATTGGTACTCCTTCAAAGTAATCATGACAGATTAGTAGTTTGTGAGAAAACTTATGACTAAGTCACTTTTTCATTAAAATGCTAGTTTCAAAATCTGAATATTTACATTCACATTTAGCCAATATTTTAAGTTTTCAGATGCTAATGTCTTGGCTTTCTAGAAGATTTCAAAACTTATTTCTTAAAATAGGAAAATGGACGGTGTATAACTAAGCTGGAAAACATGGGCTTTCGAGTGGGACAAGGATTGATAGAAAGGTGAGCAGTATGGATTTGAAAATTTTCTTCCAGGTAGGTTATGAACAAAGATGACCCATTTCAAAAGCTTGCATTACCCTGAGATAGTGCAGCTTTAATTTCTGAATTTTAATTTTTGTCTTTACTTCATTGAATAAAATTTGTTTTTAGTTCTGATTCTATTTTAATTTAGTTATTAGAATGTTGTTTTCATATTTGAAAGTAATGCTTTATCTAGATTTTTCTCCCGTGAAAACAAAACACTATCCAAAAAAGTCTCATTGCATTTCCTACTGAGTCTAGTGGGCTCTTTAAAAATTCATGATTGTAATTTTGTTTAAGTGCATATGGATTAAAATTAGATTCAGTGTTTATGTATTAAATAATCTTTGTGGATCATTTATTTTTACTATCCCTTTCTCATTATCTGAATAGTTAAATTATGATTATATTTTGTACATAACTATGATCATGATTAGCTCTTTATTTTCTATATCCTAGAAGGAATTGTACCTGAAATTTTGGCTCTGTTGTTGAATCAATAAACTCTTAATTTCAGACCCCAAAATTAGAGAGCAGAATATGATTGCACTGAGATGCGGACGTACATTTTTTTCTTACTTCATGAATGTTCACTGATGTTCTGGCATGTGGAAAGTATTTGATAATTTGCCCTTTTTGCTTCCTTTGGAGAAAAAGCACTCTTACTTTTAGCTGATCTCTTTAGGTTCACAAAAGATACTGCAAGGTTCAAGGATGAGTTAGACATCATGAAATTCGTTTGTAAAGATTTTTGGACTACAGTATTCAAGAAACAAATTGACAATTTAAGGACAAATCATCAGGTATTTAGATAAATTAAGGCCTGTTTGAAAAAACTATTGAACTTAATATAAATGTCTCATTTTAGTAATTTAGCTATTTAAAACTTAAAATAATTTCTGACTAACTCTGGACTTTTTTTCTCTTTCCAAAGATTATTTATTAATTGCAAACTTGGACTAGAACTTTTCCCCACATTCTATATAGGAATGATGGATAACAAAATGCAATGTTTCTTAAATCATTAATTTTTCTCTTTAGTAGGGTGAAGTCAATAAAGTATTTCCTACAATTATATAAGTGATGTTCAGCTTTGAAAAGTAACAAATGTTAGAGTGATATTTGGTTTACAATTTGATTTCTTAGTCATTTGTACTGAGTAGTGGTATTGTGGAGAACCACTATATATTATTACATTTATGTCTTTATATTAATTACTAAAATTTAATTTATTTTCTTTTCAAATATTTTGTTAATATAGATTCAGTAGATCGCATAGAAAGTGGTTCATTTGATAATTGGTTTTGTAAGCCTCAAAGAATACTTAGAGTAGACTTGGCATTTGAACTATAAAATAGGAAGACAATTGATCTAACATTCCAATTCATTTTTTTCTTACAACAATACAAATCTTATGTTTTTAATTACTTGGATTGGGAAAAAGTGACTATTCATTGACCTTCTAAACATAATTCAATAATCTGATTTCAAATGAACATGCATTAATGATTCCTTTGTACAAAACTGAAAAAGGAAAAAGGAAAAAGACTCTCATGTGCATCTTGATGTATTTAGTGTATAACAAATGTTAGTGCTATGAAATACTGAAGTTACAAATCTGCTCTGAGCTGAACAGAACATCTTAGAATGCTGTCCTTTAAAGAAAATTTGACCAAGGAAATTAACAATTTTGAATGTTTTTCTAAAACTCTTATTGTGGAGATAAATTTAATTATGTTGACATGGATCCTTTTCCTATTTTGGATCAGGGCATCTATGTGCTTCAAGACAACAAATTCCGTTTGCTAACTCAGATGTCTGCAGGAAAACAGTATTTAGAACATGCATCTAAGGTATTTCATGAAATAGAAGATTTGGATTTTCTGTGAAAAGGAAAAATACTACACTAATAATAACAAGCTTGAATTAAAAATAGGTTGTAAAGCTTAGAATTGTTTCTTACAAGACAGAAGACATATCCATTGTATTAAACTGTACTATATGGGTTTATAGTGACCAATGAAAGAGTTGCTACAGCTAAATGCTACTATAATGTAGATATACGACAGATTGTTGAAAATAGCATAGCTATATTGGTTAAAAACACCAAAGTACAAAGCTGGTATTAGTTATGCAAAATTATTTACCTCAGAGTTTATGATTTGTAGATTTAAAGAATAAGTTTTATATCAACCTTTTTTTTTTTTTATAAGAATACCTGTTTTGGGCCTGGCAATAACCTAGTGATTAAATCCTCACCTTGAATTTGATGGGATCACATATGGGAACTGGTTTGTGTTCCAACTGCTGCATTTCCCATCCAGCTCCCTGCTTGTGGACTCAGAAAGCAGTAGAGGATGGTGCAAAGCCTTGACCTGCACCTGTGTGCGAGACCTGGGGGAAAAAGCTGTTAGGGAGTGAACCAGCACAGAAGATCTTTCTCTCTGTATCTCCTCTGTGTATCTGCCTTTAAAATAAAATAAATCTTATAAAGAATACATGCTTTATTCTAGGTATGTCTATATTGTATGACTTAATATAATTTTTGATTTTTAATTTCCTGTAATAGACAATGACTAGTTTACAAAGTTGACAGATTTTAGAGTCAATGTGGCAGAATAGGGTAAGGACATGTTTAAGCAGACAGAAATGGCTAGAGTGAAGCAGAGAGGGCACATTCCAGGAAATAGGAGAGGATAGAACAACAGCAGAGGGGTACCTGGAGACCGACAGACACAGGAAAGCAGAGGACACAACACTGTGGTGTTGCAGTGACTGATACTCCAGCCCAGCGATCTGAACTCCACCTGCAACAAGGTGGGAAGCACATTCAGCAGAAGCTCAGGTGATGAACCCAAAGAACTGCCCGTCCTGCGGGTCTGTTTGATTCGACCAGCAGCAGAAACAGAGTGGCAGGTCCCAGATGGACAGTGTGGGGACAGGGTGGATTTCACAGCACAGTCACACCCTAGGGCCGAATCGGGTGCCATTTTGTATAGGAAGGAAAAGACTATGGGACAGGACTGCACATGGAGGACTATACTATAGTAACAGTCTAGGGGAATTCAGGGGTGGGTAGGTAGGGGACCTAGGGAAGGGTTTGGAAAATGTCAGGCCCTGTGGAAATGTATCATAAAATGATAATAATAATAAAAGTTTAAAAATGTTGACATATTTAAATGTAAAAATCCTTTGAAGTGATTAAGCTATCTTGGTCAAGTATAAACCTTTATTTATCTGTAAAAATTTATTTATACCTATATTATCTAACATAAAGGCAATATAGATGTAGATCATCAAGAACTTTGGTCTAAATAAATCTAGTGGGTTTTTTTTAAGGTTTATTTATTTTTTATTGGAATCTCAAATATACTGAGAAAAGAACAATGAAAGATCTTCTGTCTCCTGGTTCACTCCCCCAGTGGTTGCATTGGCCAGAGCTGAGCTGATCTGAAGTCAGGAGCCAGGACCCTCTTACAGGTCTCCTATGCAAGTGCAGGGTCCCAAGAGTTTGGAATGTCCTCTACTGCTTTCCCAGGCCACAAGCAGGGAGCTAGACGAGAAGTGGAACAGTCAGGATATGAACTAACACCCATATGGGATCTTGGCGCATGCAAGGCAAGGACTGTGGTTGCTAGGCTACTGCACTGGGCCCATTTACTTCAATTTTTAATTAAATATAGTTAGATTGTTAGTATGTAATTTTTCTCACTGCTTTACCCATTTTAATATTCTTGATCCTCCAGTTTTAAAACAGTATGCTATGGGCCTGTGGCACAGTTAGCTTGCGGAGTTGATAGGAAGGCTCAGCACACCAGCAGGAGCCATGTGAGGTTAGAGCAGGCAGAGACCTACTGCTCGGCATGGTGATTAGAGCCCATGGCACAGGTCAGTGATAGACATCGCTACTTTGGCTGTTGTCAAACCAGTTGGATTTTTAGGCTTGTTTGTGCCCCGTCCTGGATTCGGAGTCCTCACTGGCCAAGTTGGCATGTGTCCATGAGCGTTATTTGCTAAAAATATCCAAAACTCAGACTCTTCAGTAATTTAAAGTTTCTTTTTTGCAACTTTTTTTTTAAAAAGCAATAACTTATCGATAGTATGGTTTAAGGAAATGTCATATTTAGCAATACCTTCTTTGCTTTAGTAAATTTGTACTATTTTTAACAATTTTTTTTTCCTTTCAGTATTTAGCATTTACATGTGGCTTAATCAGAGGTGGCTTGTCAAACTTGGGGATAAAAAGTATTGTAACAGCTGAAGTTTCTTCAATGCCTGCCTGTAAGTTGAATCCACATTTCTTTTTTTCTTTTTTTTTTCTTTTAATTGGAAAGGAAGATATGTAGAAAGAAAAAATACAAATGTCTTCCATCCACTGGTTCACTCCTCAAATGGCCACAACGGCCAGAGGTTAGCTTATCTGAAGCCATGAGTGAGGGGCTTCTTCCTGGTCTCCCATGCAGGTGCAGGGTCCCAAAGCCTTCGATGGGCCAGCCTCTACTGCTTTCCCATGCTAAAAGCAGGGAGTTGGAGGGGAAGTGGAGCAAGACACAAATCAGCACCCATATGGGATCCCAGTGCTTGCAGGGCAAGGATTTGGTCATTGAGCCATTGCGCCAGGCCCAGGTGTATGTTTCTTATAAATGTTTTATTTTGAGGGTTCTTATAAATGTTTTATTTTGAAGGAGGCTTTTTTTTTAAACTTAGAGTAAACTAAAGATGCTAAAACTGTTTCATTTTAGTTTTACCAATTTAACATGTAGCATACCATACTCATTCAGTGATATTTATTTATTTATTTATTTTTATTTGAAAGGGGAATCCACAGAGAGAAGGAAAAAGAGAAAATGAGAGAGGAAGAAATCCTCCATCCACTGTTTGACTCCCCAGATGGCATGGCGGCTGGAACTGAGCTTTTTTGAAGCCAGGAGCCAGGAGCTTCTTCTGGCTCTCCCTCTGGGTGGCCTGGGCTAAACGCTTGGGCCATCTTCTGTTCTCACAGGTGCATTAGCAGGGAAGTAGATCAGGAAACAATTGCCAGCACTGGAACCAGCGCCCGTTTGGGATATTGGCGATGCACTCTGTTGTGCCACAACGTTGGCCCCTCAGTATTTTAATAAGTAATAAAAAAATGCTGTAAGAAAAACTGCTGAGGGCCCAGCGCCACAGCCTAACATATAAAGTCCTTGCCTTGCACACGCCTGGATCCCATATGGATGTCGTTTCTAATCCCAGCAGCCTGCTTCCCATCCAGCTCCCTGCTTGTGGCCTGGGAAAACAGTCAAGGACGGCCCAAAGCCTTGGGACCCTGCAGTCGCTTGGGAGACCTGGAAGAAGCTCCTGGCTTCAGATCGGCTCAACTGTGGCCATTGCAGCCTTCTGAGGAGTCAACCAATGTTTGACAGATTTTCCTCTCTATCTCTTCTCTCTGTAGAGCTGACCTTCCAATAAAAATAAGTAAATTTAAAAAAAAAAGAAAAACTTCTGAAGAAATGCAAATATATATAGGACAATACTTAACTTTTGGAGGAAAATGTGGGATATATTTCTAAGATAGCACTTTATAATATTTAACAAGAGTTTTAATTTTATTATTGAAAAGATTTTATTAAAATCTAAGACATTTTGCTTAAAAGTAATAATTACCAAGAGGATCTTCTGTCTCCTGTTTTACTCTCCAGATGGCCATAATCCCAGTTAAGCTGGTCCTGAGCTGGGAGCTATAATCCTCCTCAGGGGCCCCCATGTGGGTACTCAGGGGCCTAAGGACCTAGGCTGTCCTCTGCTGTTCTCCCATGCCATAAGCAGGGAGCTGGATCAGAAGTGGAACATCTGCAACTCAAAATGGTGGCCACATGGGATACTAGACCTTTTGGTAGAGGATTAGCCAGCAATGCCACCAGCCCATTTATTTTTATTTGAAAGGCAGAGTTACAGAGAAGAGAGACAGAAAGATATATATATCTCCCATTCCCTTGGTGTACTCCTTGAATGGCCACAATGGACGGAGCTGAGCCGAACGAAAGCCAAGAGCTTCCTCTTGGTCTCCTGTCACTGCCCTGCAGTGATGGACTTGGTGCACAGAACCGATAATAAAACATGTGGACTCTGACTGATGGTTGAAAGCTGAAGTTTATTAATGGCATCAGACTTTATAGACCCAGGGTCATATGGGATAAGGGAGGAAGTATTGAGCTTATCAACAGAAGCCATCAATTGTTTCTATAGCCTTGTTTTGTGTATCCCACCAAGTGTTCTCATACAAATGGTATCCATTTAGTTACATGAATGGTACACACTCAGTTGTTTTCATGCAAAGGATAGCAGTCACACAAATGGCACCCATCCAGTTGTTCTCATACAGAAGTTATCCACTCAGTTGTAATCCTGTGCTCATTGACCTTCTAGGGTCACAAGTCTTACAGTGGGTGTTAGACTGATGAGGGCACTAGGGCGTAAGGACTTGAGCCATTCTTTGCTGCCTTATCAGGCTACCAGCAGGGAGTTGGATCACAAGTGGAGTGTGGGGGACTTGAACTGGCATCCGTATAGGACGCTGGTGCCACAGGCTAAAGCTTAGCCTACTATGCCATGGTGCCAGCCCCTGAAAATATATTTTTAAAGTTATTTAGGATATGTATATCATTAAAATAAAACTGCCCTATTACCACCCAAGTGCTTCCTACAGATCTTGCCAGAACTACCATTAAAAAACAGAATTCACTTGAGCTTCACTATGTTTCCTTCCCGTTTACTATGATCATTGGCCAAGGAAACACGCAGAACACAGGAATCACGGAGAAACAAAGGCATTTACTCACACATGCTCTGATTATGTAGAATATGAGCAGTTTTATGACATAGCCACTTTATTAATGGAAACTCCTTCCTGCACAGAACAGAAAATTAATGAGTAGTCTTATTTTCCTTGTATCTTAAATCAGGAAATAATTTTGTGTATTTTCTTTTTTAGGCAAATTCCAGGTGATGATACAGAAGCTGTAAGAACATAGTAGAAATACAAGGCCTCACTATTGTGAAGAGATAAATTATTGCTATATAAAGTATTCAAGTCGTAATGATTTAACTACTTTGTTGGACATTTGTATAGAACTGAGGGTATATTTTATCATTCTAACAGAACAAGTTAAATCTGATAAAGGACCATCTACTATGACTTACACTTTACTGCAACTATTCAAGATGCACACCTGACTTCAAATAACGAGACCCTAAGATGTAATTCTTACTTTAAATAGTGTTTTTTACTTAGACTGATGTGTATTTAACTATAGGTGGAAACACAAACCTAAGGTTTTGCTGAGTCAGCATAAAAGTGTGCCCATTAAGTCATCTGTATTAGAATAAATACATTTTGATAAGGTACGAATGTTATTTTTTTAAAAGTACACTAAAATAAGCTTAACTTTTATTGCTTGTAATTTATTTTGAATAAGGATTTTTTTCATGTTAGATTTTCTATGTGTATACATTGTATATATGACTGTATTACTTAAAAACTTAATTTTACTTTAATAGTAAATTAATAGTGCTTGAAAGCCTCTTTAACATAATAAAAGTAGAGTACAGGTTAGTATAAATGTTAATTTGGTGACATTAGAGTCAGAGAATATTAGGTATGTTGGGAAGGATAAGTTCCTGTTACATCTTTAAGCCTGTCTCCTGAGGCGTGCAAGTTCCGGTGAAGGTTCAATCTATGATTATTGCCTTATTTATTTTCCCACAGCGCAGAGGACTAGATAATTGGGTTTCAGCAGGGGGCCAAACTCATGGACAGCCATTGGATCATATCTGCTCCGTGGGTTAGGGTCAGTGTTCAGCTGTTACATCTCTCACACCACCCTTTCCCATCTGTCTAGCTTATGAAGCAGTTATCACCAACTCTGCCTGTTGGGGGATCTTGACTCTTATGACTCAAATTGTACTTTGTTTCTCATTTAATTCTGACCTTATGCCTGTATTTGTTTGACAGAGAACTTTGCAAAAGTGGGTAATTGGCACATGAAAATATTATACTAGGCTCTCTGCCATAAAAATGAAGGAGTAAAAGGAATAACTTGTAATGACATGGAACAAACATTATATTAAAAACTATTTTAAAAACTATAAAATTTTAGGACATAAAACTCAGGTGAGGCACACCATTCCTTTCATAGAAAGGCATTATAAGTATATTAGATTCACTCAATTGTTTTTAAGTAATCCTGATCCTCAGATGATTTGGGGAGTTTCTTTTTTCAGATTTTGGAAAAATATATTCAGAGAAGACTCTACCAAACAAACAAAAAATGGGATGCTTACCAATTAAAAATGGTCAGAATGATCCAGGACTAGCTAATGACCTACAGGTAGATCAAAAGGAACAAAACAGACTTTCAAAACAGTATGTATAGAAACTGTGTAGGAAATGCTGCATTTCAAATCAGTGGGTTTGTTAAATACTTTCATTTGGCTGTGCATTAGCCACTTTGTGTCCACATTTCTTTGCAAGCAAAACTTCTTTTTAGTCTTAACTTTCCGTGGCTGCCTTGTGTTATAGAAAAAGGGTGCTTCTCCATTTCCAGAGAGACAGACCCTCGGTTACTCTGATTATTTTGAGCATTTGATGAAGTCCTGGCTAATGAGGCAAAAAGACAAAGTATCAGGGCTTTTCAGAATTTTTCACTGTTGCTTGGTGATGGTGCCTGGGATGTGTGGACCTCAGCAGCAGCACCAGCCTGCTGATGGACAAGGAAGAGACAAGCCTGAACGTCAAAGCCATCACACTGAAAACAGCAGGATACAGTCCGGAAGCAGCTCAGCTGTGCTGCCGAGTAACCAACCCTGGCACTGCTTTACCTCTGTGCTTTTTGTTATGTAAAATAGTAAACGTATTACTATCCACCCTTGCTTGTGTTTTATTTATAGCAAAAAGAAACATCTCCTATAGAAACAAAGGAAAAGTGAGGTTACTCAAGAAATACCGTGGGGCAGATATTTGTGATACAGTAGGTTAAGCCAGGAAGCTGGGGCCCCAACCTGGAGAAGCAGTCCAGGATGGCCCAAAGCTTGCATGCACATGGGAGACCCGGAAGAGGCTCCTTGCTCACCTCCAGCTGTTGCAATCATTTGGGCAATAAACCAGCAGATGGAAGATCTTTCACTTTCTGTTTCTGTAAATAACACTTTCCAAAGAAAATTAAAAAAATTTTTAAGGTTTATTTATTTTAATTGGAAAGGCAGATATATAGAGAGGAGGAGAGACAGGAGCATCTTTCGTCCAATGGCTCACTCCCCAAGCGGCTGCAACAGCTGCAGCTGAGCCGATCTGAAAAGTTCTGTTACTCTATTAGCAACAAGGGTTGTTATAACCAACAAGGAACTTTTCATGAAATATGGATGTGAACCAAGAGATAAAGCAATCGAATTGTCAAATAGATGAAAACTGCATACTAGGAATGTAGATTTAATCCAGGACCATAAGATATTGCACAGTCAGGTCTGGTGTGAAGGCTCAATGGCTAAATCCTCACCTTGCATGCACCAGGATTCCCTATGTTCGCCAGTATGTGTCCTAGTGCTCCACTTCCCATCCAGCTCCCTGCTTGTGGCCTGGGAAAGCAGTCGAGGATGATAAAAGCCTTGGACCCTGCACCCATGTGGGACACCTGGAAGGAGTTCCTGGTTGCCGGCTTTGGATTGGCTCAGCTCTGTCTATTGTGGCAATTTGAGGAAGTGAATCAGTGCATGGAAGATCTTTGTCTCTCCTCTGTAAACCTGATTTTATAATAAAATTTTATGTTTAAAATATATTGTAGAGCTGTCATACCATCCTGAACTACTCACAACAGACTTAATTCAGATATAAAGTTTCTAAAACCTTAGTTCTGTCAAGTTTTCAGATTATTAACTGATGAACTTGAAAGCCTACTTGTATGAACTTTTTCTTTAATATATCTGTATTGGAAAGTCAGATTTACAGAGAGAAGGACAGACAGACAGAGATCTTCCATTCATTGGTTCACTCCCCAAATTGCTACAATGACCAGAGCTGAGCCCATCCAAAGCCAGTAGCCCAGAGCCTCTCTGGGTCTCCCACACAGGTGCAGGGTCCCAAGGCTTTGGGCCATACTCGACTGCTTTCCCAGGCCATAAACAGGGAGCTGGATGGGAAGTGGGGTTGCTGGGATTACGACCAGCGCCCATATAGGATCCCGGCACTTTCAAGGTGAGAACTTTAGCTGCTAGTCTACTGCGCCAGGCCCGACCATAGCATTGAAACAAAGATTATACAATGAGAGAATGTTAAAATATTTGGTGTTAAAAAAGAATTTGGACTGCCATTCGAAAATGAGCTTCCTGAAGACTAACAAAGGATTTAGATACAAAGTTTGGTATGCTCTAATTATAATTGCTGGTAAAATTACTGGGTACCTTACTCATGATCATTTCAAACCTTTTCTTTCACTACCTCCCTTATTTAAGAGACCAGAAAGAAAGCCCTACAACTTCACTTCACACCATCTGGGAGCTAGAGCTGTTAGTGTGTTTTACAGTTGTGGCCAACATGAGCAGAGCTGACAAGGATTTCTGGGTAGCCTTGAACACAGAAACACTGCTGTGCATTGCAGTGTGCGCCACGTAACTGCAGGAAAGGCCCATGGAATTGGAGACCTTGATGGTGTTGTCACTGAACCAATGCCAGTTATCTCTTCTAGATATCTTGCTGTGTGTAAAAGAAGTCCTGTATGTTAAAGTAGAAGCATCCCTACCGCATACAGAAATGGATCAATCATACTGACATAAAATTAAAACAGTTGACCTAGCTTGAAATCTTTAAAAAAGCTATGTTGGAAAAGGTTTTGTCTGCAACACAGCATCTAAAAATATAAGTATTGAGCCTGGTGCAGTAGCCTAGCGGCTAAAGTCCTCATCTTGCACGTGCCCTGGGATCCCATATGGGCGCTGGTTCTAATCCTGGCCACCCCTCTCTCCATCTAGTTCCCTGCTTGTGGCCTGGGAAAGCAGTTGAGGATGGCCCAAAACCTTGGGACCTGCACCTTCATGAGAGACCCGGAAGAGGCTCTGGGCTCCTGGCTTCGGATCAACGCAGTGCCGCCTGTTAAAGCCACTTGGGGAGTGAATTTCCTCCTCTCTATAAAACTGAATTTAGTGTTGTCTTTCTCTTTCCTCTTTCAAGAGGCACCCCACCTCCTGGCTTCTCTCCGGAGGTGCTTTCTCCTTCCCTCTCCTTCCCTGCTCACCTCGGCCCTTCGCAAATAAACTTTTCTGTCTGAAAAAAAAACAACAACCTGAATTTACAAAAAAAATTAAATACATCTTTAAAAATAAATAAATATATATAAAAGTAGTGAGCTTAAATAGAAAATATCTAATTTGTTGTTGACTATGAACAAGTCTTCCATTTAATCTAGATTTTAATTCAAACGCTAAACATATTCACTGTGTTGTCTTTTAATTTGCTCCAAGAAACAATTCTAGTAACCAAAATATTTTCAGCAAGATATTTTTTTTTTTATTTTTTTTTAAAGATTTATTTTTATTATTTTTTCATTGGAAAGGCGGATATACAGAGAGGAGAGACAGAGAGGAAGATCTTCCATCCGATGATTCACTCCCCAAGTGAGCGCAACGGGCCGATACTATGCCGATCCGAAGCCAGGAGCCTCTTCCGGGTCTCCCACGCGGGTGCAGGGTCCCAAAGCTTTGGGCCGTCCTCGACTGCTTTCCCAGGCCACAGGCAGGGAGCTGGAAGGGAAGCGGGGCTGCCGGGATTAGAACCGGCGCCCATATGGGATCCCGGGCGTGTAAGGCGAGGACTTAACCACTTGCGCCACTGCGCCGGGCCCCAGCAAGATATTTTATGTATTATGTAAACAAGGAAAAGCACCGAGGACCATATGCATTTTACTCAGGCTGTTTCAACAATGAATGACACTCAATTGGTTATAATCGTACGTGATTGCAGATTATTCAGATCGTTTTTCAAAATCCAAGTGGGATTTTCCCTAGATATTTCAAACATCCAAATTAATACAGTCTCTATTCTTAGTATGAACTTGAGTTGTACAAGTTAAGACGAAGACCCTTGACACAGCGCTGAAGATGTGACGCAAACTGTCCTTGAACTGGCATTGACTCGCTCAGTTTTGGGGTATCTTCATCAGAAAGCTCTTTAATCCCTGAGGGGTCAGCTACTTCAGGATGGTTCATCAGCTAAATCACGTTGATCAAAATACCTAGGTGAAAAAAAATGGAATAATGAACATGAACATACTAATTGCAACATTACTTGTGACAGCAAGAGATAGATAATAACTCAAATGGCAATCAATAAGTCAGCTGGTTAGCTAAATTACAGTTCCTTTATACAGAACATTATGAAGCTATAAGAAAGAAAAAAATTACAATGTTCTGGTATGCTTTCTAGATTTACTAAGTGAGAAAAAGGCATTGAACAGATTGTTTAGCATTCTACCACTTGTATGTGTACAAATGCAACTATATTTGCAGAGTTCAGTACCATCTGAGGGCTCCAGCATTTATTTGAGGTCTTGGAACATATCCCATGAGAGTAAGTGGAAAGTTCTGTGTAAAATTTTTTGTGTTTTTTTTTCTTTTTTGTTTTTTTTAATATAGGCACTGGCTCATGTCCTGGCTGCTCCACTCCCCATCCAGCTCTCTGCTTATGGCCTGGGAAAAGCAGCAGAGGATGGCACCCAAGCCCTTGTGGGTCTTCCCTATGGGAGACCTGGGAGAAGCTGCGCTTCCCAGTTTCAGATCAGCTCAGCCCTGGCTGTTGCAGCTATGTGGAGTGAACCAGCAGATGGAAGACTTCTCACTCTATCCTCTCTATAAATCTGCCTTTGAAAATAAAGAAATATTTTAAAAAGAAAGAAAAAGGTAAAGAAATTAAAAGTAAAATGTTCATTTGAAATCAGAATATTATCTCTCTCTAAAAAAAAGAAAAATACAACACTGCTCTGTGAAGTGCAAAGGCCTAAGAGCAATGACCCGCTTACTAATTTGCAGCTTTTCTACTGTTCCAAGTGTGGTTTCCACATATGGATGCCATATATGGAGTCCAGGTGTATTTGAGACATATTGGCGTATCAGAAACTTATAAAGGTGTAAGAGACCACCAAGGGTTGGGTCAAAAGGACATAGTAACAGACTAGTCACTGCACTGCTCAAAGATACAACAATCTAAGCATTAGAAAGAATGATGCCACGGGCTTAAGATACAGGGATAATTAAAAAATTAAAATAACCTTATAGGTTTTCTTAGAAAACTCACAAACCACCTGTCATTTATTTTAAAAATTAGAAAATAGGGGCCCGGCTGCGTGACCTAGCAGCTAAAAGTCCTCGTCTTGAACACGCCGGGATCCCACATGGGTGCCAGTTCTAATCCTGGCAGCTCCACTTTCCATCCAGCTCCCTGCTTGTGGCCTGGGAGAGCAATTGAGGACTGCCCAATGCTTTGGGACCCTGCACCTGTGTGGGAGACCCAGAAGGAAGTTACTGGCTCCTGGCTCCAGATTGGCACAGCACCGACCACTGCGCTCACTTGGAGAGTTGGGAATCATCGAACGGAAGATCTTCCTCTCTGTCTCTCCTCCTCTCTGTATATCTGACTTTGTAATAAAAATAAATAAATCTTTTTTAAAAATTAGAAAATAAAGGAGCAGAATCTAAAGCTTGGAGACAGCACATTGGCTTAACAGGCTAATTCTCCACTTGGAAGCACTAGGATCCCATATGGGCAATGGTTCATGTCTCAGCTACTCCACTTCCCTTTTAGCTCCCTGCTTGTGTCCTGGGAAAGCAGTGGAGGATGTCCAAAGCTTTGGGACTCTGCACCGGTGTGGGAGACCTGGAGGGAGCTCATGGCTCCTGGCTTTAGAGTAGCTCAGTTCTGGCAGTTAAGCTATCTGGGGAGTGAACTGGTAGATAGATGGAAGATCTTTGTCTCTCTCTGTGAGACTACCTTTCCAATTAAAAAAATATATAAACATTTATATATATAAAGAATCTAAATCTAGCATGTACCATGCCTTTTTAGTTTTAATACTTAAATTTTTTTTTATTTGAGACTGACAGTAAAACAGAGAGACACACAAAGAGCTCCACTCTACTGTTGTATTCCCCAAATACCCACAAGAGTTGCGACTGGGCTGGGTTAAAGCTAGAAGCTGAAAATTCAGTCCAGGTCCCCTGTGAGAATGGCAGGAACTCAGTTACTTGAGACATCACCACTCCTTCCATAACTCACACCTGCAGGAGGCGGGGTCGGGTCGGAAAACAAGCCAGGTTATAGAACCAGGTGGCTCATGCCCGACCTTTGGCCAGTGCCTTAACTGCTGAGTCAAATGCCTCCCCCAGGTTGATTGTACAAATTGTTATTTCAGGGTATCCCTATTATTGATGGCAAACAGCTTTTTACAGAAAAAAAATTCTATCATGGTAACTGGGTATGGCAGAAAACCTCGCATTACTGAATATTTAATGAAATAACAGATCTAGGCACAAAATACCAAACAGGTAAAAGGTATGCACTTCACCTGAACTCTTGACCAACTCTGTCATCACTAGAAGTAGAAAGATGAGATCATGTACTTCCTGATGTGAAATAGGAACACACATTGAGTGCTATTACACAACCACACAAACAATACAATCAGGTCCCTAGACTACCTACCTACTCACAGCACGAATATGCACTGAATATCACCATGAAGGTAGACATTCTAGAGCATGGGACATTTTATAAGTCAAATAGCCCAATTTCCTCAATAAATAAATGACAGACAACAAACAAAACGAAACAAAAAAAATGACACTTTAAACATTATCAAACAAATTTAATGATTGGTTTTTTTTTTGGATTTGGACTACTGAAATAGACACCCCTGGGACAATTACAGTATATGAAACAGACGAAGATATCAGGTGTCACTGTGGATTTATTCTAAAATTTGCTAGGTTTGCTACCAGGTATTTGTTTCTTTGCTTTTGTTTTTGACAATCAGATATACAGAGAGGAGGAAAGATAGAGACGAAGATCTTCCGGCTGTAAATTCACTCCCCATGCAGCTGCACAGCCAACCTGCAGCCAGGAGCCCGTGTCTCCCCCAGGAAACTCTTCCCCGTCTCCCATGCGGGTGCAGGGTCCCAAGGCTTTGGGCCATCCTCGATTGCTTTCCCAGGCCACAAGCAGGGAGCTAAATGGGAAGTTTGGCCACCAGGATTAGAATAGGTACCCATTTGGGATCCTGGCGTGTACAAGGCGAGGACTTCAGGCTACCACACCGGGCGATCAGTTATTATAGTCATGCATTTGAAAAAAAGTTTCTATCAGAAGAAATGTTATCTCTGGGATTTGTTTCAAATACGTACATCTGGGCACAAATGAGATGCCCTAGAGAATGGTTAAAACTTGTTGAGATCAGATGATGGTTCCAGGGCTCAATGTTATGTTTGTGTTTAAGAATCCCCGTAACAAGATTTATAAAGATGCTTCTTGGTAAAATTGTTAAGGTGGCTAAATGAGCTCCTATTTGATCCCAACCAAAAAGGCTTCTCCTCACTTGGATGAATTATTTCTGCAAAGCAGTTACTGCCTTGAAGCTCCTTAAACAAGACTTGGAACAAGAGATAACACATGTCTGGGAGCAGCAATCACATCATGAACCAGCACTGTTTTTTTTTTTAATTTCGTATAATCTTTTAAAAATATTCTAAGCCTAGGGGCCCGGCGCGGTGGCGCAAGTGGTTAAAGGTCCTCACCTTGCCGCCCGGGATCCCATATGGGCGCCGGTTCTAATACCGGCGCCCCGCTTCCCTTACAGCTCCCGCCAGTGGCTGGGATAGCAGCAGAGGACGGCAAAGCTTTGGGAACCAGCACCGCGTGGGAGGCCGGAGGAAGAGCTCCTGCTTCGGATCGGCATATAGTATCGGCCCGTTGCGCTCACTTGGGGAGTGAATCATCGGACGGAAGATCTTCCTCTCTGTCTCTCCTCTCTGTATATCTGCCTTTCCAATGAAAAAATAATAAAAATAAATCTTTAAAAAAAATATTCTAAGCCTATAACTTCAGAACTTTTTATTGTTTTAAACTTTCAAAATTTTTTATCTAATTTTCTGAGGAGAAAAATCATGGTCAATACACTTGAGTATTTCCTCAAGTTTACCATAAGCACAATGAATGGATTAGCAATCAAAACCCATGTTTAAGACTCCTGTTTTATTAATAACTGCTTTACTGAACTGTCAGTTACTTAACATTACTGGACTTTCAAAAGAGAAAAAAAAAGCTTGAACCTCAAGTGCTCAGGAAATAACTGAAGTGTCCTCTCACTGAATCCCTACTACCAACAGATAAAGTAGGTATTGGCTTAGATAAGATTAATACAGTTTAACTTAGCTTTGGAGTAAAGCTACCTAACTCTGGGACTTAGAATTATCATTAAAAAGCTTTGCAATGGTAGGCAAAGTATTTAATCTCTCTGTGATGGTTTCTTCACTGGTAAGCTGATAAAGTAACTAACTTATGAGAATTAAATAAATTTGTATCACATAGCACTAGGAAAAATGCTCAGTACAAGGTGCCTAAAATGAATCAGTTAGCATTAACTGCAAAGTTACTGTAAGTCAAGAAACTAGATGTTGCATACGTATGCACGCTGAAAAAAATACCTTGTTGAAGAAACGGAAGAATGGACACAAGATTACTTATCTCCCCACAGCTTAAATATATTGTAAAGCTTTAAAAAGGTACTGGAAGGGGCTCGGTGTTGTAGCCTAGTGGCTAAAGCCCTCGCCTTGAACATATGGGATCCCATATGGGTGCCAGTTCGTATCCCAGCAACTCCATTTCCCATCCAGCTCCCTACTTGTGGCATGGGAAAGCAGTCAAGGATGGCCCGAGGCCTTGGGACCCTGCCCCCGTGTGGGAGACCTGGAGGAAGTTCCTGGCTCCTGGCTCCGGAAAGGTGCAGCACTGGCTATTGCGGTCACTTTGGGAGTGAATCATCGGATGGAAGATATATAAATAAAAAAGTAAACATGTTCTACACTCAGCAATAAATAGACAGGAAGAAACCCAGGATTAATGAACTGTACCTGCTAACCAAGCAGATTAATAAATTCAAAGCAGGAACTCTCTCATCATCTTTGCTGTCCTAAAAGAAGTTTCAAAAGAGAAAATTTTAAGTATAGTCTATTTTTATCAATATTTTGAAATGAATTTTAACATGTAAAACATGAAAACCCTGTTAGCACAAAATAATCATCACATGGAATTAAAAACCATCAAAGAAAAAAATGTAGAGCTAATGTCTCCCTGAAAAACAGTTAATATCACCCTTTACTAAAGATTCTGGAAAAAAGATTCTGAACAGAGAAAACTGAAGAGTTTAGGGTTCCTTTTTTTTTTTTTTTTTTTTTTTACATTTTATTATTATTGCTATCATTTTATGAAACAGTTCCATATTCCCGTATCCCCTCCCCAATTCCCTCCCACCTGCTTCCTCTATATCATTTATAACATATAGTTCTTCATACTCAGTCATATGTCCATCATTGCAGGCATGGACAATGGCAGAGAATCCAGAATCCTATTGTCAAGATATAGTAAACAGTTTCATTGTAAGTCCATCTTTGTCTGGAAACAGAAATGCATACCACACTGCATCCTCACATCTGGATATTAGTCTCCATTTCACAGTTACTATACATCCCCTCAAATGAAAAGTCATGATACAAAATCAACAATAGAAAGAAAAATAGAAATTTACAATGCCATGAAGTTAAGTTAAATGACATGTTACTAGATATAACAGTCTCCATTACACAGCTACTATACATTCCCTTAAATGAAGAGCCACAAAACAAACTCAACATCCGGGAGAAAAAAGAAATTAACAACGCGAAAAAGTTAAACAACATGCTATTAAATGACTAACATATAGCTGAAGAAATGAAAATCAAGAAACTTCTTGAAGAAAATGATGCCACTGCATGATCTACGAGTCATTGAATGATTTAATCAGAAGAAAGTGTTTTGAAGAGATGAAACCAACAGAAAACAACAAAGCCCAAAAGCAGCCCAAAGCAGGCATGTCCCACAGTCCCTTATGGATATGTGAGTAAACTGCAGCCAAGGGCTAGATGTGCCTACAGAACCTGTGGGAAGGCTAACTAAAGGGGGATTGGCCTTGGTCCCTCTATGCATTCAGGTGCCTGTAATGAAACAATGCCCAAAACTTCAGTTCCATCTGGAACCATGCGATGAGCTTGAGGATGGAAGCCACATGTGGCAGACCCCAAAGGCTTGGTTACTGCTGCATCAGATACTATAAACCTATTTCCATTTTTACCCCAGGAAAACAACACCAACACTTAAACTGCTGGTGTCTTGAACTTTTTTGTCACAGGGTCAAATATAATCCCAACAAACTATGTGCAATTCTCCTATCCCATGGAAATTCTTCAGCACTGTAAGAATTGCTAGGCGTTTTCCTTTTAGAAAAGGGAAGGTGGGGGCCCGGCAGCATGGCTTAGCAGCTAAAGTCCTGCCCTTGAACGCGCTGGGATCCCATATGGAAGCCAGTTCTAATCCCGGCAGCTCCACTTCCCATCCAGCTCCCTGCTTGTGGCCTGGGAAAGCAGTCAAGAACAGCCCAAAGCTTTGGGACCCTGCACCCGCGTGGGAGACCTGGAGGAAGTTCCTGGCTCCTGGCTTTGGATCGGCATAGCACTGGCCGTTGTGCTCACTTGGGGAGTGAATCATCGGATGGAAGATCTTTCTGTCTTTCCTCCTCTCTGAAAATCTGACTTTCCAATAAAAAAATAAAATAAATCTTAAAAAAAAAAGAAACGAAAGGGAAGGTGAAGCTTACCACTAGGAGTCTCACTTCAGAGCACCTTCTTGCAAGCTGCCGGATTAAGGAGTGGGCCTCAGGCAATAAAGGCTTTTCAAGACAAGCCAACAGAGCATAAAGCCATCTTCCCTAAACAGGATTAAACAACAGTTAAATTGATGAACGCTGAACCATGATGGGTAAATCATTTTTAGAATATCCTATGCTGGGCCCAGTATGGTAGCCTAGAGGCTGAAGTCCTTGCCTTGAATGTGACGGGATCCCATATGGCACGAGTTCTAATCCTAGCAGCTCCGCTTCCTATTCAACTCCCTGCTTGTAGCCTGGGAGAGCAGGAGAGGATGGCCCAAAGCCCTGGGACCCTGCTTCCATGTGGGAGACCTGGAAGAGGCTTCTGGCTCCTGGCTTCAGACTGGTGCAGCACCAGCCATTGCAACCGCCTGGGGAGTGAACCATTGGGCGGAAGATCTTCCTTTCTGTCTCTCCTCCTCTCTGTATACTGACTTTCTAATAAAAATAAATCTTAAGAGCAACAACAACAACAAAATCATGCTGTGACTGGCCTAGTTATCTGCTATGAAAAAATTCATACAGCATTTTACTACATTATTTTTGGATCCTCTTGCAAATGCCTTCAACTGTGAGAAATTGTTGTTCCCCAAAATTTAGTATACTTCAAAGATGGCAAAGTTTCTCAAAATCAAATATAAAAGAACAGGTAACTCACATAAAAACATGCATCAAATCAACCCACGTCTGAAGAAGGCAAAAAAAAAAAAAAAAAAAAGGAGTTGTGACTATAAAGCAACAAAACAAACAGAGTGCAGCATAGCTGTAACAGTATAGAAACAGATTACCCAGAGCTGAACCTGGATTCTGCCGACTTCGAATTGTGTAATACTGAGTGAGGTACTGAACTTTGTGCTTGTTGAAGGGCCCAGTGAAATACTACAGGTAAAGTTCTTATGCAGTGATTGCTGGTACTGTTGCTTCTGGTACTCTTTTGTGGACCAGATGTCAAGGCCATTTTTACTCCTTTAACCAATGATACTCAAAATGGGTCTGCAGACTTGTTACCAGCCCCTAAGCACAAGCACGCTGTTACTGCTCAGCACTAAGTAACTTGTACAATACAAATGAACTCCTTGTTGACTTTTTAAATTCCCAGCCCCAACAAAGCCAGACTTTGTCAATGAAGGAAGCTGTGTTTTGAATTACACACTCTGGTGTAAATTCCTTATTGTACCATAAACAAGGATTTTTCATATTATAGGTATACTGCCATGTATCACTGAAGGACAGGGCCGCTACCTGAGAAAAGCATCATCATTTTGTGTGTATCACAAAGAGAAAACCAAGATGCCTACAACAACACTAGGCAACATAACCTAAGGGGACCACCACTGTCGGGCAGTCCTTCTTGTCCAACACTACCACTGTGGCACAGGGCTACTTATATATATATGTACATACACGAATTCTGTACACTCACATTTCATATATTTTAAGAAAATAAAAATATAATCCTACCAATTCTGGAGTAAAGTCCCTCTCTCCAAACCAATTAGTCAGATATTCCAAGACACTAGTTACTGTTGCCTAAAAAGAAGGGGGAGGTGGGTGGAAGAGGAGAGAAGTTAGTCATAAAACACTGACAATTCAACAGGAGTCCTGTTAAGTTTAGTTAGAAAACAACATTGAAGATAGTCCCACTTCTCAGATTTCCAAAGAAAACTGTGACTTCTAATAATCTGGTTAGGAAACTCACCAACATTGTTTCTCAGACTTTGGGCTAAGATCAAGTGTAGAAGATTCACCAATGGGAACGGGCTTTTAACAAAATTTTTAACGATTCATTTATTTTTATTGGAAAGGTAGATTTACAGAAAGAAGGAGATACAGAGAGAAAGATCCTCCATCTGATGATTCACTCCCCAAGTGGCTGCAACTGTGCCAATCTGAAGCCAGGAGGCAGGAGCCTCTTCCAGGTCTCCCACATGATTGCAGGGTCCCAAGGCTTTGGGCTGTCCTGGACTGCTTTCCCACAAGCAGCGAGCTGGATGGGAAACAGAGCTGCTGGGATTAGAACCCACACTCATTGCCTTCAGAGGTCACCCACCCCCATTTGGATCTCCCACATGGGATGGAAGAAGCCCAAATCCTGCCTTACAGGATCCAAGGTCATCGGAATGACAACCAGGAGCACTGAGCGGTCCACAGAAACAGAAGAACAGTAAACTTCCTTCGGGACTAGGAAGAGGAGCTTTCTCTGGTCCTTGCCTGGTTCCAACTTTGGGTCTCCACCCTCTCTCGTAATGACCATCAGGATCACTCCAGAAACCCCTCAAAACAAACAAATGAAAAAACTAGAATAGAAAGAGAACAATAAGGAAAGTTTGTAAACAGACAGAAAGCAGTCAGCGGGGATGCAATTATAACTCACTGGGTGGGACACAAAGATTAGTTACTTCTCACTGGGGTATTGAAGATTTCTCTGCACACCTCTCCTAAAACTGTTCACCTAAACTGTTGTCATATGTCTTGTTAGAGTTACAGAGTTAGACTACCCAAAAAACAGCCAGGCTCGGCAAAATTATGCTTCAACGCTATAAACTGCTAAATACTAAAATTAAAACAGACATGAGACAGCTGAATATTAATCTATAGCCATTTTAAGGTGTATAGAACCCAGCTATATATAAACTTATAATTGAAGTGTCAATGTAGAAGTCACAGGATGTGGTTTAGAACTTGCATTCTTTTTTTTTCCTCTTTTAACATATTGGTTACTCAATACCATGTCAACTAATTCCATAACATTCTAAATTGTTGCTGATGTAATGTCGGGGGTTTTAATTGATCGGGATGATACTCTGCCAACTCTACTTTCAGACCAGAGATGGTCTCCCCAAGAAGCCGTTGAACTTATCTGGACAATAAGATGCTGGACTTTATGCTTGGTAGATGCTTGCAGTGAAAGAATCTCAACTGAATCTGAACTGTGGTAATGCAACAAGGTGGAGGGGGGGTTTGGGGAAGGTGGGGGGAATCCCAGTGCCTATAAAACTGTGTCACATAACGCAATGTAATCAATCAATCAATAAAAATAAATAAATAAAAATTAAAAAAAAATAGATTCAGCACTCATATGGATATAGATCCTAGCAATTCCAAGGCTAGGACTTTAGCCATTAGGCCACTGCGCCGGGACCCCAGAAACAGGCTTTTAAGAAAACGATTACTCTCTCAACTATCAATGAATTCCTGGACTAAAATATTTGGATTTAGTGTGTAACTACTAGCACAGTTTGAAAAACTTTACAAGCTACTTCAAAAAAGAGTCTATACCTTTACTCCATTTCTCAAGTCAAGCTAAATTAAAGTACCAAACTGAAGGAAAAAAAAATCTAAAGACTTGTTTCACAGCTACACAGCATTTATCAAACTCGAAAAGAAAACCATCCTCGGTAATATCTACAAAAATAAAATTATTTTGGGGGCTGGCACAATAGCCTATTAGCTAAAACCTCACCTTGCATCTGCTGGGATATCATATTGTCTGTTCACATCCTGGCTGCTCCACTTCCTATCCAGCTCCCTGCTTGCAACCTGGGAAAGCAGTAGAGAACTGTGCAAAGCCTTGAGACCCTGCACCCACATGGGAGACCCAGAGGAAGATTGTAGCTCCTGGCTTCTGTCTTCAAATCAGCTTAGCTCCAGACATTCTGACAACTTGGGAGTAAATCAGTAGATGGAAAATCTTTCTGTCTCTCCTCTCTGTACATATGCCTTTCCAATAAAAATGAATGAATCTTGAGCCTGGCACAATAGCCTAGCGGCTATAAAGTCCTTATTTTGGACTTGCCGAGATCCCATATAGGTGCTGGTTCTAATCCCAGCCGCCCTGCTTCCCATCCAGGTCCCTGCTTGTGGCCTGGGAAAGCATTCAAGGACGGCCCAAAGTCTTGGGACCCTGTACCCGTGTGGGAGATCTGGAAGAGGCTCCGGGCTCCTTGCCAGAGATCATTGTGGTCGCTTGGGGAGTAAATCAAGAGATGGAAGATCTTCCTCTCTGTCTCTCCTCCTCTCTTTATATCTGACTTTCCAATAGAAAAATAAATCTTTTTTTAAAAAATGAATCTTAAAAAAAAGTGAGATATCTAAAACACTGAATAGCTAGACCTCCTATTTCTCTCCTTTTGATCCAAGAAATTCCATTTTTTCAATCCAAAAAAATAGTGGAAAATACCCAGAAATATAAACAGTAATCTAACCTTACTATTTAGTTCACGTTCAGGGATCTAAGATTAAGAACGAAAGACACACAATACTTTAGCATGTGATTAAGAGCATTAGCTCTGAGGTTAGACCTGCTTGGATGCTGAGTCCCAGCACTTCCAAGTATGCCAAGAAAATCACTTGAGATCATTTAGCCTCAAATTTTATTTTTCATCCTTAAAAAAAAAAAAAAAAACCAAAAACCAAAAAACAAAAGACAATATTAACTCCTGACACAGACTGTAGAGAGGATTACACAAGAACCACAGGAGAGCTTAGGACAAGGTCTCGCACATTCTAAGTAGTCAGCAAATGTACTCAAATACTTTCTCTCACATTGCAAACAAAAGAATGCACATATACACAGTAGATTTTACCTGATTCATTCTGCTAACAATACTCAATAAGGGGGGAAAACCAACCTGAAAGAAAAGATGAGAGTGAAATTTACTAAATGTGTTACAAAAAGGAGCTTCACTTTTTTAAAACTGATAAATTTATTTTTTGAAGATATTTTTATAAATTGTTCAATTTCTTACAACACTGTTGTTTAGAAGCAAAGAATGTAAAAGAAAACTCCTTAACTGCTATCATAAAGGCACTGATAGAACTAACAATCATTTTCAAATTTATATATATATATTTTAAAATCAAGGTTTTTTTTATAGCAACTTAAATGTTCAACAAGTATAAAATTTTAAAAAGAGGGCCCGGTGCGGTGGCACAAGTGGTTAAGGTCCTCGCCTTGCACGCCCGGGATCCCATATGGGCACCGGTTCTATTATTTTTTCATTGGAAAGGCGGATATACAGAGAGGAGAGACAGAGAGGAAGATCTTCCGTCCGATGATTCACTCCCCAAGTGAGCGCAACGGGCCGATGCTATGCCAATCCGAAGCCAGGAGCCTCTTCCGGGTCTCCCACGCGGGTGCAGGGTCCCAAAGCTTTGGGCCGTCCTCGACTGCTTTCCCAGTGGGCGCCGGTTCTAATCCCAGCAGCCCCGCTTCCCTTCCAGCTCCCTGCCTGTGGCCTGGGAAAGCAGTCGAGGACAGCCCAAGGCTTTGGGACCCTGCCCCCTCGTGGGAGACCCGGAAGAGGCTCCTGGCTTCGGATCGGCATAGTATCAGCCGTTGTGCTCACTTGGGGAGTGAATCATTGGACGGAAGATCTTCCTCTCTCTCTCTCTTCTCTGTATATCCGCCTTTCCAATAAAAAATAATAAAAATAAATCTTTAAAAAAAAATAGAAAAAAAATAAAAAGAAAAAAAATAAAATTTTAAAAAGATATAATTTGGAAAAAGTAATATCAAATACTGTGGTGCAGTGGGTTTAACTACCAGTTGCAGTGCATGCCTCCCATGGTAGATTCCCAGTTTGAGTCCTGGCTGCTCCCCTTCTTATCCTTCTCCCTGCTAATGCACCTGGGAAAGCTGTAGAAGTTGTCCAAGTACTTAGACCCTAACATCCAGATGGGACTCCTCGATGGAGCTCCAGGATCCTGTCATTACTCTGGACCAGGCCCAGCTGCTGTAGTGATTTGGGGATTGAATCTGTGTAGAAACTGTCTTTCCATCTCTCTTAAATGCTGCCTTTCAGGCAAATGATCTTTAAAAAAAAAAATGTATTCAAAAGAATAACAGGTTGTATAAGAAAGTGCCAATTTAGATTCTCTAAATATCTGTGACTATATAAATTTTTTGCCAGTATATTGTCATTTGAAAAATATCAGTTCTATTAAGCAGTAGGTCGGGCAGCTTGCCAAACAAATATAAATTCTATTTCCTTTCTGTGGGATGTCTTTAGTTTGTTGTTTTTACTTGGTGTGTCTGTGTGAGTTAGCACCTGGGCCTTTTGTTTCTGAAGCTCTTCACATTTTTTAAAAAGACTTATTTAGTTTTATATTTGAAAGGCAAAGTGACAGAGAGAGAGAAAAGGAGAAATGGAGTCACATCTTTCATTCACTGGCTTACTCCCCACATGGCCGCATGGCTGAGACTGGTCCAGGTTGAAGCCAGGAGCCTGAAAATCCATTTAAATTTTCCAGCTCGGTGGCAGTGGCTCAAGCACTTGGGTAATCCTTCCCTGTCTTCCCTGAAAAGAACATAGCAGGAAAGTGGATCAGCAGCGGAGCAGTCAGAGCTGGAACTGGCACTTTGATATAGTATGTCAGTTTCCGAAGCAGCAACTGCCAGCTGGATCCCTTGCAGTGAGTTTTATAGGAATACATGCATTTCTTCAACAACACATTGGCCACCCAGAAGCATGTTATTTAACTTGTTATTGTAAATTTTCTAGTTTTGTTCCTGGTGTTCATTTTATTTTATGGCTTTTCACTTAAGGGGATGCATAGTAACTGTGTAATACAGACTGTCATATCCAGATGTGAAGATACAATGCAGTATGCCTCTCTACTTCCAAATCAAACACGGACTCCCAATGGGACTGTTAAGTATATCTTGACAATAGGATGCTAGACTCTGCCATTGTCCATGCTTGCGATGTCAGGATACACTTAAATAACAGAATGATGGACTTATGACTGTTTATGAAGGACTATACCATTGGAATAATAAAGGGTAAATTTCTGTGGGAGGGGAAATCCCAGAGCCTATGGAACTGTATCATAAAATAGAGAGAGAGAGAAAAGTGGAGCAGCCAGCACATAAAGCATTGCTCATGCAGGATGCTGCTGTTACAGGTGGCAGCTTCACCTTCACGCCACAATGCTGGCCCCTACAGATGAGCATTTCCTCTCCAGAATATGCAACTGATTATACATTTTAAAGCATCTTTCCAATTATGTCATGTTTTCTTGAGTAGTCATAACTCATTGTTTGATCTGTGCCGAGTCATTTCCACACTGCATCTAATTCATAAATTCTTCCAGAACCGAGACCTGAAATAACAAGTCAATCTGCAATGAACTGTTTCGGAAACTTTTTTTTTTGCTACTTTGTAAGTTATAATCAACAAAATAATTGAGAGACCATGAATATTTTCCATAAACAGCCAGTAGTATTTCAGGCTTCTCACATTATATATGATCTCTCATATGTTGTCTGTAACTTTTTTTTTTTAATAATTTTTTAAATAAAAACATCCAATTTGCTCTTAGGTCATGGAGTATACACAAATAGGTTGCAGACTGGACTTGGCCCAGGTTGTATTTACACTAACTAAAGAAACAAAATGAAAATGCTCCATTTATCTACATGGTCACCTACTTGCACATAATCAATTCCAGGACTGTCATTTGTAGCTGGCCCAATGGCTCCTTCAGCACATAACCTTTCACCCAGACAAAATTTTTTCCAGCCTTCTTCATCTTCAGATTTTGGCTAAGAGAGAAAAAAAATAATTTCTCTGTATTTATTTTTATGCTGAACAATAAAAACAAAAAGGATCCCTTATATCCCTACCACTACAACACAAATACACAGTGTCAGTTATAGGTAAAACTATCTGTCTCCAAAATTTGCATGTTGAGGTCCTGGCCACCAATGCCTCAGAATGTGACTGTTCGTATTTGAAATTAGAGTTTTTAAAGAAGCTATCAGAGGGGCTGATCCTGTGACACAGTGGGTAAAGGTGCCTCCTGCTGTACCAGCATCCCATAAGGACACTGGTTTGGGTCCTGACTGCAACAGTTTCTATTTAGCTCCCTGCCAATGTGCTTGCAAAATCAAATGGATGCCCCAAGTCCTTGTACATTTCTGTTTAAGCCATGTGGTCTTTTATGACAGCACTTGGAATTACAGAGCTTAGATGATGATATATGTGGATCACATTTTAATGGACACTAACAAGAAAGTTTATGTCCAAAAAGGATGGTAAAGATGGAAACTGGGGGTAAAGAGGGTGGGCAGGTATTGTGGCCTAATGAGTTAAGCTGCTGCCTGCAATGCCAGTATCACACATGGATGCAAGTTCAAGTCTCAGTTGCACCACTTCCAATCCAATCTGCTACTGCCCTTGGGGAAAGCAGTAGAAGATGGCCCAACTCCCTGGAACTCTGTAGCCATGTGGCAGACCAAGATGAAGCTCCTGGTTCCTGGCTTCAGCCTGGCTCAGCCCCAATTGTTGTGGCCATTTGAGCAGTGAAGCAGTGGATGGAAGATCTCTTTTTCTCCCTTTCTTTCTATAGAGAAACTCTGTTTTTGGAAAAATAAACAGTTAAAAGAAAAAAGACGGAAATCAGTATGGGGCAGTATATGTGGATATTGCATTCTACATTGGCATGCCACTTCATGGCTCAGCTACTTTGCTTGATGCAGTTTCTTGCCTCGCCCTGGGAAGCCAGTGGATAGTGACAGAGGACAAGCACTTGGGCTTCTGCAACCTACGCAGGACATCTGAACAGAGTACCTGGTCCATTTCTGGCTAATGCAACCATGTGGGAAATGAAGTAACACACAGAAGGTCTCTCTTTGTCCCTCCTACTGACCTGGTTACTCTGCCTTTCTAGTAAACAAACCTTCTAAAAAATACACAGTAAGTGCTTGATAAGCACATAAATAAATCAAAATGTGTATTTACATAATTGCCATCAGCAAGTACTCTTAAATTTTCCATTTAAATTTAATGCTTACTTTTCCTTTGAAAGATTTATTTTTATTGGAAAGGCAGATATACAGAGAGGAAAAGAGACAGAGAGGAAGATCTTCCATCCAATGATTCACTCTCAAAGGGGCTTCATGGCTGGAACTGTGCCAATCTGAAGCAAGGAGCCAGGAGCCTCTTCCAGATCTCCAACATGGGTGCAGGGTCCCAAGGTTTTGAGCTGTCCTTGACTGCTTTCCCAGGCCACAAGCAGGGAGCTGGATGGGAAGGGGCTGCCTCAATAGAACTGTGGCCCATATGGGATCACGATGTGTACAAGCTGAGGACTTCAGCTGCTAGGCTACCATTCTTGGATCTATTTATATTTTTAAAAAAGATGTACTTATTTTTATTGGAAAGGCAGATCAGATTTTACAGAGAAGCAGAAACAGAGAAACAGATCCTCCCTCCACCGGTTCACTTCCCAAGCAGCTGCAACAGGCAGAGCTGAACCAATTTGAAGCCATGATTCAGGAACTTATTTTGGTCTCCCTAGTAGGTGTAGCGTTCCAAGGCTTCAGACCATCTTCTACTGCTTTCCCGGGCCACAAGCAGGGAGCTGGATGAGAAATAGACAACTGGGACATCAACCAGGATCATATGTGATACAAGCATGTGTAGGCAGCTGATTAGTAAATTGAGCCATTTTCTTGGCCCTAATGATTACACTTATAACTGCTATAATCTACTAGAGGGATAGACTGTGATTGACTTAACTGTGTTAGGATGTAGGTGGGAAGGGCCCAAGTACCTGAGCCATCACATGAAGCAGCACCCTGATACAGGATGCTGGTGTTATAACAAGCTGCTTGACCTATTATACTACAGTGTTAGTCCCTCTCCGAATTTTTTTTATCCAGGACTCTGGATTTAACACACTTAGTGAAGAAGTTAAAATTATCTCTAAGCTGATAAAATGCAAGGAATACAACTCTGTTGTGTGCATGACATGCTTCAATGCTATGTCCCTTTATTATGAAATAGATACCATAGGCTAAAAATTTATGTATGGGTTTCCTGCATGACACCATAAATTCATCAGGAAAATTCAACAAGTTTTGAAATTTGCTTTTATTATTTATTTAATATGTAGATAGACATACATGCATAGAGAGAAACAAAAACAGAAACAGAGCTCTCATCAGCTGGTTCATTCCCCAAATTTCCCCAAAAGACAATGCTAAGCCAGACTGAAGCCTGCAGCAGGGAACTCCATTGGCCTCCCAGGTGGTTAGCAGAGACCCATCCATTCAGCCCTAAGAAATAGTCTCCCAGGGGCTGCATTAGCAAGGACATAGAAATGGGAATAGAGTTATGACTTAACCCCAAGTACTGTGATGGGGGAGGCAGGCATACTAAATGGTGTCTTAACTATTAGTCTCAATACCCGCTCCCAAATTCAATCTTTTATAAATTGTGAAAATGTACTTATTTCCTAAAATGTAAACATCCAGAAGGAACTAAGAATTAGCAGGGTCCAGCACAACAGCTCAGCTGCTAAAATCTTTGCCTTGTACGCACTGGGAACCTATATGGGCATCAGTTTGTGTCCTGGCTACTCCACTTCCCATCCATCTCCCTGCCTGGGGCCTGGGAAAGCAGGGGAGAATGGCCCAAAGCCTTGGGACCCTGCATCCACAGGGAGACCCAGAAGAAGCCCCTAGCTCCTGGCTTTGGATTGGCTCAGCTTCAGCTATGGCGGCATCTTGGGGAGCGAACCAGTGTAAAAAGGAACTGTCTGTCTCTTTCTCCTTCCCTTTGTAAAATTTGATCTGCCTTTCTGATAAAAATCTAAAAATAAAAAAATTTTTAAAAAAAGGATTTAGGGGCCCGGCGCGGTGGCGCAAGTGGTTAAAGGTCCTCGCCTTGCACGCCCGGGATCCCATATGGGCGCCGGTTCTAATCCCGGCAGCCCCACTTCCCTTCCAGCTCCCTGCTTGTGGCCTGGGAAAGCAGTCGAGGACGGCCCAAAGCTTTGGGAACCTGCACCCACGTGGGAGACCCGGAAGAGGCTCCTGGCTTCGGATCGGCATAGTATCGGCCCGTTGCGCTCACTTGGGGAGTGAATCATCGGATGGAAGATCTTCCTCTCTGTCTCTCCTCTCTGTACATCCGCCTTTCCAATAACAAAAATAATAAAAAATAAATCTTTAAAAAAAAAAAAAAAAAAAAAAAAGGATTTGCAAAGGCTAACCAGTTACCCATCTAAATCCTGCAAACGCTTATAGATTAAAACTGTTATGAAACTAACACCTTAACTACTGAGTATATTACTAACAATGGTATATATAGAAGAGACTAAAAATAATACGCACTAAGAAAGTGAACTTTTAAAAACTGTAAGTAAATAGGGACTATCAAATAGTTCATAAATTGAGATTACATACCATGGTCACATTACTGTCCAATTGCTGTGACTTCCAGTGACTTCTATGTTTGTTCACACTCTAAAGGAAGAAAAAATTAATAATCTTCTTAAAACTTGGAAAAATGTTTCACACTATATGTTATATAGTGCTGAGTTGGCAATGCATGCCTAAATATTTTGCATATTTCAGAATCACAAATCTTAGTTTTACAATTACAGTGTAAGAAATGAATCTGATTAAATGTGACACTTACCCAACGAACACTTGAAAACTGTGACACTTGTTGCTGTTGCCACTGAAGAGTTGGAGAGTAACCTTCAGGTGCAGGCTGGCAGCCTGAAAGCTAGAGATCAGTTGAAAAGATGTTAGATTCAATGTTAGTGCTTTAACTAGAATCCATGCCTCTGCAAAGTAAATGTGACATTAAGATGAACAACAAATAAGACAAAAAAAAAAAAAAAAAAAAAACGGCTGTAATAACCAGAGCTGGGCTATGCCAAAGCTAGTAGCCAGGCAGGAAGGCAGGAGGGACCCACGCGCCAGGGTCATCCTCACTGGCATGGAGCTGGACAGGAACTGGAACAGCTGGGACTTGATGTGCTACGATGCCAGCACTGCAGACAGCCAATAACTTGCAGTGCCACAATATCATCTCCTGGCTGGCTTCTCAACAGACGGAACAGGAGTTGTGCCTAAATCTCCCAGGTGGGTGTTGGGAACTCAAGTACCTGGGTCATCAACTGCTGCTTCCCAGGGACATCCCAGCAAGCAGGATCAAAAGCAGAGTGGCCAGGATTCTAATATGCGCATCCTAAGCTGAATATTATCAATGTTTACATTTTCACAGCAATGTCTGCAATATATAATCTTAATTTTGTGTTTGTTTACTCTGACTTCTTCAGGAGAATGTAGGCTCTGTCAGGGTTGAAATCTTATCTGTTCCTGTATTATAGTCCCAGAACCTGGTACAACTTATTTAATAAAATAACCACCTTTGGGCCCGGGGCGGTAGCCTAATGGCTAAAGTCCTTGCCTTGCTCGTGCTGTGATCCCATATGGGTACTGATTCATATCCCAGCTGCTCTACTTCCTTCCCAGCTTCCTGCCTGTGGCCTGGGAAAGCAGTTAAGGATGGCCCAAAGCCTTGAGTCCCTGCACCCATGTGTAAGAAACTCGGAAGAAGCTCCTGGCTTCGGATCAGCTCAGCTTCAGGTATTTGCTGTTATTTGAGGAATGAATCAGTGGATGGAATTCTTTCTCTCTGTCTCCCCTTCTCTCTGTAAATCTGACTTTCCAATTAAAATAAATAAACCTTTACAATAAAATAACCACTTTATTGCTCTTACTTGCTGGGTAAATTAGGGGGAAAAGAAGTCCAAAGTGTGTAAGTACTTAGAAAAGAGTTAAGAGATTAGTTTTCTATTGTTAAAAAAACAAAAAACAGGATGTCATAATGGCATAGCAGGGTAATCCTCTGCCTGAGACCCCTGCATCCCATATGGGCTCCAGCTCCTATTCCTGCTGCTGCAGTTCCCACCCAGCTCCCAGCTTGTGGCTTGGAAAAGCCAGCGAGGATGGCCCAAAGCCTTGGGTTCCTGCACCCACACAGAAGACAGGCAGGAAGCACATGGCTCCTTCCCTCGGATTGGCTAAGCCCTATCAGCCACTTGGGGAGCAAAACAGCGGCTTTTCCAGTGAAAGAATTAAGAAAAAAGAGGGAGAGATCATGGCAATGTAGATAACGCGAAAAAGCTATGCTCTTAATTTAAAAGTTAAAAAAAGAAACTCAAAGTCAGAACACACAAATTACACTCTAACCACTAGTGGAACAATTAGAAAAATGGAACTCGAAAAAGGTTCCTTAAGAATAGAGGATACCATAAGAAATTTAATTAATTAATTTTTAAAATTGTTTTAACTAAGTAACTTATTTAATGTCTGTGTGTATGGTGTATGAGGGATACTCCCATTTGATTATAAAAACTCACAGAAACATTCACACTTTGCTTCCTTTTCAACTTCTTTGGGTCAATCTGAGCTACCACCACATCTGGGCACTGCGCTGCTTCGATCCTACAAATAAGCAACAAATGCAAAGACATTTACTATTGTGGTCCGTCCATGTGACCCACACCCACAGTTCACCATGAAATCAGAAAAGCCATTCTGAGTTCCAAGTGGGGCATTAACCACGGAATGCCCCAAGTGATCTAGATTAAAAGCTAAGAAACCCAAGAACACACATCTTCGTGTTTGCAATCAAGGTAAAAGGAAACTGGCCGCTTGCGACGTAACGGGGAGAGCCCCGGTGGACCCCATGGGACAGGGATGGAGGCGGGACCCGCGCAGGGCCAAGGCACTCACTGGACCCGCCGCAGGTACTCCTGGGGCGTCCTCGGGGGCACCGAGGGATCGAAACCTTCCGTCAAGTCGCAGGGTTCCACCGGCAAGAGCCGGGGCATCAACTCCTCCACCGCGGACTCCGCCGCAGGAACCCACGCCATGGCTTTCAATCCAGCCGTCCCGCGCGGCGCATGCGCTGAACCTAGGTCACGACGCAGGCGCACGAGTCGGCCGCTATGTTTGGGAGGGGTGAGCGCGCATGAGCAGATCGAGCGCTTGCCCTGAGGTTAAGGCTTGTGTGGTGAAATCAAGAAATGAAAATAAATAATGCAGGTTGGACTAGGGTATTGTTCCGCAGCTGTTCCAACATTGCTTCTGGGATTTTACCTCGTGTTCTGGACTTTAAGAAGTTATTAGCTGCTGTTCATCCGTACAGTGAGGGATGTTTGAATTTTTTTTTTTTTTGGTGAATCCTATTTCAGTAATTACCATTTTTTTGGAACGCTAAATTCTTAAGTCCTAGATAAAAGTGTTACAGACATTTCCTCATTTGATTCTTAAAGCAACCCTGTGGAGAAGATATTATTATTTTGGTGTGTGGGGGGAGTAAAGTATACAACTGTGGCTTTCTTCCAACTACGGCTCAATGCTGAAAGAATAAAAGATTAATTTTCAATGGGATTTCTTCCGTTTGGGCACTTTAAAGATCACTTTACATTTGTCTAAAACTAATATTACTCCTGAAGTAGCTGTTGTTGTTGTTCAAGACAAATCTCTTGGCTTAAATATACATAATCAAAGGGCGAACTTATCACAAACATCCAGAAATTTTCCATTATTAGCACTGGATCATTCCTGTGAGGTGGCACTGTTATTATCTTTACAGGTGTGCAAACAAGGCAGGAATGAATTAATTGACTTGTTCTGGGTCACGCAGTCCAAGAAACAATGAAAGTATTATGTCTGCTCCTTTCTAAGCATACTCTGAGAGCAAACAGTTGACCTTTATTTTCTAACATGTATGTTTACTTTCAAGAACTTTTTTTGGTGTGTGTTGGCTTTTGTGTCCTAACCAGGATGTAACTTACTTAATTCAAGGGAGACCAGTCAGGTGAAGAGCTAAGGAGTTAGTAGTGCTTGCCGATTGTAACTGGACAGTTGCTGACAAACTAGAAAGTGGCTTTCCTTGGGACTGGCACTGTGGTGCAGCTGTGAAGGCGCTGCTTGGGTCACCTGCACCCACTTCTGAGTGACCGGTTGGCACTCCTGGCTATCCTGCTGTGGTCTGGCTCTCTGCTTACGTGTACCTTGAAGGAGAAGGCAATGGCTCAGGTGCCTGGATCCCTACCAACTCTGTGGGAGCCCCTGGTGGAGTTCCGGGCTCCTCCTCCAGCAGCAGTCGTGGCTGGTTGGGGGCATCTGAGGAGTGAGCCAGTGGATGGGAGATCTGCTTCTGCCTCTCTCCCTCTTTCGATGTTGCACTGCCTTTCAGATGATTTTCAAAAACTTTTTCATTGTTTTTTTTTGGGGGGAGGGGGAAACTGACAGAAGAAAAGTAGAAGTGTTCCTGTCACCCAACATTTGGGTGATAAGAAGAAATTTGGAGAAAAAATAAGCAATGATTTCATTTTTGGATTTTCTTACAGATATTTAAAAAAATATATAGGTATATAAATTATTCTCAATTTGGCCTTCCTCTTCTGGAGGACTTGTAGTTACTTAGCTGACCATTCGCCAATGAAACGATGCTTCACACTGCACTCTTCAGAACGTGTTAAGGAACAAAGCAAAGGGATAACAAAATGAAAATTTCCTGGGATGTAATGATAAATTATCTTCTGAAAGAGGAGGTGAGTAATAATTAACAAAAAATGATTTGAAATGATTCTGAAAATGTAATTTTAAATAATGAATTCAGTCTGGAAACGGAAATTCATGCAGGTCGCTTTCTGCTTTTGAAATCCAATCTGACTTAAAATTATTAGTGATGAACTTTAGATCTGATTTTTCACATGGTTTTAAATTGGAAATTGTGTAAGTATTTTGGATGTTTCAGTGAGAAATGGGATAGCTGAGAATAAGTGATATTTAAATTATTCTGAAAAAATGCTACATTTTTGTAAAGCTGAACTTCTGGAATAACCATTTTATATAAACTCCTCTGAAGGGTAAACGATGTCTGTGGTACTGAACTACTTCAGGTGCTTTGTTTGTAGAGATTTCAAGTCAGTTTTCATTTCACAATGAAAGCTTTTGTGTGTAATGTCCCTTATGTTGGTGGTTGGCTGGGGAATTCCATGAGGGTTGTGAGAACAGAGTGCTGTGTGTTTATGGGTGATGTGGCACATTGAGGTTGCTGTTTATTGAGGATCAAGGGATGTTAAGTTATCCATGCACAACTAAATGCGAAGGCTGTTTCTGTTGTTTGTATCCTGTAAAGCAGATTGGATTATTATTGTGCATAGGAATCATTCTGAGGAAATTATTTAGAATACAGATGCAGTGTTTCTTACATAGCTTCTGTTTCTACTGATTGGGTGTAGAGTTCAGAAAATGACATTTTAGAAAAGATTCCAAGTGAAAAACAATTTTGTCTATTTTTTTAAAGATTTATTTATTTTTATTACAAAGTCAGATATACAGAGAGGAGAGACAGAGAGGAAGATCTTCCGTCCGATGACTCACTCCCCAAGTGACCACAATGGCTGTTGCTGCACCAATCTGAAGCTGGGAACAAGGAACCTCTTCCGGGTCTCCCACGCGGGTGCAGGGTCCCAAAGCTTTGGGCCGTCCTCGACTGCCTTCCCCGGGCCACAGGCAGGGAGCTGGATGGGAAGTGGAGCTACTGGGATTAGAACCGACGCCCATATGGGATCTTGGCACGTTCAAGGTGAGGACCTTAGCCGCTAGGCCACAGGGCCAGGCCCTGTCTATTTACTTTAGTATTTCCATTCCCATTTTTAAAGATTGACCACAGCAGAAAGTCTACTGTCTTCTCTCAGTTCATTTTTCTTGGTGACAGTCTAAACTTCATTTGGATAAGACAACTTCTAAAAAGATGCATTTTATTGAAGGATTTATTTTATTTATTTATAAAGCAAACTTACAAAGAAAGGGACAGAGAGAAAGAGGTAGAGAGGAAAAACTATGTTGGGTCACTCCCCAAATGTCTGCAGTGGCCAGGGCTGGGCCTGTACAAAGCCAGGAGCCAGGAGCCAGGAGCTTCATTTTTTCTCCTATTGGAGTTTCAGGCACCAAGAACTTAGGCCATCTTCTGCAGTTTTCCCAGTCATGTTAGAAAAGAGCTGGATTGGAAGAGGAGTAGCCAAAACTCAAACTGGAGCCCATATGGGATTCTATCACTGTAGTCATAACTTATCTGCTTACTTCACAGTTGTGAATTTTGGCTGGCTACTACATTTTAAAAAATATTTATTTATTGGGGCCATCACTGTGGCAGAGCAGGTAATGCTAGGGTGCTGGCATTCCATATGGGTGTGGGTTGGTAGAGTTATGGAGAGAGAAAGAGACAAATTTTCTTTTTTTTTTAAGATTTATTTATTTTTATTACAAGGTCAGATATACCGAGAGGAGGAGAGAGAGAGGAAGAGCTTCTGTCCAATGATTCACTCCCCAAGTGAGTGCGACTGCCAGTGCTGTACCGATCTGGAGCCAGGAGCCAGGAGCCAGGAACTTCCTCCAGGTTTCCCACATGGGTGCAGGGTCCCAAAGCTTTGGGCTGTCCTCGACTGCTTTCCCAGGCCACAAGCAGGAAGCTGGATGGGAAGTGGAGCTGCTGGGTTTAGAACCAGTGCTGACATGGGATCCCGGCGTGTTCAAGGTGAGGACTTTAGCTGCTAGGCCATTCCTCCGGGCCTTTTACTCACTGATACACTCCCTGAATAGCTGTAGTATGCATTGCTGGGCCAGGATCCAGAAGCTTTAACCCATTCTTCTGTGTAGCTGCAGGGACTCAAGTATATGGGCCATCTATTGCTGCTTTCCTAGCTGTTAGCAGAGAACTGGACTGGAAGTGGAGCTGCTGGGACTGGAACTGGTACCCATATTGGATGTTGCCATTGCAGGTGGCAGCTTAATCTGGAAAGCCACAATAGCAGTTTCACTTGCATTTTTAATGATTTAGTTAGCCAGTTAGTATTGACCAGTTTGTTATTGTTTGTAAGGCACTGTAGTAGGTAAGCTTCTATTATGTTGCTCAGGAGAGTGGACAGAGAAGTATTTTAAATGTTAACTAAGATAAGTAAATGTTATTTAAAAAAAAGTTTCGGGCCCAGCGCTGTGACCTAGTGGCTAAAGTCCTCGCCTTGAATGCACTAGGATCCCATATGGGTGCCAGTTCTAATCCCAGCAGTTCTACTTCCCATCCAGCTCCCTGCTTGTGACCTGGGAAAGCAGTTGAGGATGGCCCAAAGCCTTGGGATCCTGCACCCACTTGGGAGGCCAGGAGGAAGCTCCTGGCTCCTAGCTTTGGATTGGCTCAGCTCCAGCTATTGCGGCCACTTGGGGAGTGAACCAGTGGACCGAGGATATTCCTCTCTGTTTCTCCTCCTCTCTGTATATCTGCCTTTCCAATATAAATGAATAAATAAATCTTTGAAAAAAAAGATACAAGGTAGATATGGGTGGAAGAACTTTTTCAGTGTGGGTAAGTGAAGATCAACAGAAAGAGAGGAAGCAAAGCTCACTTAGATTAGAACTTGTTATAAAAAAGAGCATCAGCCACCGTCGCTAACATGTTGGCAGAGATCAAAGGGTTATGATGTGGCAGATCCTATATGAGAATGTGAGTTTGAGCGCCAGCTGCTCTGTCTCTGACCCGTTTCCCTGTTAATGTGCCTGCTGGGAGCAGAAGATGGCATTGACTTCCTGCCACCCGTGTTGGAGATCTGGACAGAGTTCTGGGCACTTCTTCGCTTTGGCTCAAATTGATCTGATCATTGTGGCCATTTTTTGGGTGTTCCAGCAAATCAAAGCCTTCTCTCACTTCTCTCAGCACCTGTCACTCTGGTTTTCAAATAAATAAACCTTGAAAAAGAAAAAATGCAGGCAGATGCTATGGCATTATAAAAGTCTTTTGGCATAGAGATGTATGCAAGTACTATGATTTGGGTGTGTTCCCTGAAGTTTATATATCAGAAATTTAATCTACAAGTTCATATGTTCATGATATTTGCTGGAAGTGCATTTTGGAGGTAATCAGGACTAAGTAGCATCATCAGTATGGGTCACCGTGATGGCATTAGTGATTTTATGAGTATAGAAGACACACCTGTCCTAGCACATTCCTTTGTAGTGCAGCAGGAAGGCCCTCACAGGTGCCAATCCCAAGCACCATGCTCAAACTTTTCAGCCTGCAGAATCCTGAGCCAAATAAACGTGTAGTTTGTGTAAGTTACATAGTCTGGTTCTTTATTATAGTAACAGTAAACGGGTTAAGATAGAAGGCTAACTAGAAATGGAGCTAGGAATGGGTGATCATATGGGAATAGTGATATGGCAAGTGACAGCTTAATTTATTGTGCTTCAGTACTGGGCCCAAGTATGTCTTTGCTGTTTTTAAAGATGTATTTTTTATTTGAAAGATAGGGTGACACATAGAGAAGGAGAGAGAGAGAGAGAGAGAGAGAGAGAGAGAGAGAGAAAGGTTCCCAATCCTCTGGTTCATTTCCCAAGTGGCTGTAACTACTGGAGCTGTTTTCATCTGGAACTCAAGTGGGTACAGGGGCTCAAGGACCTAAGTCATCCTCTGCTGCTTTCCCAGCTCCCCAGAACATGAGCAGGGAGCTGGATTGAAGTGAACCAGCTGGACCTTGGACTGGTGTTCATGTGGGTTGCTGGTACAGCAAGTGGAGGCTCTGCATGCCACAACACTGTGCTGGTCCGATAGTCCTTTTGAATGTAGACCAGAATGCCTTATAGATACTACCCTCAAGTTATGGACTGGGGACACTATTGATGCTGAAAATTCAAACGTGGCTTCTTCTACTGAACCCTACAAAAGTAGTTGGCTAGAGACTTTGTCAGCATTTGAATAAAAGAAAGTTCCTGTTGAAGAAAGTTTAAATATTTCGTTCATATTAGAAAGCAGAGTAAACCGAGAAGAAAAGATGGAGGCGAAAGCTCCATCTGGTGGTTAACATACACAGTGCCAAAACTTGATATCACCATGCTTCAGTGGACTATGCAGTACTGGAATCTCCTAGATTTGAAATATCTGTGGGTTTTGAAGTGAGAAGGAGCATTTTGGCTGTTATATATTAACTAATGTTTGGGACAATTCAGGATGGGAGATTAAGACTTTCATAAGCTAAATACTTGCCCTGATAGTCCTGAAAAAAATTTACAAGATTGAATATCTTTGAAAATGTATGTAAATATCACTCTTAAAAAAAGAGATTTATTTTATTTTTATTGTAAAGTCAGATATACAGAGAGGAGGAGAAACAGAGATCTTCCGTCTGCTGATTTACTCTCCAGGTGACCACAACAGCTGGAACTGAGCCAATCCAAAGCCAGGAGCCAGGAGCTTCCTCCTGGCTTCCCAAGTGGGTGCAGGATCCCAAGGCTTTGGGCCATCCTCAACTGCTTTCCCAGGTCACAAGCAGGGAGCTGGATGGGAAGTAGAACTGCTGGGATTAGAACTGGTACCCATATGGGATCCTGGTGCATTCAAGGCGAGGACTTTAGCCACTAGGTCACAGCGCTGGGTGCTAAATCCCACTCTTGAAAATTGACAGGGAATATTAGCATATTAGTCTCCTTCCATACACACACACACGAAAATTATTTTACATATTTAACTGTGTCCTAATTTGATTTTCTGTTGCTCTTAAATCTTGGCGTTTTTAGAAATGCTACTTTGATGTTCTTGGACCTGTGGATGCACTAAGCTGGACTTTGTTAACCAACAGACCTTAGAAAGATTTTCTGAACTCTGAAGCAGAGAAGCCAACAGCTTCTCAGAACTATTAAAAGCACTGAAGTAACATCTTAGGAACACTTTATCACATAGGCGTCTATAAGGCATCATCAAGTGACTGTCCTCCACCCCTAGGTGCTGATATAGTTTGACAGCCAGGAAATGCTCCCTCTTTCTCCTTTACTGTAGACACAGGAGAAAAAAAAAATTGAAACATTTGCCTCACCCACTTTCTTCCATACATGAACCCTCCCAATCCCAATCAGAGGTGCATATGGGCATGCTTCTTCTCAACTATGTAACAATATTAAAATAAAATTAAAATAATAAAAGAAAAAAGTTGGGACCCAGCATGATAGCTCAGTGGCTAAATCCTCACCTTGGGCACACACCAGGATCCCATGTGAGTGCTGATTTGTTTCCTGCTTGCTCTACTTCCTATCCAGCTCCCTGCTTATGGCCTAGGAAAGCAGTAGAGGATGGTCCAAAGCCTTGGGATCCTGCACCTTGTGGGAGACCTAGAAGAAGCTCCTGGCTCCTGACTTCAGATCGGCATAGTTCCAGCCATTGTAACCACTTGGGGAGTGAATCAGCAGACAGAAAATCTTTCTGTAAAATCTCCTTTTCCAATAGAAATAAATGCTCTTTAAAAACTTAAAAAGGAAAAAATTATTTAACATGGAAGGCATATTTTACAGAATGACAAGGAGATACAGACAGATCTTCCTTGTACTGGTTCACTCCTTGTGTGGCTGCAATAGCTAGAGTTGAGCGGATCCGAGGCTGGGAACCAGGAATTTCTTCCAGGCCTCCCAGGGATGCAGGGGCCCAAGAACCTGAGCTATTCTCTGCTTCCTTTCCAGGCCATTAGCCTGGATCTGGGTTGGAAGAGGAGAGGCTGGGAGTAGAACAGGTGCCAAAATGGGATGTGGGTGGTGCAAAGGTGGAGGATTAGCCTACTATGCCATTATGCTGGCCCCTTGAATTATGCTTTTTAGGTTTTCACGTTTGTTCATGAATGTTAAAGGAATAGTATTTAAAACAAAAGACAAGACAAAACTTACAGGCCTGGAGTGTTAGCCTAGTGGCTAAAGTCCTCGCCTTGCATGTGTGCTGGTTTTTGTTCCTCCTGCTCCACTTCTCATCCAGCTCCCTGCATGTGACCTGGGAAAGCCGTCAAGGACAGCCCAAAGTCTTAGGATCCTGTACCTGCATGGGAAACCCCAAAGAATCTCCTGGCTTCAGAGTGGCTCAGCTCCACCCATTGTGGCCACTTGGGGGAGTGAATCAGTGGATGGAAGATCTTTCTCTCTTTTTTAGATTTCTTAGAGCTATAAATAAAGGTGCCCTTTTGAGAATCATGAAATGCATGAAATTACTGATGTGTTATAATTTATTCTTGGTGCTCAATGTCCACATGGATTTCGTCATCTGTGTAGCTATGGTCTGAATGTTTGGGTCATCCACATTCACATGTTGAAATCTTGACCCACAAGGTGATGGAGTTAGGCACTAGGGCTTTGGAAAGTGTTAGGTCACCAGAGCGAAGCCCAGGGTTCATGCTGTGGTACAGGTTGTTAAGCCACTGCCTACACTGCTAGCATCCCACGTAAGAGTGCCAGTTTGATCTCTGATCCGGCTCATGCTAATGTGCCAGGAAGGCAGCAGAAGATGGCCCAAGTACTTGGTCTTTTGCTATCCCTGGGAGAGGCCAAGATAGGCTTTCAGGCTGTTGGCTTTGGCCTGGCCCGGCACAAGCTATTGTTGCCATTGGGAGTATAAACCAGCAGGGGGAAACTCTGACTCCTCTCTTACTCTGCTTGTCAAATAGATAAATGAAGCTTTAAAACAAACAAGGGCAGAACTTTCACGCATTGGATTAGTGTCCGCAGAAAGCAGCCTTGCAGCCTGAGACGACAGTGGGAAAACTGCAGTTAGGAATCAGAAGGTATCAGTCACAGGTAGCAAGCTTGGATCTCCCATTTTTGTGGCTGTCTCATTTTTGCTTCACCCTTTGCTTGGAATGAGAAGTTAGCAATCGTGTGGAAATTACTCGGCTCAAGATTGAATTGTGTGTGTGTGGGTGGGGGATTGGGTGAGGGGTATGGAAATGGGATGGCAGACACGGATGTAGGAAAACAGACTGCTGAGACTTTATTAATAGTATGTAAATTCTTCCAGGCAGGGGATTCTGGCCCGTTTTGCTTACATCACATCACCAGCATCTCAACCGTGTCTGGCACATTTGTCCAGCCGAAGCGAAAGAACAAACTTCTCACTTTGTTCTTGCAGAGATGTGGCTTACGGTTCCAGGCAATACTGGGGCCCCCTAGAAGAGGGTGCCCTAGAGGACTCCTCCATTTCTCTCAGCAGCTGAGGAGGAGTCCACGTGACAATGGAAGAAATTCTCCATCCATCCAGAAATCCGCAAGGAGTGGGGTCCACCGTGGCTCTGGAGAGAGCGGAAAAGCCACCGCCCAGCCACCGCCCAGCCACCTCCCAGGTCGCCCCGTTCCCCGGCGCCTTCCACGACACTCTCCGCCTCTGTACTTCCTGTGGTGTCCGCCCGCCCTATTCAGGGCCCTCCTTCGGGCCGCCCCGCCCCTCCTTCCTCCACGCCTTCTGCCTCAGTGCCACGCCCCTCCTGCCTTCACACCCGCCCATCCTTCCCTCCACAGCCCTCCCCTTCCGCCACCACGCCCCGCCTTCCTGCCTTCACGCCCCGCCCTCTGCCCTCCACGCCCCGCCCCTTCTCCCAATTCACGTCCCGTCCTTCCTCCCTCCACGTCCCGCCCTCTTTCCCACACGCCCCGCCCATCTGCGCCCCGCCCCCTCTGCCTCCCCTCCCGCCCCTCCTTCCTCCTCCACGCCCCGCCCCCTCCCCTCGCGCCCCGCCCCGCTCCCTCCCCTTGACGTGGCAGAGGCGGCACCAGCCATGTTGGCCAGGCCGAGGTCCTCGCTGAGGCCGGGGGCGGGGCGGTGTCTACCTTGACTGCGCTGCTAAGGCTGCTCCAGCTCGGCGGAGAGGGCTGATTTTGTGTGGCTGAGGCTGCGCCCGGCGTGGAACTCGGAGGAAGGGTAGCGTGGTAAGCACCGACCTCGGGGTTACCTCCTCTCTGGGGGCTCGCAGGGTTCGGCAGGCATCCGGTGGGCCGCCGTCGGCGGCAGGCTAGGGGCTTGGGGGTCCCCAGTCGGGCTCTCGGTACCGGCAGCGCACGAAGCGCCCCGGAGGCTGCGGTCCGGCGCGGTGGGTGCCCTCGAGCCCCGATCCTGTCACCCACCACCTGAGTAGCTGTTCCTGGGCTTGGGGGCACGGCCCCCACCCAGCTCCCATGGATTAGGTGGGAAAGGTGGGAGTGGGGGGAAAATGGCAGTTCGAGCATCCCGCCCCACACCCATCCGCCGCGTTCCGGTCCACCCGCCTTCCTCGCTTCAACCCATCCTAACTCCTGGGCATGGAGGCTTCTTTCATTCCTCCCTGATCTGAGGTGTCCTAGACTTTGAACCGAGGGAACTTCGTCACCCATCATGCGGCCCTGGTAGTTACAGGCGTGAAGGAGGAGAGTGCCAGGTGCAGGGAATGCCTTGGGCCTTGGTTACAAATAGAGTACGGTTTTCAGACAGGACCAGCCTTAGCCCGTTGGGCTTTTATTTTACCCGTAATGTTTTCCCTAAGGAAAAGGCAGAGCAAATCTACAAGGAATCACCGGATTGGGGGGTATTGGATTAACTCTTCGGTACAGTTTTTCAGCCTCTGAGCCTCCAAAAGCCACGGATCATTTGCCAAAAGTTAATTTGCTTTCACAAAAAGTATTAGATTTCAATGTAAAAGCGTTGAATCTTCCTCTCTCCAGTAGGGTAATTAACAGTGTTTCCAGGTGTCCACCCATTTTTAATTGACTCAGAATTTTAGAGTCGGGTGGTCTACCCCAAAACTCCCATTTTCTTGATGAGTAGAGTGAAAATCAGAGTGGTTCAGCGGGCCAAGATCAAGCAGCTGGTGTTCAGAAGTCATTGAGGACTTCACAGCTGAGAAGTGGAAGAAATACGATTGACTAGAAGTTATATTTGATGGGAAGGGATCAACATTTTACTTGAAAATTTATATTTCCCACTTTATGTATAAAAGGGCTGAAGTTGTGCTATTGAAAAGCTCAAATGGAGAAAGAGAAAATAATAATGTGTATGTTTGATATACTATGTTGAAATGACAGTATTTTCAGTTCTACCCCCCAAAATTACTAAAAACTTTCCTACTGTCTAGGAAAAAATGGGAAAAAAAGATGACTGCTTTGTGTTTTCTGTTACTTTTTCCTTTTACACACACACACACACACACACACACAAATTGTAGTATGTTAAGTCTGCATTCTAATTTGGCGTGTGAGTAATGTTTGGTTTTAATATTTTTATGGGGACATGTTATTAAGAGTGAGTGCTTGTCAAATAATGTCATTTTATAAAATGCTACTTTGTAAAAGAACTTTTGCCAATTAGTGACTTTAAGACTGTGCAATTTCTACCTTTTAAGATTGTAGAATTCCTACCTTGAAAAGGTGGGGGAAGTCAGGGAAGTGTTTTTCATGGCCTCCTGCTTGGATCTGTTAAGACGAAACAAGTAGGAGTTTCAGCAAGAATTTGGGAATGTAAGAAATCTGTATGTGACTTGGTAAATATCATCTTAGAGTAGAGAGAGAAGAATGTGAAAGGAAGAGAAGTGTGTTTAAATATCACTCAGGGGATGTTTAGAGTATCTTAATAAAAAAGTAACTCTCTGTTAACCTGTTGCAGAAGTTCAGCTTGGCCCTTGCCTGTGTGTTGGTGTCTTTCTGCCAGGACTCTCAGGGCTTTTCCCTAAGGCAGTGGTTCTAAGGACCCGGTTTGCTCTTAAACACTGTTGAGAACCCCAGGAAAAATGCTAACCCGATTGAAGCTAGGCCACGTTTCATAGGTACTTCTGCAGTATGTTCTTTTACGTTGTTTAGATTGAATTGTGTGAAGGAAACCTGACCTCATATAGATCAGTAGCTTTTTTTTTTTTCCTGATAATTGTGCATATTCTTTTTTGGTACTGCACTGAAACTCAGTAATTTTAAATAGGAACTTAAAGGTTAATTGCAGTGTGGAATCTGAAACCTCACAAGTAACATTCTGTACTTTGTTACATGAAGAGCGTCTACTTTGATAGGCTCATCTGCTCCTGCCTGTTGCTGTATCGTGAATTATCTGTTTGAGAGATGTTGCTTCATTGAATGATATGTAATTTTCAAATGGGGACATGTTTTATAATGCAGTATGTATTTTAACTGCAATTAATAAATAACCACTAATATCAGGGAAAATTTAATATTAGGAAAGCTGTCAAGCTTTTGGTGGTAAATACAAATTTTCAGAAATTTTTAATATTTGCTTAGAAGCTCAAATTTGTTAATGGTGAAAGGTGTAGGCTTTCCGTGAAGTAAAATGACATACTCATTTTGTCCATTTTTGAGAAAATTGTCTGCCAAACACCTAAGTACTAGTAATGTACTGCCCTTGGAGAATGGAGAAAATAGTCAAAGTTGTGAGTTGTGTTGTGTTTCAGTTAAGCAGTTATGATTGGTGTGAGATGTTTTAGTGGTTATCTTAATGCTTTTTGGAGCTGCATTTTAGATGCTTTGTAAGTTATAGGGACAATCAGTAGTAAATGGAACATTTTGTTTCACATGTTCTATAGAAGTGATAGAAGGATCTCATAGTCCTAGAATTTTTATTGTATCTGTAACAAAGAAATTGTATCTAAAAACAGGATTTTTCTTGCTAAGGAGCTTGTTTTTTCTATTTTAACTCCCTTCTCACTGTTGTAGGCTTTTTTTTTTTTTTGTTAAAATTCGTTATCATTCAACAAGCATTTTTTTTAAATATTTATTTTATTTTATTGGAAAGGCAGATATACAGAGAGGAGGAGAGACAGGAAGATCTTTTGTCCGATGAATCACTGCCCAAGTGACTGCAATGGCCATTGTACTGATCTGAAGCCAGGAGCCAGGATCTTCCTCCAGGTCTCCCACATGGGTGCAGGGTCCCAAGGCTTTGGGCTGTCCTTGACTGCTTTGCTGCGCCACAAGCAGGGAGCTGGATGGGAAGTGGAGTTGTTGGGACTAGAACCAGCGCCCCTATGGGATCCTGGCACATTTCAAGGTGAGGACCTTAGTCGCCAGGGCACCGTGCTGGGCCCAACAAGCATTTTTTTCAATTGAAAAATCATACCATAATTTTCAAAGCCATCTCTCATATATATATACATACATATATAATATATACACACATATATATATTTTAAAGATTTTATTTATTTATTGGAAAGTCAGATATACAGAGAGGAGGAGAGACAGAGAGGAAGATCTTCCGTCCTGTGATTCACTCCCCAAGTGAGTGCCACAGCCGATGATATGCCGATCCAAAACCAGGATACAGGAGCCTCTTCCGGGTCTCCCACGCGGGTGCAGGGTCCCAAAGCTTTGGGCCATCCTCAACTGCTTTCCCAGGCCACAAGCAGGGAGCTGGATGGGCAGTGGAGCTGCTGGGATTAGAACTGGTGCCCATATGGGATCTCGGTGGGTTCAAGGTGAGGACTTTAGCTGCTGGGCCACGCTGCCGGGCCACGCCGCTGGGCCCCTCTCCTATGTATTTTTAAAGACATACTTTTTTCTAAGCAAGTTTTGGCTTATGATCTTCAGCTTTTAATACCTTTGGAAAAGTTCACAATCTCTTTTAATTAGTATAAAATTAATTGTCCTCAAGATTTGGGCATTATAGAGGGAAATGGTGTTTTTTTTGACCTTTGTTTTTTTATTTGTTTTAAAGACGAGAAAATTCTTTACTGTTTAAAATACTAAAATTGTTAAACTTCACTTTTGGTAATTTGATTTAGCAAAATTCATTTGAAAATTTTCCTAAAATTAGAATAGTTTTATCAAGTGTGTATTTTTCAACTACCTCTGTTTCTCTTGCATTTCAGAATTAATTTCTTGCTGCACCGTTGTTGTTCTTAGCAACTTGAACACCTATGCTGGTTCTCTGGAGATCTGAGGTTCATAATTCTGTTCTTTGAGTTTGATATCCTTCATTTCTGCTACAAAACACTTGAACCAGTTTTCCACAACTTTAAGTTCTCCAGCTTCCTTCAGTGACTAAGCACTGTGGTAGTAGTTTGCGAGCATGAGCTAGAACTGTTGCCTAGAGAGGAAGCTGGCATCCTAGGTTGGCAATTAGAGAGTGACCGGATAGAGACGTCTCTTGATGTCAGTCCCTCCCCAGAGCACAGCTCTTTGCCATTGTAGTAAATTTAAATTACTATGTTAAATGTTCCTGCAAGTTATAATGTTAAAAATATTCTAAAAAGCTGCCATTATGGTACAGCTGGTTAAGCTGCCACTTGTGATGCCAGCATCCCATATCAGAATGTGATTGAAGTTCCAGCTGCTCTACTTGTAATCCGCTCTGTGTGAATGTGCTGGGAAAAGTAGTAGAATATGGCCCAAGTAGCTGGGCTCATGACACTGGTGTGGGAAACCAGTGTGGAATTTCTGGCTCCTGGCTTCAGCCTGATCCGGCCTTAGCCACTGTGCTATTTTGGGAGTGAGCCAGTAATGGGGGCTCTCTTTCTGTCTATCCCTGTATCTTTCAAATGAATAAAATATTAAAAAAATTCTGAATTAATTTTCTGAAAAAATTGAATGAAATATGGATCATTGGAAAATGACTTACCAAAGATTTTATTTATTATGCCACAAAAATTTAGTGTTGGTACAGTAAAAAATTACCTGCCTGCTATGATTTAATATAATTTGGCCCCCAAACTGATGGCAGGTTTTGAACTCCGAAGTTATAAGTTTGAGAGAGTAGAAACAATTGTATCCTCTCCTTTCCTTCCCTTTCCTTTCCTCCCCTCCCCAAATGGCTACAATAATTAGTTCTGGGCCAGGCTGAAGCCAGAGCCAGGAGCCAGGAGCTCCATTTGGATCTCCCAGTTGGGTGCAGGAGTCCAGGGAATTGGGCACTCTGTTGCTTTCCCAGGCACTTTAGGGAGTTGGATCAAAATGGAATAGCTCGGACTTGAACCTGTACCCAAAGAGGATACTGACATTGCAGGTGGTAGCTTTACCTGCTGCACCACAACACAGACTTGAGATGACTCCTGATGTATTCATTTAACTGAATATGAGGAAAATATAGTTGATTTTGAATCACCTTACGAGGTTCCCAGATTTAAAAATATGTTTCAATTTTGTTACAGAAATAAGAATCAAGTTCCACAATGACAACCTACTTAGAATTCATCCAGCAAAATGAAGAACGAGATGGAGTCCGATTTAGTTGGAATGTTTGGCCATCAAGTCGATTGGAAGCTACAAGAATGGTGGTTCCGGTTGCAGCCCTGTTTACACCACTGAAAGAGAGACCTGATTTACCACCTATTCAATATGAACCTGTTCTTTGTAGTAGGACCACTTGCCGTGCAGTTTTGAATCCTTTATGGTAATTAAATATGTGGGAAAAACCAAGGAGGCATTATGATTCAAAAATTTATGTTCTTTCTTGTTTATATAAAAGTCCCTTTGTTTTGTAGTTATTTTGTAGATCCAAAGAGCTGTAAATTTTAATATCATTCTATTTATACCGAATTGAAATGTGTATGTCTTTTCTTTTCTTAAAATAGCCAAGTGGATTATCGAGCAAAACTATGGGCTTGCAACTTTTGTTATCAAAGAAATCAGGTATGACTAGTCCTATTGCACATGTCAATGCTACAAAATAGTTTTCAAAAGGAACAAAATACTTTTCATATAATCAGAATACCCATTTTTTAGTAACTGAATTAGAAACACGTTTTCAGTTTAAAAAATTTTATTTTAGATGAATAATTTGTTAATTTTTGTCTTTTTTTTTTTCTTTGTAGTTTCCACCTACTTATGCTGGTATATCTGAAATGAATCAGCCTGCTGAACTTTTACCTCAGTTTTCTAGCATTGAATATGTAGTTCTGGTAAGCAAATAAGAGCAAACATTTAGAAAATTTTAAATATCTGGTGGTTTATTTTGTACCAAAATAATTGTTGAGTTGATTAAAATACATGATCACACATCGAATTGATGGAACATTTCAAACATTTAAACTGTTGGGGTCAATTTGAACCATGTGGCTTCTCTGTTATAGTTATTTGGTGGATAACTAGACACTGGTTAATGTGGTGCTGTTTTCTAGCCTGAGTGGATTAGTTAACGATTAAGTATCAGTCTTGGTCTGTAGTTGGAAGATCATTTGACAAATACTTAATCACTGATGCTGAAGTCTATTGATGTGTCTAAGTAATCAAAATATTTTTGTATTATTTCTTATTGGGAAAATAACCTTCATTTTTTACCACCTTCACATACTTGTGTATATATTTGAGTATGCAAGTAATATAACTTTTTTGAATGTTGTAAGGAAAGCAGAATTGCTATTCCTTGGAGTAAGTCAGTAATTTTAACAGACCTGGCTAGTTTCTGGGTCTCTGAAAGTTCAGGTCCAGTTTAAAAAATTTTACGGGGCCTGGCGGCGCGGCCTAGCAGCTAAGTCCTCACCTTGAATGCTCCGGGATCCCATATGGGTGCCGATTCTAATCCCAGCAGCTCCACTTCCCATCCAGCTCCTTGCTTGTGGCCTGGGAAGGCAGTCAAGGATAGCCCAAAGCTTTGGGACCCTGCACCCGCTTGGGATACCCGGAAGAGTTTCCTGGATCCCGGCTTCGGATCGGCATAGTATCGGCTGTTGCGGTCACTTGGGGAGTGAATCTTCGGACGGAAGATCTTTCTCTCTGTATATCTGACTTTCCAATAAATAAGTAAATCTTTAAAAAATATATATTTTTTTACGAAAATTACCTCAGTTTGTGATTAAACTTTATAAATGTTTTATTTAAAAGTAACAAGTGTTTGCTGTAAGAAATAAAACCTTATGTAATGAAATGAAATGGAGAATCAAAATCCCCTCTATAACTGTACTTACACATAATTTTTTAGAAAGATTTATTTATTTGAAAGTCAGACTTAAAGAGATCTTCTATCCATAGGCTTACTTCCCAGATGGCTGCAACAGCCAGCGCTGGTCTGGTGGCTAAAGCCAGGAGCCAGAACTTTCTTTGGGGTTGTCCACGTGAATGGTAGAGGCCCACGCACTTGGACTGTCTTCTAGGACTTTTCCCATGCCATCAGCAGGGAATTGAATTAAAAGTATAGCAACCAGGCCTGGCACAATAGTGTAGTGGCAGCTCAATCCTTGCCTTGAGTGTGCTGGGATTCCGTCCAGTTTCTTACTTGTGGCCTGGGACCCTGCAGCCATGTGGGAGATTTGGAGGAAGCTCCTAGGCTCTAGCTTTGGATCAGCTCAGCTCTGGCTGTTGTGACCACTTGGGGAATGAACCAGTGGACTGAAGATCTTTCTCTCTGGGTCTTCTTTTCTCTGTAAATCTACCTTTCCAATAAAAATAAAGAAGTCTCAAAAAAGAAAAAGAAAGTGTAGCAACCAGAACATGAAATGATTCCCATGTTGTTGTCATTGGTGGTGACTTCCCGTGCTATGCCATAACATTGGCCCCATGTTATTTTTTTAAAAAATATATTTTAAAAATATTTATTATTTATTTGAAATGCAGATTTACAGAGAAAGGGAGGGAAATACAGGGAGGTCTTCTGTTTGTTGATTCACCCCCCAAGTGGCTGCTGCAGCTGTAGGTTGGGCTGGTCTAGTGCCAGGAGTCAGAAGCTTCTTCTGGGTCTTTCATGCAGGTGCAGGGTCCCAAGGCTCTGGGCTGTCCTCTGCTGTTTTCCCACTACCCCCAGTGATTTTCAACTTGATTTTCCACTCAGTCTTGGATATCGCTGCATAACAGCTTACGTAACCTATGTTACATGTGAAATGACTCTATTAGGATTCTGTTGTATGCATTATTTAATTCATCTTCTATTGACTGTCTTATATATTGTGCTGGTATGCTACTACCTTTTGAATCACTTATTTTTCTTATTTAATTTTTTTAAAGCGTGGTCCTCAGATGCCTTTGATATTCCTCTATGTGGTTGACACTTGCATGGAAGATGAAGATTTACAAGCTCTAAAAGAGTCCATGCAGATGTCGTTAAGTCTTTTACCACCTACAGCTTTGGTTGGACTAATTACTTTTGGGAGAATGGTTCAGGTTCATGAACTGGGTTGTGAAGGCATTTCAAAAAGCTATGTCTTCAGAGGAACAAAAGATCTATCTGCCAAACAACTGCAGGTGAGCAACAAGAATGTGCTTTTCAGCTTGTGAGAATCACTGTATGTATGTTTATAGATGCTTTCTGGATAAATATTAGTACAACTTTTTTTTTATATGAGTGACTAACTGTATAACAGCAAAAACTAAATTGAGCGTTTCAGTCATTTTCTTTCATGTGCTTAATGTCACTATCCTATAGCTTGAAGAACATTTATTTTTAACTATCTTTAAAATTGGAAGTGAAACTGAAGATAAGATTTGAAGAACTTACGGAATAGTCATGTTGAATACTAAGAGGGAGAAGGCACAGAATATTAATTTTTGTTTCTTGACATTCCATTAAGGAACTAAAAACTTACTTTTATCTTGAGAGGAGGGAGCGAACCTGAGAGCTGTAGTTTCCATATCCTCAGGTTCAGTGCTTAAATGGCAACAACAGTTGGGGGCTGGGTCAAGCTGAAGCCAGGAGCTAGGAACCCTATCTAAGTCCCCTGTGTGAGTAGCCGGAACTCAGTGACTTGAGCTGTCAGTGCTGCCTCCAGGGGTAGGTATTAACCGGAGCTGGAGCTGGCTGTCGACCCATGTCCCTGATATGGAGTGTGAGTGTCTCACTTGCATCTTAAGCACCCTTAGTAATAAATATTTCTGAGCTCGTGTCTTTGTCCATGCAACCGTTATGCTTTGGTTTCTTTTGATGACTATGTCGCTTTAATGTCCCTGCTGTCCTGATTGTCTTCCCAGATGGACTGTTTGCTCTCTGAGGAGAGAGACTTTATATTCTTTATTTTTGTTAGTGTCTGGCACAGTACTTTGCACATGTTTGACAGAAGATAACACAACTATTGCCTTCGCAGGAAATGTTGGGGCTCTCTAAAGTGCCAGTCACTCAAGCAACACGTGGTGCTCAGGTGCAGCAGCCGCCTCCTTCTAATAGGTAATAATTTAGTTTGGCAAACAATTATAATTTGGATTTTATAATTCATGTAGGTATTTTAAGCATCTCATACCCCTAACTTAGCCATGGTCAATAATATTATAATATTGATCAATATTTTTAGGAATATAATTGTATCAATATACTTTTTGAAGAATTGCGGTAGATTGATGTTACTGAAATGGTGTGCTTTTCATTATTATATAAGGAGTTACTGAAGTTCTTTAGTTTTTTTTTTTTTAAAGATTTATTTGTTTTTTACTGGAAAGGCAGATATACAGGGAGGAAAAGAGACAGAGAGGAAGATCTTCCATCCGATGATTCACTCCCCAAGTGAGCGCAACGGCCAATGCTATGCCGATCCGAAGCTGGGATCCAGGAACCTCTTCCGGGTATCCCACGCGGGTGCAGGGTCCCAAGGCTTTGGGCCATCCTTGGCTGCTTTCCCAGGCCACAAGCAGGGAGCTGGATGGGAAGTGGAGCTGCCGGGATTAGAACTGGCGCCCATATGGGATCTCGGTGGGTTCAAGGCAAGGACTTTAGCCACTAGGCCATGCTGCCGGGCCCAAGTGTTTTAGTTTTGACATACTCTTGCTTTTCTATTTACAAGTTAAGAACAGAAACTTAATTTTTGTGATTTGAGGAAAGCTAAGCAAGAAAAAGGTTTCATTTTGTCTTCTTAACCTTAGTGGTAGTGTTTCTTCCTAAGGTTATTTATAATTATTATTTTCAATATGAGAGGGAAAGAAAGACCTCTCATGTGCAAGTTCACTCTCCAAATCCCCTGTAACTGGCCTGAGCTAAGGCAGGAGCCAGGAGCCAGGAGTTAAGAGCCATGAGCCAGGAGCCAGGAGCCAGAGCCGGGAGCCAGGAGCCAGAGCCAGGAGCCAGGAGCCGGGAGCCAGGAGCCAGGAGCCAGAAGCCAGAGCCGGGAGCCAGGAGCCAGAGCCGGGAGCCAGGAGCCAGAGCCAGGAGCCAGAGCCAGGAGCAGGGAGTGCAATCCATCTCCCACGTAGGAGCCCAGCTGCTGGAGCTCTCACCTCCAGGATCTGCACTGGCAGTAACTGGAGTCTGGAGTCTGGACCTGGGAATTGAACCCAGGCACTGAATTGTGGGATGTGGGTCTCTTAATCACTAGGGTAAATGCTCACTCCCTTTCTTTAAGGTTTCTAATCAGAGGTGGTGTTAGTAAAATTGTGTTCCTGTATCTTCTCATATTTATTTCAATAACCTCAAAACCTATTAGCTTAGTAAATGAACTATGAAACCCTGAAGTAATATTTGATTTGTTTCTTTTATAGCAGTTGTATTCAAAGTGTGGTTCTTGAATGAGTGGCACCACCTGGTAGCTTGTTTAGAATTCAAATTCCCAGACTTACTTAACAAAACAAACTCTAGGCCTGGGACCCAGCAATCATTGCTAAACCCTTCAGTTGATTCCAAACCCCTGAAAGTTTGAGAACTGATTTGTAGTACGTTCAATTTTTTTTTCTATTTTTTTAGGAAAGTGAGCCATTTGTTTTTTGTACTCACACCCACAAACAATTATAAATGACCTTTGATTTAATTTTAATTTTCAGATTCCTACAGCCAGTACAGAAAATAGACATGAATCTCACAGATCTTCTGGGAGAACTTCAGCGGGATCCTTGGCCTGTGCCACAGGGAAAGAGACCCTTGCGTTCTTCTGGAGTGGCCCTTTCCATAGCTGTGGGACTGCTAGAGGTAGTGATGGCTTTTTATGGAATCTGAAGGTATCTGTGTGTGTGGTTGGAAGTCTAAAGTTACAGAGATAAAACCCCCCAAAATACCTTGTCATACTGTTTCCTTTTCTTCAACAGTCAACATGAAGATATTTTGTTTATCTCGGGGGTGTGGACACTTTTTTCTCCTAAGCTAATCAAGCAGCTTTTACCTGGATATCCTGCAGTTCAATACATGTTAAGGGCTCAGTTCAATAAGATTGTCTGCCAGTTCATATGCCAGTTGCAAATAGCATGTTGCCACCTACCTGCTTGTTGACTGGCTAAAAAATGGGTGATTCCATAACCCCTTCTCAAGGTCTGTTGAATTGCTAGGGTGTTTCACAGACCTTGGGGAACACACCTGGTTATTGTAAAACGTTACAAAGGATACATGCACAGCCAGATTGGGAAGAGGAATAGAGTGAGGCATGAGAAGAATGTAGAGCTTTCATTTCTTTTTTTGAGTGTATCATGCTCCAAGACCTCCGTGTTATCTTCTAGCTATCTGGAAGTTCTTAGAACCCAGACCCTTTGAATTTCTCTGGAATCTTTATTACTTAGACCTGATTGATAATATTGTTGACCATTGGTGATCAACGAATAATTTTTCTTTTCCCCTTTTTTTAGAAAATATTTATTTGAAAAGCAGAATAACAGAAAGGGAGAAACAGAGCACTTACCTGCCAGTTCACTCCTTAAATGGCCTCATTGGTCAGGACTGGGCCGGGGCAAGTCAGAAGCTTGAAACTCCATTCAGGACAATGGTGTGAGCGGCCCAAATAATTGGGCCATCTTCTGCTGCTTCCCGGTGTATTCTCCAGTAGCAAAGCAACTAGGACTGAACTAGTGTTCTCATATGAGATATGCTTTTTAAAAATTCTTTTGTCTCTCCAGTACATTCATGTTTCTGGCCTTTTAAAGAAATAAACTTAAAATTTACTTTAAATTTTACTTACTTTTGAAATTATCCTCTTTCATTTTGCTTACACATTTGGAGAAAGGGAAAGCAGGTTGGAGTGCTCAATTTTTGTAGTTTCAGCTAGGAAACAATTCATGCTTATGTTGTAAGCATAGAAAGGAAAAGTAAACAACAATAAAAAATAGAAGATGTTCTCTCTTGCTATTCTTTCTCTACTTCTCTGTGAAAGTCTTTAAGCTGGAGAAGTATGCTTGCTTATAGGGATTAGATTTATGTAGTATTTTAAAGATTTATTTATTTTTTATTACAAAGTCAAATATGCAGACAGGAGGAGAGACAGAGAGGAAGATCTTCTGTGCGATGATTCACTCCTAAGTGAGCCCCAACAGCCGGTACTGCGCCAATCCGAAGCCAGGAAACAGGAACTTATTCTGGGTCTCCCACACAGGTGCAGGATCCCAAGGCTTTGGGCCGTCCTCGACTGCTTTCCCAGGCTACAAGCAGGGAGCTGGACAGGAAGTGGATCTGCTGGGATTAGAACCAGTGCCCATTAGCATGGGATCCTGGCGCGTTCAGGGCAAGGACGTTAGCTGCTAGGCCACGCTGCCAGGCCCAATATGTAGTATTTTAAAATTACAAATGCACTGCTGCATAGAGTTGAATGTTTTTTTTTTAAAGATTTATTTTATTTTTATTGGAAAGCCAGATATACAGAGAGGAGGAGAGACAGAGAGGAAGATTTTCCTTCCAATGACTCACTTCCCAAGTGGCTGCAATGGCCGGAGCTGAGCAGATCCGAAGCCAGGATCCAGGAACTTCTTCCGGGTCTCCCACACGGGTGCAGGGTCCCAAGGCTTTGGGCCATCCTTAACTGCTCTCCCAGGCCACAAGCGGGAAGCTGGATGGGAAGTGGAGCTGCTGGGATTAGAACCAGCGCCCATATGGGATCCTGGTGTGTTCAAGGCGAGAATTTTAGCTGCTAGGTTACCATGCCAGGCCATAGAGTTGAATTTTAAAAGGAAGTTATCCAAGTCACACAACTTGTTTTTTCAATTGTCATTTTAAGCGTTTGATTATTTTATTTTGTAGAGATTATTTGCTTTTCTTTTTTCTAGAGAAAATATACCCGTTGTCATTTTAAGAGGTAGGTACCATTGTGTTTTCCATTTTACTTTAACCTTCTTTGATGAAGTACTTTGTTTCCATAGTGTACTTTTCCCAACACCGGCGCTCGCATCATGATGTTCATTGGCGGTCCTGCTACTCAGGGGCCTGGAATGGTGGTTGGAGATGAATTGAAGACACCTATAAGATCATGGCATGACATTGAAAAAGACAATGCTAAATATGTTAAAAAAGGAACTAAGGTAATTTTGATTTGTCTGCACACCTTGTTAGAAAACAGATATTCATTTAATAGGAGAGAAAAAATAACAGACACTTTTTGATAATATCAAAAAAGTCTAATAGTAATAGTCATTATTCTTAAGAGAAATATTTCTTTTTCTTTGTCAAGTTTTCTGATTTGAAATATAATTTGATATATAATTTCAAATAGTTATTTAAAGATAACCCTTGAGAGAAATTCCCATGTACCTTTTTTAATATACATGTTAGGAAATATTGTTCTGCTTTGTAGAAGTTATAGGTTTTCAGGTTTTTCATTTTCAAGAGGGAAGTCTCTAATGTTTACTTGTATACACATACGTGTAGAGTATGGATATGTTTGTAGTTTGAATAGCCCATCATGTTTTTGTGAGTTGCTTTTTATTCACCTGACTTTACTTTTTTGGGGATTTGTAAAATATATTTCACTAATGTTGATTCTTGACTCTATCAACTGTTAGATCTCTAAATCTCTCTCTGCAACTGTACTTTTCAAATAAGGGAGCACTTACAAATAGGTTATAAAGTTATAAAACTTACATATGTATTCATTTATTTGAGAGAGAGAGATTTGAAACAGAAAGCTGCTGTCTGCCAATTCTTGTTCCAAATGCTTGCAGTGGCTTGAGACTAAAGATAGGAACTTCATTCAGGTCTCCCGTGTGAATGGCAGGATCTTGATTATTGGAGCACTCACCTGCTGCCTCCCAGGGTGCGCTTTAGCAGGTAACTGAAATTGGGAGTAGAGCTAGGACACAAACCCGTGTACTGAAGTATAAAAGGGTACTTATATATCAATCAGCATCTTTTTTTTTAGATTAAATGGAAGGCTCTGTTTATTATATATATATCATATATAATAATACATGATTATATATGATATATATTTCTGTTTATTATATTTTTAATGTTAGGTTTTTTTGGAAAGGCATATTTATGGAGAGGAGAGACAGAGAAAAATATATTCCATCCACTTGTTTGCTTCCTAAATGGCCACAGTGGCCAGAGCTGATCTGAACTGAGCTGAACTGAAGCCACCTGCTTTCATTAGCAGCGATCTGTATTGGAAATTGAGCAGCTGAAACATGAACCAGTGCCCATATGGAATGCTGGCGCCTGTAGGTGGAGGATTAGTGAGTTCAGCCACTGCACTGACCCCCATAGTTGACAACTGCTAGGCTAAGTGCCCACCTTTGTTTATTTTTGGATGCTTTTGTTTCTTGAGTGTGGGTCTAGATGGGAACAAGAATTGCATTTTGCTTCCAAGTTTATATATGAGGAACCACATATTCACTATGTTTTTTCTTCAAATTTAGTTTTATATAGGGGGTTTATCTAAAATTAGTGGTATTTAATGAAAAGAATGTGAAGGTGTAGCACTTATAGAAAGTATTCTCATTTTATGAGATAAAAGCAAAAATAATTCTGAATTTTTATTGATTATTCTTCTAGTATACTTTAGGTTATTTTGACCCATTACTTGGGAGAGGATTTATAGGATTATCCTGTTTACACGTCACTTTGATGGAGTTTTAACACTTCTTTTGTAGCACTTTGAAGCACTGGCTAACCGAGCTGCTACAACTGGCCATGTTATTGACATCTACGCATGTGCGTTAGATCAGACAGGGCTCCTGGAGATGAAATGCTGTCCCAACCTTACTGGGTATGTATTTCTATTTTTCCAGCATTTGAAAGTATAGGATCAGTAATGACAGACAAACACCATTAAAGGCCGTTTAGGGAAAAAAGTCTCTGTCCTGCATCGTGACAACATCTGTTGCAGTTGGAACATTCTTTTGATAAAGCTCAGCTTTTTTTCCACAATGGCACATATTTTTGTAAAGATCATTTTGATATCCTGGTGTGATATTCTGTTCTTTTAGCAGCTTTTTTTTTTTTTTTTTTGAGATAAATGTCACATATCAGGAAACCTGTCCACTTCAAGTGTTTAGTTTGATGGCCTTTAGAATATTTAATTGGTTGCACCACTATCACTGTGTTCAGTGTGCAGCATTGGCATTACCCTGGGCATTTACACTCCCCGTCTCTCACTCCTTCATGTCTTCCCTGTCCTTGGTCACCCACAGGCAAGTACTAATTACAGTTTGTTTTGAATATTTTGTGCAAACTACTTATTTGCTGTGATTTTTTTCATGGCTTTTAGCATTGTCTTTATTTATTTATTTTTAATGAAAATATTGTGTTTTTAAGCATTGCCCATATTGTAGGGTATATTAGTGTTTCATTTTAGTTTCATTTCATTAGTGTTTGAAAAAGGATCTGATGTTATGTAATCATGTATCATTACATGGATCTATCCTGCAGTTTTTGAATCCTCAGTTGAGGACTGTTTGAATGTTTGTATTGAATGTTTCTGTGTCACTCTTTGGCCGGTATGAACAACGCTGCTCTGAACAGGATGTGTGAGTTTTTGTGTGGACATCATGTTTTTGTTTCTCTTAGAAGTTAATTTATACCTAGGAATGACTTGATGAGTCCCATTGCAAATGGCGTTTAGTGTTTTAAAGATGTGTATTTATTTATTTATTACTGGAAACTCAGATATACAGAGAGGAGTAAAGACAGAGAGGAAGATCTTCCATCTGCTGATTCGCTCCCCAAGTGGCCACAACGGCTGGAGCTGAGCTGATCCGAAGCCAGGAGCCTGGAGTTTCTTCCAGTCTCCCACACAGGTGCAGTGTCCCAAGGCTTTGGGCCATCCTCAACTGCTTTCCCAGGCCACAAGCAGGGAGCTGGATGGGAAATGAAGCTCCTGGGATACAAACTGGCGCCGAGATGGGATCCTGGCATGTACAAGGCGAAGACTTTAGCTACAAGGCTATTGCGCCAGGCCTCAATTTTTAATTTTTTTTTGAAGTAACTAGGCTTGTTTATATTTTGACTGCAATAGCAGTAGAGGATTCTCATTTCTCCACATCTTTGTTAGTACTTCTTATTGTCTTTCTTTTTGATAATAGCTATCCTAGCATGTGTGAGGTGATAAGTTACTGTACTTTTGCTTGCATTTCCCCAAAGACTAACAATATTGGACATCTTTTTTTGAGCTTATTGGTTTTTTGCATTTCTTTTTAGTAGAAATACCTATTCAAATGCTTTGTCCATTTTTAAAATTGGATTAATTATTGCTATATTGTTGTTAAACAGATTCTAGATATGTCACTTATACATGTGATTTATTAATCCTTTTATTTTCACTTTCATTGCTTGTACTGAGTTCCTGCTTTCTCTTTTGTTGTCTGAGTGTTTGGCATCTCATTTAACAAACCGTTGTCTCGACAAACAGCACAGCTGTGCTTTGCCGTTTTCTCCTAAGTGTTTCCAGTTGTGCTTGTTTGGCCGGTAGAGGGAGACAGTGATCATGCATGAGCTGGTATTCATTCCCCAATGCCCACAGTGTCCCGGCCAGGCTGGAACGAAGAGTCTGGACCTTGATCTGGATTTCCCTTGTTGGTGGCAGGAATAGGAGTACTTGAGCCATTTCCTGCTGGCTCCCAGGTGTGCATTAGCAGGAAGCTGGCAACAGAAAGTGCGGGTCAAACTTGAATCCAGGCACTGCAGAATGTGATCTGGGCATCGCCATAGCTTTTCTCGTGTGCCAGACTCTCGATAGAGTGTTTTTTACTTTTTTTACGTTTGGCTTTTATATTTTATCTACAGTTCATCTTGCCTTAATTTTTGTATATAAAATGAGAAATGCAGTCCAATTTTATTCTCTTGAATTTCTTTTTTTTTTTAAAGATTTATTTTTTACTGGAAAGGCAGATATACAGAGAGGAGGAGAGACAGAGAGGAAAATCTTCCATCCGATGATTCACTCCCCAAGTGAGCGCAATGGTCGATACTATGCCGATCTGAAGCCAGAAGCCAGGAACTTCTTCCAGGTCTCCCACACGGGTGCAGGGTCGCAAAGCTCCGGGCTGTCCTTGACTGCTTTCCCAGGCCACAAGCAGGGAGCTGGATGGGAAGTGGAGCTGCTGGGATTAGAACTGGTGCCCATTAGAATTTGATCCCGGCGTGTTCAAGGCGAGGACTTTAGCTGCTAGGCCACGCCGCCAGGCCCTCTTTTGAATTTCTATATCTAGGTGTCTCAGAATCATTATTCTAGGACTGGCATTGTGGTGTACCGGGTTAAGCCGCAGCATGCAATGCTGGCACCCTATATTAGTTTGCTATTTTGAGTTCTGGATGGAAGCAAGAGGAAATGATGTAAGCACTTTGTCTGAGATGGCCTTAGTTCTTGGGCCTCTGCCATCCATGCAGGTGGAGTCCTTGGATCCTGGCTTCAGCCTGGACCAGCCCTTGCTATTGATGGTATTTAGGAGTTGAACCAGTAGATAGAAATGTCAGCTGTCTTTTTCCATGTTTCTTTGTCTTTCCCTCTGTGCAACACTCTGCCTTTCATGGAAATAAATAAATCTTTAACCAGATGGTTTTATTTTTTGTATTGAATTGGCATGCTTATTGAAAATCAAATACAAATTTATTTTCTGAACTTAAAATTCTTTTTCATTGATCTGCGTGTCTATACATACATGGGTACTCCAGTTTGTTGATCTCTGTTCCTCTGTAGTAAGTTTTGATAAAAAAAAATTACTTCTTTAATATTGTGAATTCTTTTTCAAGATTTTTTGCTGTTCTTGATAATTTATGTTATGATATGAATAGTAGAATCAGCTTGTTCATTTTTCTGTAAAAGGCAGCTAGAATTTTATTAGGGATTTTGTTGAATCTAAAGATTTTAGGTTGGGTTACTGTTACTTGTTTTTAAAAATTGGATTCATTGTTTATTTACATTGTTATATCTAAAAAGTTTGATAAAAATAGATTTATGCATTTATTTAAAATCCATTTCTGTCAATGAACATTTATTGAATGTCCATTATGTTTAAAGTACTGACTTTTTTTAAAAGGTTATTTATTTATTTGTGTGAAAGATCTAGAAGTAAACAGAGAGAGACCTCTTTCATTGCTGGTTCATTCCCCTACTGGCTGCATTGGCCAGCGCTGCGCAGGCAGGGATCTGGGCCTCCATCTAGGTCTCCTAAGTGGATGGCGGGGCCCCAAGCAGTTGAGATATCTTTTACAGCTTTCCCAGATGCATTAGGAGGGAGCTGGATCTCAGGTGGAGCAGCTGGACCTCACATCAGCACTCCAGTGTGGGATACCAGTACTACCAGTGGCTTAACTCACTGTGCCCAATGCTGGCCCTTAAAGTACTAACTGAAATTAATAACTGGTTAACATGAATATTAACAAAACTTAAGACTCTTATCCAAAGAGTCTTCCTTTCTGTGCATCTTAGACACATGAAATAAATACTTTCAAATTAAGTATTTAAATTTCTGCAATACTTCCTATAAAGCAGAAGGAAATACATTGCAGTAATACTATTTTAAATGTATATAGAGGCCCAAGCACCTGGGCTGCTTTCCCAGGTGCATTGTCTGGGAGCTGGATTGGAGTGGAACATCTGGGTCTTGAACAGGTGTCCATAGGGATGCTGTAGTCACAGAGAGTGGCTCAATTTACTAAAGCTGCAATGCTGGTCCTTCTTGATTTTCTAAGCAATACTTGTCTGAGGGCACCAATGTTCTCATCTTGTTCAGCCAGAAAATAGTCTGTTGAAGTGGTTGAATTTTTCTTTTTCCAGAAAAGTTTGGATATTCAGGAGAGTTGCCTTCCTATTTAAGAACTTTATCCACAAGTTTTTTAATCCTCTGATAAATGTCTGTTGGCACTGTCCCCTTGCTAATCCCCTTCTGAATGACATGTAACCCTTAGCATTTTGAAGCCATTTTTGCAGTCTCAAAGTATGCTGTTAGGTTTGTGACCTGACCTGATTGTTGAGTTCCTCCAGGTCTAGTCTGCAGTCCATATGTACTCATAAGTATTTTCTTGATCACAATCTAGTCACATTGCAGAATTACCTGATATTGTTTTCACTGATAAATGCAGAGTCATCTGTCAGTCCAGAATCAATATAATATGTTTAAACAATGCAAAAATAGTAAAAATTTTAGGGTAATACTGTCTACCCTGTACTCCATAATGACTTTCTACTTCTGCTTTTCCAGCCATTATTTGAATGACTTTTGAACCTAAATGGATCTTTGTGTTTCACATCTCCTTAGTCATAAAACACGTGGTTCTCTTTTTCTTGCATGTCACCAATGAGACTTTTGACATTCACTTCATTAGTGTTCTTCATTTCTATTTTCCTTGTTTTTCAACAGCAGTTGCATTCTCCACTTTAACCAGAGACTGGAATTTTGCCTAAGTCTGTAAATGTAAAATGTGTTGCTCAGTTGCATTAATGCACATTGCAGGCTGGAATGCTAAGAGAGTGGGTCATAATCCTCTCCGAAATTAAGCTGTCCAACAGTGTGTACAGGGCCTGATGGATTTGACTGTGTACCTTTTGGAGGAGGTTGGGGCTGCAGTTTTCTTCAGGCCCTTGTCCCTCATGTTTAGTCAGTTATGCTCATGGCAGCAGCCTTCTCATCTGGGTGTATTTATTTATATATGTTTTCTTGCCTAGTTGCCATGGCTGGAATGTCAGGACATGGTTGAGTGAAAATCGTTGCCAGTTTACATCCAGGTGTTTTCATCTAAGGCGGAAGTCAATCTTTCAACATTAAATATGTTGTTAGTCGTGGGATTTACCTAGATTTGCTGATATACTTGTTGAGAAAACTAAGTCTACTAAAGGATTTGGGGTACCTGTCCTTTATTGAAATGGTTTGGACTGAAGAGAAAGGGGATTTAGGAAGATTAATAGTTCAGTTCTGAATGCATTTGGTTTGAGATATCAGCTATGTGTGAGATTTCAAGTGGGCATTTGGATTTTATAAATATACATCACATTTTCTTTATCCATTGATGTGATGATGGGACACCTTGGTTGAGTTATATTTTTGCTATTGTGAAACAGTGTTACTATAAACACGCTGTTGCAGATGTCTCTGATACAGTGTATACATGCTGTTGGGGATATACCCATAGGTGGGATTGCTTGGATCATTTGGCACATCTATTTCTAACTTTCTAAGAAATCTCTGAACTATTTTTCACAATGACTGCAGTAATTTGCATTCCTACCAACAGTCTGTGATTGTTCCTCTTTCCTTGCTAGTGTTTGTTTTCAGCTGTAAAGGTCCTTGGTAACCTTATCAACATCAGTGAAAACTGTCAGAGTAAATTGGAGAAGACGTAGGAGGAAATTGGAAGTAGCGGATATAGACCACAGTGTCTTAGGCTTTAAGATGTAGAAATAAGATGGATATATTGCTGAAATACAGATTCTGATTTAGTATGCACTGGATGAGGCTTGAAATTCTTTTTATACCAAATCCCCGGTGATGTTAGTGTTGTTGGACCAGTGACCACATGCTAAGTAGTAAGAGTATAATTAACTCTTTCATAGAGGTTTATGAATGGAGCAGAGAAATGGGGTGGTGTAAATTATCATTAATCTAAGATATAGTATTAGTTTTTTGATAGCACAGATTATTGTAGATGACATTTTTGCAAAAGTAGAGTCTGAAAGGGTCTGTGGAAAAACTATTATAATTAATGTGTAAAGTTAACAAGAGTTTTGATCAGGTTAGTACTACAGAATTCAACCATATTTTTACGTTCTAATACAAATAGAAAATGAAACAGATTTAATTGCAGCAGCATCTGAAGTAGCAAATCAAAACTTTTCAACAATATTAAAGTAAAATTACTCTTAAGTGATTGTACTTCATTAATTTTGACACTTTTGCCCATTTTAACTTGATTATATCTATTGAAAACATCTTAAAATATTTTTTAAATATAAATTTTTTTAATTTCTGAATTTGTGAGTATAATTAAAAAAAAAAATCAACTTATATGAAAGAGGGAGAAATATGGAGATCTTCCATTCGTTGGTTCTCTGCTCAACTGGCTCTAATAGCTGGGGTTGGGCCAGGCCAAAGTCAGGAGCCTAGGTGTCTGTTCAGGTCTCCCACGCAGATGGAAGCAGTTTGATCACTTGGGCTGTCTTTTTGCAGCTTTTCCAGGCATGTTAGCAGCGAGCTAAATTGCAAGTGATACAGCCAGGACTCAAGCCAGTGCTCGCTTGGGATGTTGGTGTTGTAAGTGGTGGCTTAACTGGCTGTGCTATAATGCTGGCTTTGTGTCCTTTTTATTTAAACAGAGTACAAACCCTTCCTCATGTTATGTTTTTCATGTATGTTCTGGAACTAGGGCGGTTGAAGAGCCTTACTCTATTGTGTAGGTAACAAAGTTTTGTTCATCTGGGTTCTAGTAGAGAGTTGCTTGCATTGCTTCCTTCCTGTCTTCTCTTGCTATCAAGAGTGTTTCACTGCTTGAGCGAATATCTGAGCATGTCCCACATGCGCGACTTGGGGTGGGTGGGAAACCGGGTGGGGCTTCTCCCCTCAATATCCCCCTTTACCTCAGATACATGAAGGAAACAATATGGAAATAATAGTCTTACCCCCCAAAGGAAAAAAAAAAAAACAGGGACTAAAGCAAAAAAAAAAAAAAAAAAAAGAGTGTTTCCGTGAGTAACTATACAATTATTTTTCTTTTTTTTTTTTTTAAAGATTTATTTATTTATTGGAAAGTCAGATATACAGAGAGGAGGAGAGACAGAGAGGAAGATCTTCAGTGCGATGATTCACTCCCCACGTGAGCGCAACGGCCGATGCTATGCCGATCTGAAGCCAGGATCCAGGAACTTTTTCCGGGTATCCCACACGGGTGCAGGGTCCCAAAGCTTCGGGCTGTCCTCGACTCCTTTCCCAGGCCACAAGCAGGGAGCTGGATGGGAAGTGGAGCTTCCGGGATTAGAACTGGTGCCTATATGGGATCCCGGCGCGTTCAAGGCGAGGACTTTAGCTGCTAGACCACGCTGCCGGGCTCCAATTATTTTTTTTTTACAAAAAAGTTTTACTTGTTTGAAAGAGTGACAGAAAGAGACCGGGGGAGAGAAGGAGGGAGGGATGGAAGGAGAGAGACAGATATGGATTAGTCTTACACCTGCTGGTTTGTATCAGCCAGGATTGGGCAGGCTGAATCCTGGAACCTGGAACTCCATCAGGATCTAGCACATGGGTGACAGGGACCAAATACTCAGGCCACAATCTGCTTCCTCGCAGGCTCATTATCAGGAAGCTGGATCAGAAGTGAAGCTCGGATTCCATCCCAGACTTAACGTGCTGTGCCTGAATCTTGTTTTTTGTATCACTGGAATGGGATACATTTTTTTTTTTTTTTTGGTTAATATCACAAATAGTTAAGAAACATTTCTGGGGGGTGGATTAAAGAGAAAACATGTATATAGTTTTGTTAGATATTGTTAGTGTTCCCTGTGCTGAGGTCATGTCATTAACCCCCCCCCCCACCCCGGCAACACTTGAGAAAGTGTTTTTCTGCAGCTTTGCTAACTGAATATGTTGCCAAACTGTGATTTTTTGTTAATATATTGTAGAGGAAATGATCTTTCAGAATAGTTTCAACTTATAAAATATTTTCAAAAACTTCTGTCATTTAAGATTTATGGATTTATTTGAAAGGCAGAGTTATAGAGATAGAGACATACACAAAGAGAGGTTTTTCACCTACTGGATCACTCCCCAAATGTCTGCAAGCCAGAGTGAGGACCATCTGGGTCTCTTTGTGGGTGGCAGGGGTCCAAGGACTTTGGCCAACTTCTGCTGCTGTCTCAGGGGCTTTAGCAAGGAGCTGGATTGGAAGTAGAGTATCTGGGACTCAATTTGGTGCTCACACATGGGATGTTGGCGTCATAAGTGGTATCTTTTTTTTTTTTAGATTTAAATTTTTTTTTTTTGTAATTGGAAAATCAGTTATACAGACAGAAGGAGACCCAGAAGGGAAGATTTTCCATCCAGTGATTCACTCCCCAAGCAGCTGCAACAGCAGGAGCTGAGTTGATTTGTAGCCAGGAGCCCAGAGCCTCCTGCAGGTCTCCCACACAGGTGCAGGGTCCCAGGGCTTTGGGCTGTCCTCGACTGCTTTCCCAGGTCAGAAGTAGGGAGCTGGATGAAGCAGCGCTGCCAGGATTAGAACTGGTGTCCATATGGGGTCCCAGCACGTGCATGGCCAAGATTTTAGCCACTGAGCTACCGTGCTGGGCTCCATAAGTGATAGCTTAAACTACTGTTCCACAGTGTTGGCTCCCCAAAATTTAGAGAAGATTGGTATATACTTACTGAGAAAAACTCAGCAGTACAAAAGTACATACCATGGAAATGTTTTCTTAATGTTTCTATTCTCATTCATGGGATATAACACTTGTAAGTTTAATAAGACAAGCGCACAAAGCCAATAATATGTACACATTGTTTTTAAGAATGAAGCAGGGGTCACTGTTGTGTGGTGGGTTAAGAAGCTGCCTGTGATGCTGGAATCTCATGTCACCTGTTTGAGTCCAGGCTGCTCCACATTCTATCCAGCTTGCTGACAGTGTCTCGGGAGGTATTGGGATCTCTGCACCCAAGTAGGAGACCCAAAAGGAGCTCCTGGCCCCTGGCTTTGGCATGGCTCAGCCCTGGCCTTTGCAGCCAGAAAACGAACCAATAATGAAAGAATCTATCAGTGTTTCTTCCTGTTTCTCTGTGACTCTGCCTTTGAAATAAATAAATCTTTAAGAGAATATATGCTGTGAGCTGTCAAGTGTCTTCACCAATATGGAGAACTGGACAAGGATGGGAGAAACACAGTTGTTACTTTTGTGCGTTTTTAAATTCTAGGTACTAGGTAAATATATTATCTTTTTTTAAATTAAAATCATTACTGAAGACAAATGCAAGTGTTTTAAAGATTCTCATACTCTGAGTTGAGATGGCGGGGTGAAGATTTTCTCAAAAGTATTTGAGTTTTACAAATTAATGCTAATCATATTTTGGAACCTATATTGATTGTCTTTAGAGTTAATTTGCTGCTATGCTTTTAACATGTGAACCCAGGAACTGTGCTGTACACACTGTGTGTTCTTTCCATGCAGCGGTTACATGGTAATGGGTGACTCTTTCAACACTTCCTTATTCAAACAAACTTTTCAGAGAGTCTTTACCAAGGATATGCATGGACAGTTTAAAATGGGCTTTGGTGGCACATTAGAAATAAAGGTAAGAATCAAAATTTGATATTTCTGTTAATGTTGATCAAAAGAGAAACTTTCAGACTTGACTGTAATTCTCAAATATCATTAACGAAATTCAGTATTATGCTTTAATAATAATTGTATTGATTTTGTCATCATTAAATGTACAGTAATGAGAACTCATTTGAGCATTTCTGAACAACTGTTACAAAAGTAGAATTACATAGGTAATGGCTCATTTTGCTCTTATTTCTTTCTTAGTGTTGTATATTTATTGATTTATTTTATGATACAGTTCCAAAGGCTCTGGAATATCCGTTTTTCCCTCCCCAAAATCTTACCACACTGGTTTCCCCTATATTATACAATAGTATGTGGTCTTTCATAAACAGTCATAAGTCCATCATTCTATTACTAAGTGTATTCTGATATTGTAAGTAAGGACAATGGCAGAGAGTCCAGTATCCCATTGTCGAGATATATTTAACAGTTTTATTGGAAGTTCATCTTTGATTTGGGAGTAGAGATGCATACTGCATTTTATCTTCACATCTTGATATGATTGTCTCTATTATACTGTTCCTCTGGATGACTATATGTACCTCTCTATGTGTTGATGTTGAATTATGTATAAAGGTTGCCTTAAATCAGAGAGCATGTACGATATTTGTCCTTTGAGGATTGGCTTATTTCACTGAGCATAATCATTTCTAGTTGGGAAATGAAAGATTTTATCTTACTATGGATTTTGTACTTTAGCTTATAGTATAATACATTTTAAATGTTTTAAGATGAAAAAGAATATCACATTTTCATAGAATTGTCAAGTGGACACTTGAGCTTGTCTTTAATGAAACCGAATCTACCATATTCTTACTTTACAGACGTCAAGGGAAATAAAGATTTCAGGAGCTATTGGACCCTGTGTTTCACTTAATTCTAAAGGACCATGTGTATCTGAAAATGTAAGTCTCCTACTTCTGCAAAGAATGTAGTTTGCTTCAGGTTAGAATTACAGACACCTGGCGAGCTAGCAGCCTGTGGAATTTAAACATTTAAAAAAATTACTTATTTTGAAAGTCAGAGTTACAGAGAAGGAGAGGAAAAACAAAGTGAGAGAATTTTCTATTCTTTGTTTTACTACCAAGATGGGTGCAATGGCATCTAAAGCCAGCGGCTTCATCTGGCTCTCTTGTGTGAGTGGCACAAGTCCAAACACTTCGGTCGTACTGATGCCCGGTGGGATGCTGACCTCACAGGGGGTGGTGTTACACACTACACTACAGTGTTGCCTCCACTTTCAGAATTCTTCTGTGGGCTGTTTTATTCGATTCAGTGTCCATTGCCGTATCTGTGTGTGCTTGCTGTTTTTGGTATATGCTTTCCCATCCACCTATAAATGAAACGTTTTGGACTATCATTGGTTTTCTATGTTTTATGCGCAAGTTATTTCTTGTCCCAGCGTACTTAAACAAAACCCTTCATGATTTTGAAATTTAAAGACTTATAAAAGTCATCATTTTGAATGGATTTTTGTTACCAGAATTTTCAGAATATACCTGCATTCTCTAGTTTTAAGTTTCCATTCCTTTCTCTTTATCTCATATAGTGGTTGTAGGGAGGAGCAAATAACACCAAGAGGGTCATCAGCTTTGCAGATGAAAAACAAGTATTTCATAATCACTTTGCAAAGGGAAAATTTATACCTTAAGACATTTTCTTAGAAATCACACTGCTTACAGTTCTGATTCAGAACCTGTATTGAGCCCACTTGGTGATGACTAGTGACTAAATCCTTGCTTTGTGTGCGCCAGCTGCTCTGCTTCCCGCCCAGCTCCTTGCCTGTGGTCTGGGAAAGCAGTTGAGAGTGGCCTAAAACCTTGGGACCCTGCACCCAAGTGGGAGACCTGGAAGAAGATCCTGGTATCTGGTTTCAGATTGGTTCAGCTCCGGCCATTGTGGCCACCTGGGGAGTGAACCAGCAAATGGAGGATCTTTCTCTCTGTCTCTCCTTGTTTCTGTAAATCTGTCTTTTCAATGAAAATAAATAAGTAAAAAACATATTTATATATAAAATATATGACATATTTTATATATATAAAATTTCATGTTTAAAAGAATATATTTAAAGAAAACCTGTTTTGGGGCCCGATGTGGTAGCCTAGTGATGAAAGTTTTAAAGTCCAGTCGAGGACGGCCCAAGGCCTTGGGACCTTGCACCTGTGTGGAAGACTCAGATGAGGCTCACAGATCAGTGCGACTGCTGGGGAGTGAATCATCAGGTGGAAGATCATCTTCTCTGTCTCTCCTTCTCTCTGTGTATCTGACTTTCCAATAAAAATAATCAGAAATAAATCTTTAAAAAACAAAGTTAATAAGTACATGTTTTGCTTGTTAAATCAGTATCTTTCTACAAAGATTAAATGATTGATTAAAGGATAATGTTAGTTGTAATGGTTCTATAAAGCAGCATGTGCTCCTCAAGGCAACAACTATAAAAAATTAGCATCAAGATTCTTATAAATTACTTAGAAAAAAATTGATATTTTATGATAATTATATTGTGTAACAGTTGCTTTATCTTATTTCATGTTACGTTTATGGCATTTATGAGTTTTAATATTCATTGAATTAGTTTGGCACCTGAAAAGACATTTGTTATTACTGGATTTTGTCTCTCCAACTTTCCTCTTTAACATATGGAATACTGATCAGTTGTGTCCTGTGACTTTTAACATACGACGTTGTATTTTTATAGGAAATAGGAACAGGCGGCACTTGCCAGTGGAAGGTATGCGGACTCAGCCCCACTACAACATTGGCCATATATTTTGAAGTTGTCAATCAGGTATGTTTGAGTATTAAAAAGTAAGTAGGTACTTAATTTAAGCCATGACTATTTCATATTTTTTATTGTAAGCATGCAGAGTTTATCATTTAATTTGCGTTTCTTATTTGTTATTTTCTGTTTTTCAAGAATAAACTTTTTGGTGGAAGACAAATGCCAAAGCATAGGCTGCCCAACTTTCAGTTTTAGTTTTCTTTGTTTTGTATGTATTGTAGCATAAATAAATTATTTTAAATTCTCTTCTAGCTTTGCGATCTTTTGGTTAAAAATCTGTGTCCTGGTTGTCACAGTTGTTTTGGTATATTGTGTAAATTCTTCGAGAGTCAATAGATCGCTATCAGTAAAAAAGTGAAGAAGGTACTATATTTGGAAAGATTTTCTTTTTGCTACAGGAGGAAATAATCATATTAATAACTGTAAAGTACTGACTTATTTCCCAGTAGTTACTTGATATAAAATTAGGTACAAAATATTAATAGCTACCATAAGATAAGTACAGGAGTTTTTTTTATTAATTAATTGCATTAGGAGTTTTTTTTTAACCAATTAAAATATTGAAAGTTAGTGGCTCTTTTTGACTAATAAAAATACAAATCCACAAAACTTCACACAATCAAAAATAAAACAAGAATGTCTGCAAATGTCCCAAGCAAGTTTCCCCATTGACCATTCGTCACTTCTTTGTGATAGTCTCATCATTTTATTGGTTTCTTCGTTATGTGTTTTCCACTGCTCAGCTCTTGATCATGTGCTCATCCTACTGAGTTCTTTGCTCATTTTTTCTTTTCTTTTTGATCATTTTTCCTTTATCCAATTTCAGTTGAGCTTCATTATCCTCATGTAGGCCTTTGTGAATTTTTACAAGTTCTTCCTGTTGTTTTGTTTTCCGTGGCCCTCTCAGTTATATATTAGTTGTAAATTGATTCCCCAAAAGGACTCACTCAAGTCTTCTCATCCTTTGTAATTTTTCATTGCTCTCAAATTAGTTTCTTCTGTTTTATGTGGCAAATCATGACTGCTTTGTAAGTAGTAAAGACAAGCACCTAATCGATATAGAAGCCAATGTGTTAGTGTTAGGCTATGTAGTCTTGATCTTATGTACAGCAGATCGATTAGTTTCTGCTCTGTTTTCTCACAGCATAATGCTCCAATTCCTCAAGGGGGGCGTGGTGCCATCCAATTTGTGACACAGTATCAGCATTCAAGTGGGCAGAGACGCATCCGAGTAACCACCATTGCTAGAAAGTAAGCTGTGTTTATTAGAGATTTAGTTTACTAAAACTACTAGTAACTTTTTTCATTTTCAGAATGATTTTTAATTTTTAAGGTTAAACTAATACACATGGGTAATTGGTATTAAGAATTTCACAAATAAAGAGTTTAAAAATATGGAGTGGGGTTGTTCACTGTGGTCAGAGTGAACAACCTTTAGTAGAAGTGGATGTCTTATTTTAAAACTACTAGTAACTTGTAAGAGTTTTAAATGAAACTATTCTCTAAGTGTTCTTTAGGCAGGTAATGACTAAAGTGAGTGTGCATTCATGCAAAAAACCATGTGAGGAGGAAAACTGCTCACACAACCCTCTAAAGATAATTGGAGAAATTTAAATGTGGTCTCTATTGGATGAAAATGTCATTGTTAAATATCACATTTGCTAGATAAAGTTATGTGAAACATCTTTTAAAAATTCATGGAGAATCCATTTTACAGAAAAACTGCATGAATTTCATTTCTTTTTTACATAAAAAAACTTATTATTTTTAATTTTTTTCAAATACTTTATTTTTATTGCAAAGTCAAATATACAGAGAGGAGGAGAGACAGGAAGATCTTCCATCTGATGATTTATTTCCCAAACGGCTGCAATGGCCGGTGCTGTGCTGATCCAAAATAGGAGCCTGGAGCCTCTTCCATGGCTCCCACATGGGTGCAGGATCCCAAGGCTTTGGGCCATCCTCACCTGCTTTCCCAGGACACAAGCAGGGAGCTGGATGTGAAGTGGGACCACTGGGGTTAGAACAAGTACTCTTATGGGATCCCTGCACATGCAAGGTGAGAACTTTAGTCACTGAGCTACAGTGCTGGGCCCTAAACTTAGTATTTTTAAATTGTTTTCCCGGGTCTGGCAGCGTGGCCTAATGGCTAAAGTCCTTGCCTTGAAAGCATGGGGATCCCATATGGACACCAGTTCTAGTCCCGGCAGCTCCACTTCCCATCCAGCTCCCTGCGTGTGCCCTGGGAAAGCAGTCAAGGATGGCCCAAAGCTTTGGGACCCTGCACCCGTGTGGGAAACCCGGAAGAGGTTCTTGGTTCCCAGCTTTGGATTGGCTCAGCACTTGGTCATTGCAGTCACTTGGGGAGTGAATCATCAGACGGAAGATCTTCCTCTCTGTCTTTCCTCCTCTCTGTATATCTGACTTTGTAATAAAAATAAACAATATCTTAAAAAAATTATTTTCCCATCAGCTTTTTTGAAGGTTCTTGTATAAAAGGTTATCCATTTTTTTTTTTTAAATTTGTTTGTTTTATGAGAAAGTCAGATTTACAGAGAGAAGGAGGAACAGAGAGAGATTTTCTATCCGCTGTTTCACTCCCCAAGTGGTCACAGCGGATGGAGCCCATTTGATCTGAAGCCTGGAGCTAGGAGTTTCTAGGTCTCCCATACAGGTGCAGGGTCCCAACTCTTTGGTCCATGCTCGACTACTTTCCCAGGCCACACGTAGGAATCTGGATGGGATGTGAAGCAGCTGTGATACAAACTGGCACCTATATTGGATCCTGGTGCATGTAAGGTGAGGATTTTAGTCACTAGGTTACTGTGCTTGGCCAAAAGGCTATTCTCCCATCCAAATACTAACCAGGCCCGGCCCTGCTTAGCTCCTGAGATCAGATGAGATCGGGTGCGTTCAGGGTGGTATGGCCATAGACCAAAAGGCTATTTTTAGGAGATATACACTAATATGTACATGTGACATGTATATTGACTAATGTAATGTCAGTAGCTGCAGTTTAATCTTGAAAAGCTGTGCAATGGGGCCCAGTGGCGTGACCTAGTGGCTAAAGTCCTCCCCTTGAACGTGCCAGGATCCCATATGGGCGCTGGTTCTAATCCCGGCAGCTCCACTTCCCATCCAGCTCCCTGCTTGTGGCTTGCGAGAGCAGTCGAGGACGGCCCAAAGCTGTGTGGGAGATCTGGAGGAAGTTCCTGGTTCCTGGCTCTGGATCGACATAGCACCGGCCGTTGCGCTCACTAGAGGAGTGAATCATCAGATGGAAGATCTTCTCTATCTCTCCTCCTCTCTGTATATCTGACTCTGTATATCTGATACAGGATACTTTTAGTTATGGTTTTTTTTTTTTTTTTTTGCCTTTGGTGATTAAAGACCACAAGGAGAATTTCCCTGACGTTTCATTCATTTTCCAATTTATTAAATCAGAAAAGCTTTATTTTTGTATTTTTGTTGTTATGCTTTTACACACTTGAAGAACTCAACATTTTTTAAACTTTACTGAATATTTGGGTTAAAAAATTGTTTTAATGTATTTATTTAAAAGGTAAGGAGGTTGGGAAGGAGAGAAAGAGAAAAAGAAGAAAAAGAGAGATTGAGATCTCCCATGTGCTGTTTCATTCTGCAGACACCTGCGGCAGCCTGGACTGGGCCTGTTTGAACCTGGGCTCTGGGAACTCAGGTGTAGGCCATTGAGAGAACAACCCAGCAGACTTAGGAGTGTAGCTGCTGGGACTTGAACCCAGGCACTCTGGCTTGAGATTTGAGTGTCCCAAATAATGTCCTAACTGTTGTGCCAAGTGCTTCCTCCCAATAAAATTTTGAAGTCAGATCCAGTGATTTATGTATCTAAGTGTGTTAGTCTTGAACACATGTATACTGTTAGGTAATATTGAAGTTTTAAAATATTGATGCAGCTTTTGGATTTTTTTTAATTTAAATCTGTGGTAGCCTTACTGTGATGTTGTGAGTACAGTAACTGAGCTGCTTTTCTGTACTTCGTGTTGTGTCTAGCTGGGCTGATGCTCAAACTCAGATCCAGAACATCGCTGTGTCTTTTGACCAGGAGGCAGCTGCCATTCTTATGGCCCGGCTTGCAATCTACAGAGCAGAAACGGAGGAAGGGCCAGATGTGCTCCGATGGCTGGACAGACAGCTCATTCGACTGGTAAGAAGAAAATGCTCTCTGAGTTTGTGTGCTTTCTCTTATAATAGCTTTTCAGCTGATTTTAACCATAGTTAACGGTCTATTTGAAATACCGTATGAAGGATTCCCAGTCAAGTAGCACAGTAACAAACAGAAGAATTTAGTTATCTTCCTACAAATTAGAATGGGCTTTTTCCTTAAAAGTAGAGAATGGCCATTATATAACCTGTCATTTATTTAATTTTAATTTTAAAGGAAGAGTTACAAAGAGAGAGGACAGAGACAGCTCTTCTTTCTAGTGGTTTCCTTTCCAAATGGCCACACTGACAAGGGCAAGCCGGGAGAAGCTGGGAGCCAGAAGCTTCTTCCAGGACTCCTGTGGGTACAGGGGCCCAAGTATTGTGCCATCTTCTGCTGCTTTCCCAGTGCATTAGCAAGGGAGCTGGATCAGAAGTGAACAGCTGGAACCTGAACTGGTGCCTGTGTGGGATGCTGGTACTGCAAGGTAGCTTTACCTGCTATCATATAATGCCAGTCCCCTATTATTTTTCTGTTTTGTGGGGTCTAGTGTGAATTTAATTCCATATTTAATTCTAAGTTTTTATAATTGTTTTTACTACTCTTTAATGTGTTTCTTCATTGCTGTGGTTTCAGTTTTCTATTTTCATTTTAATAGAACTATGTATGCATGTCTTTAAGAAATTTATGCATAAAAATCTTACCTGTTAAGGTAGAAAAATTTAGACAAATCTTGATCATATGGATCTAGATTACCAAAGTTTGTGCTAGCAATGCTGACTTTTTTCTAAGATTTATTTACTTTTATTGGAAAGTCAGACATACAGAGAGAGGAGGAGAGACAGACAGGAAGATATTCTGTCTGCTTGTGTACTCTGTGAGTGGCCACAACAGCCAGAGCTGAGCCAATCTGAAGCCAGGAGCCTGGAGGTTCTTCCGGGTCTCCCATGTGGGTGCAGGCTCCCAAGGCTTTGGGCCATCCTCAACTGTCTTCCCAGGTCACAAGCAGGGAGCTGGATGGGATGCGGGGCCACTGGGACATGAACCAATGCCCATGTGGAATTCTGACATGTGCAGGGCAAGGATTTGAGCCACTAGGCTACCATTGCTAGGAACGACTTACTATTATTTTTTTAATATATTGCGAACTTATTACTTATGGAAATTAGTGGATTTCACTAGGCTTAAGTTCTTGATGCTACATTTAAAAAAAATCTATTTCTTAAATGTTTGTATTTATTTCCGTCTACTTAAAGGATGGAACAACACAGAGAGAGGCAGAGGCAGTGATTGGTTGTTTGCTCTTCTATCTACTGATTGATTTCTCAATGCTCACAGTAGCCAGGGCTGGGCCAGACTGAGACCAGGAGTCCAGAATCCCTCCCACGTGAGTGACAGGTGCCCAAACACTTGAACCATCATCTGTTGCTTCCCAAGATGGATTAGCAGGAAGCTCAGTGGGAAGCCGGAGTTCAGACTGGCACTGCAGTGGCAGTTGTGGACATCCTGACAGCTTAACATGTTGTGAAGAAATACCTGTCCTGATGCTCTATTTTTTTTTAAAGATTTATTTATTTATTTGTTTTAAAAGCAGAACTATAGAGAGAAAAGGAGAGTGCCAGGGAGATAGATCTTCCATCTGCTGGTTCACTTCCTAAATGACCACAAAGACCAGGACTATGCTAGGCTGAGCCAGGACCCAGACCCAGCTTCTGGGTCTCTGTGGGTCTTTCATCTGGGTCTCCCTCTTGGGAACAGAGGTCCAGGGACCTGGGCCACCTTCTGTCGCTTTCCCAAGCACATTATCAGGAGTGTAGGTCATAAGTGGAGCAGCATACTGGTACCCATTTGGGATGCTGGTGCTTCAGGCAATGACTGTACTCTCTGTACTACAGCACTAGACCCAATGCTCCATTTTTAAGAGAAATTTTATTGAAAGTATTTACTGGAGAGGCAAAGAGACAGTGTGTGTTGCCATCTGCTGGTTCATTCTTATATTATCAGGTAGCTGTAGGAGCTAGAGTACATGTTGAATGCAGGTACTTCAATATGGGACTTCAGCATCTTAACTGTAAGGCCAAACATCTGCTGCTCAGTGTTCCAGATTTATTCGGAGAATGCTGGCTTGTTATTTCCTTTAAAGTGCTTCCTCCTTAGCTCTTCAGTTCAAACATCTTATTGAGAACACTCTACAAAGCTATCAGATTTCTCTGTATGGTTTTTAGTGTTGTTTTTTGTAAGTTCCTAAAATAGTCATTTTTTAAAGACTTTTAAATTTTTTATTGGAAAGACTGTTACAGAGACAAGGATAGAGAGAGGGAAAATTCTTCCATCTCCTAGTTTACTTTCTGGTTTAATTCTCAAATGGCCACAATAGCAAGAGCTGAGCTAAACTGAAGCTGGAAGCTAGGAGCTTCCTCTGGGTCTCCCATTTGGGTAAAAGGGATCAAGGAATTGCACCATCTTCTGCTGCTTTCCCAGGCTGTAGGCAAGAAGCTGAATGGGAGTGGAGCACCTGAGACACAAACTGTGCCCATATGGGATACCAGTGCTGCAATCAGAGTCTTAGCCTATTGCATGACACCAGCCCAAAGTCTTAAGTGAGCTAGTTTTCAACAATACATGCCATTGTATAAATGGCATGTATTTATTTATGCAAAGTGAGTATGCGTATTTCACAGTACAGATTTTTAAAAAAAGATTTATTTATTTATTTATTTTTATTGGAAAGTCAAATATACAGAGAGGTGGAGAGACAGACAGAAAGATCTTCTGTCTGTTGATTCACTCCACAGGCAGCTGTAACAGCTGGAGTTGAGCCAGTCCAAAGCCAGGAGTCTGGAATGTCTTCCATGTTTCCCACATGGGTGTAGGGTCCCAAGGTTTTGGGCCGTCCTCTACTGTTTTCCCAGGCCATAAGCAGGTAGCTGGATGGGAAACAGGATGGCCGGGATTAGAACTGTGGCCCATATGGGATCCTGGCATGTGCAAGGCGAGGACTTTGGTTGTTGGGCTACCATGCCAGGCCCCATAGTACAGATTCAGGAACAGATTTATGCTTTTTTTCTCACCCATTCTCCTTTTTTTTTTTTACAACCACATTTTTTTCCTTTTTTTTTAAGATATATTTATTTTTTGAAAGATTTACAGAAGGGGAAGAGACAGAGAGAAAGATCTTCCATCCACTTATTCCTCAAGTGGCCACAATGGCTAAGCTGAAATGGTGTGAAGCCAGGAACCCAGAACTTGTAGTCTCCTACTTGGGTGCAGGGTCCTTAGGCCTTGAGCTGTTCTTGACTGCTTTCCCAGGCCACAAACAGGGAGCTGGATGGGAAGTAGGGCAGCTGGGATATGAACTGGTGCCCATATAGCATCCAGGTGCATGCAGTGTGAGAACTTTAACCCGCTAGACTATTGTGCTGGGTCCCAATGGCATATTTCACTTTGCAATCTTGGGTTTAGCACTACTTTGGGTGAAAAATTCAGCAGATACAAAGTGGTAAAAAGCATACTGTTTTCTAGGATATAGACAAAGTCTGTAAACAATAAGCAAATCTCAAAATGTCCATCTCACTCATATAGATTACATTTTTAAAATTCTGTATAGAATTGCAGATCAGAGAAAGCATTTTTGTCCTTCTGGGACTGGCTTATTTCACTAAATGTAATGATTTCCAGTTGCATCCATTTGTTGTACAAGACAGGATTTTATTATTTTTTGTGGTTGAGTAGTATTCCATTGTGCGGAATACTACACTTTTTAATATAATTTTCCTCATCCAGTCGTGGATGGACATCTGGTTTATTCAGTCTTGACTGTTGTGAAGTGAGCTGCAATCATGAGTGTACAAATAACTCTCTTGTATGCAGAGAGCCACTTTTATAATAGCATCTGGAACTTTTTTTCATCTGTGAGATTTGTTTTATATCAGCACTTCTTTCTATAGAAAGTAGCATTGTGATAATGATAGCATATTTTTAACTAGAGATTAAACTTCTCAGACTCAACCATATGTACAAATGCCAACACAGTTCCTTCAATACAGGCCTTTTATTTCGAGATTGTAAGATAAAACATGAAGTATATTTTTTGTCCTTTGCTTGTTTAGGGCAGCAGAAAAGTTTGTTATTGCAGCAAAAAGTTTTCTTGAAGCTCACTATCAACTAGAGACCTCAGATGACACTGGTGAAACCTGCTAACTCATCACTCTGAACAGAGAAGCTGTTATTTTTCAGGTTATTACACAAAGCTCTTCAGTATCCTGTGATGGGTCATCAGTACTTTCAGCTATGGGACTGTTTTGAACTGGAACCTATTTAGTTTCTCAGATTACTGAGCAGCTGGAACTTGACAGTGCTCTAGTATGAGATGCTCGTGTGGCAGGTAGTGGCTTAGCCTGTTGAGCCACAGTGTTGGCCTCTACATGGAAATTGGTAGCAGGACACTTGGTTGCTGTCCATCGCTATGGGTGGACATGAAATATGCTGAGTTCAATTTAAGAAAAAAAATAATAAAACCTCTTAAAACGATTTGTTGCTAAAAGTCCCTGTTATATGTAAATGAAATCGGTGAAACTGTTGTTCATATTTTTCCTTTAATTGGTCAAATTAAACTGGTGTACACTTGCTGTGAAGCCTCACATGATGACAAAAAATTGTCAAAAAATAGATTAATATGTATCTAAACCTATGGATGTAGAAATGAAACCAAGGGCAGGAGCCATTAAAGAAAAATGATAAAAGTCAAATTGATAAAAATACTATAGTATTTAATGTTAACTTTTGTCATTCTAAAAATTCTTTGTTTTTTGTTAATCTGATTTATTTGTTTCTTTTTGTGTGTGTTTAGATTTACTTATGTAAGAGGAAGAATATGAAGGAGATAGCTTATGTTCAATGGTTCACTCCCTAAATGCCTACAACAGCTAAGGCTGGCCCAGGCTAAAGTCAGAAACCAGGAATTCCATCCTATTAATCCCAAGTAGGAGGCAGGAACTCAAATACTTGACCGTTCTCTCCTGTCTTTTCAAGGGTGGTTGTTAGTAGGCAGCAGGATCTGGATCTCCCAGACAGGTTGCAGGGACCAGACACTTGAGCTATCTTCTGCTTTTCTGATGACATTAGCAGGGAGCTGAGTTGCAAGTGGAATAGCTCGGAGACAAATGAGCTGATTTTCAGCTCAGACATATGGGATGCTGGTTTTGCAGGCAGCAGATTTATCAACTATGCCACAATGTGTTTTTCTTTCAGAGTCTTACAGGGCTCATTATTGAGCTTTTTTGGTCATTATCTAACAGTTTTTTATTTGCTGCAAGAGACACTTTGTTAAAAAAATTCAAACATTTTGGATTGAGTTATTGCTGCCTGTATGCAAAGTGTTGCTTCTGAAGTATAGATTTTTTGTTGCTGTTGTCATCAGTGTCTTAGTGAGTCTGGGTAGTATTCTAATTTAAGATGCTTCAGAAGGTACACATATTGATAACAATTTTTCTTATATTTAGTGTCAGAAATTTGGAGAATATCACAAAGATGATCCGGGTTCCTTCAGATTTTCAGAAACATTTTCCCTTTATCCACAGGTAAGTAGATAAAAGGTCTGTGTTCTTGTGTTGCCAGTAGTATTGGATCTTAGCTCCTCTGTGATTATTTTTGTCTTAATATTTATGCACTTCATTTGGAAAGTCAGTTTTAGAAGGAGAGGGAGAGACAGTAACAGAGAAATCTTGTCTGCTGTTCACTCCCTGAATGGCTGTAACAACCAGAGCTGGGCCAGTCCAAAGCTAGGAACCAGGAGCTTCTTCCATGTCTGCCATGTGGGTGCAGAATCCCCAGGACTCTGGCCATCCTTCACTGCTTCCCAGGCCATTAATAGGGAGGTGAATGTGAAGTGGAGTAGCTTGAACATGAACCAGTGCCCGTATAGGATGCTGGGACTATAAGCAGAGGAATAGCCTGTTAGGCCTCCATACCAGCTCATGATTTTTTTTTTTTTTAATTGGAAAGGCAAGTATACAGAGAGAAGGACATTCAGAGAGAAAGATCTTCCATCTGCTGGTTCACTCTTCAAGTGGCTGCAGCAGCTGATCCAAAGCTAGGAGCTGGGAACCTCTTCCAGGTCTCCCACATGGGTGTAGTGTCTCAAGGCTTTGGGTCATCCCAAGCCACAAGCAGGGAGCTGAATGGGAAGTGGAGCAGCCAGGATACAAACTAGTGCCATTATGGGATCCTGGTGGATATAAGGCAAGGATTTAGCCACTAGGCCATTGTGCTGGGCCCATGATGTTCATTTTTTAATACTCATTATTATTATTATTAATAGATGTTGGTTTCTCTTCTCTTGTTTTTATTTTAATTGGAAAGTCAGATTTACAGTGTAGAGGGGAGATAGAGAGGATGATCTTCTGTCCATTGATTCACTCCCCAAGTGGCCTCATGGGCCAGAGCTGTGCCGATCTGAAGCCAGGAGACTCTTCCAGGTCTCCCACGTGGGTGCAGGGTCCTAAGGCTTTGGGCTGTCCTCAACTGCCTTTCAGGTCACAAGCGGGAAGCTAAATGGGAAGCAGGGTGGTCAGGGTATGAGCTGGCACCCATATGTAATCCTAGCATGTGTTAAGGTGAGGACTTTAGCCACTAAGCTACCGTGCTGGGTTCTCATCTGATTTTTTAATATTCATTTTGTTAGGGGAATTTTAATAGCATATGCACTATCATTTAAATATTACTTATTTATTATTTCAAAGGTAGAGTGTCAGAGAGATGGAAAAACAAAAAGAATCTTTGATCTTTTGATTCAGTTCCTAAATGGCCAGAATAGCTTCCCTGGACCAGACTACAGCTGGGAGTCTGGTCCCACGTAGATTACAGGGGTACAAGTACTTGGGCCATCATCTGCTCCTTTCCCAGGAGTGTTAGCAGGGAACTGATTTAGAAGTGGAGTAGCCAGGACTTGAACTAGCATTCTGCTCGGGATGTTGGCATGGCAAGTGGCGGCTAAACCCACTGACCCCAATGCCAACCCCAGTATATGGTATTTTTATATTGAATTTGCAAACAGTTATTTATTTGTGGTAAAGAGACACTTTCAGTGGCACCCTACTGTGAGTATAGTTGGATAGAAGTCTGGGTTTCCAATTGATGTAAGTGGATCTATTATGGTGGTACAAAGAAGACTTTATCTGAAGTAATTTTAAAAAATTTTAAAAAAATTACAAAATCTCCCAGCATTCTATCATCATCTAAGCACAGTTTAATTGGGCTATCCCAGGTAAATAAAAAGAAACATTTAAATTATTTTTTGGAGCCATGGGGGCTCTCTCCATGTATCTATCCTTCAGTTTGATGATTTTTAAAGACTAGGTTTATACAGTAAGCAAGTCACAGAGGTAACATTTACTCAGCTGCAGCCAACAGAACACCTTGTACAAAGAACTTTGGGAGTGTAGAGATGTTGTGGGTCCCATTTAGAAGGAACTTCCGGTCTCCAGCATGAGATCAGAAATACAAATAACACAGGAAAGAAGCTGGAAAATGGTATGCAAGATACACAGAATTTAAAGACAGCTTAAAAGAATCCTCCCAAACAGGTGATATAATCTGTTTTTGTCAAGGAGTTGGCATTTTGCCTCAGTCTAGAAGGGTGTTACTCTTGAAATGTAGAAATTCAGCTGCTTGTTCATGGAAGCTTTATTTAAACCTTCAGCTTTCTTCTTCCTTGTGTTTTCAAAACTTTGGAACCTTTTGAAAGGCCACAAGAGTAAAGGAAATCTCCATTCTGAAAGCATTCAGCTAACATTTACCGATTAGTAGTTCTGTGAATAAATAGGAATGAAGTAGTAAGAGCTGAGTGAGTTTTTTTTTTTTTTGGTTGTTGACCTGATGCGAGCAAAGGAGAGGAGTGTCAGAGTGGCCAGTGACAGGAGAGAACTGTTGATGAATTCCAGGAAGAAGTCACATGCAGGCTCTTGGACTTGAAGATTTAAGACAAGTGACTGAGAACAGAGTGCAGTTCTTTAGTTTCAGCTGAGCCTGTGGGTTGTAGCAAAGGCTCATTGTAGCTGTTGTTTTAGTCAGCCTTCCCTCTCTTCCCCTGCCGGACCTCTGCTTTTTTGTCAGGATTTATTTACTTGAAAGGCAGTTTTACACACACACACACACACACACACACACACACACACACACACACACACAAATACATGCTGTGGTTAGAGAGATGAATTAAAGCAAATACTGATAACATTTTGGCATCAACTTCTAAATAACTTAGGTTCACACACTGTTTTTGTCACTGATTTTTCCTTCTGAGTCACCTCTGTTACTTTACTTTTTTTTTAATTGATGTAGAATTATATTTTTAGGCAGTTGAAAAATACCATTAAGATTCCTTTTTAATGCTAGGGCAGGAGGTAGACTGAGTAAGGCTGGTTCATGAACCCACTGGTAAGCATGAAACCTGGTATTGGGAGAGGTTCTGATAGAGGAGCCTGGGCAACTCCTCTGGCAGGACACAGACCTGGCAGGTAAGCGCAAGAAACATGATAGGAAACAGCCTAGAACAGGCCATGGAAAGTTACCCAATGGCATACAATTGGCAGGGGTTGGGGGAAGACCAGGCTGAATCTGTCCATGTCATCCACTGGCAAATCCAAGCACCAGAACAGTGTGGGTTGAGCCAGGTTCGGTCACAACAAAGGCTAGTGCACAATACAGAATGCCAAGGTGAGGTTGCCTGTACGGGAAGGGACCACAGTGCCCAACCAGCAAGCCTGAGAACAAGGAAGGGAAGGGGCAGAGCCGGCAGGGGAATAAGGGAGGGTTCCCTTGCTGGACAGCTACTCCCGCAGGAGAGCGTGGGCTGGGGTGGGGGTAGACCAGACTAGGCAGGGCTACAACACCCGTGAGCCTCATGTGGACTAGATCAGGGAAAAGCCAGGCTGGGCTGATTATTCCTACTGATGCAAACAAAATTAGAGTGGGTGAGGGTTGTTAGAGCTTAGCTGCAGCATCAGCTGGCAGAAGCTGGCACTGGGAAATAGTTCTGTCAAGTAAACCACAGAACTATCTGGAGGGTGCATAATCTTGGAGTGGGAGAGGCCTGGGAGGGAAATAGTGGGCTCCTCCCTCTTGGGTTACCACTCTCATGGGAGGGCATGAAAACTAGGACAGGGACTGGGGTGGAATGGGGTGTGGGTCAGACTGGACTACTGCTACACATACTGGCAAACCAGGGTAGGGGGTGGGCCTGGTGGGGGTTATTGTGGGTTGCTCCAACTAGGCTGCAGCTCCCACTGGTTTATGCGAGGACTGAGTATATGCTGGGCAGTACCAGGCTGGACTGCAACACCCATTGGTTCCAGTGGAAGTCGGAAGTGAAAGCAGAACCAACCCAGCAATTGCAACCACCAGCTGTTCGGTGTGATGGACTGTGCCAGGCCCTGTACTTGATAGTACATACAAGAATCTGGTCTGAGAACACCTCAGACAAAGTTTCTTTGGAGATCTCCCCAATCAAAATGCTGGACTCAGAACCCGAACCAAGAAAAGAGAGAAGACAGAACAGGTCAACCAACCATCTCAGCTATATCTTGGCAATGAAATATGGGGCAAACAGACTCTATGATGGACTATGTCAATCAGTGGATTCTTCAAGGACCTCATAGTGCTTGGAGTAGCAAGATTGGCAGCGATTCATAACTGTTGAAATATCGAATCCACTTGAGCAAGAACCTCAGAGCATGCCCTACATCTGGGACCTGGGGAGGGTGGGAAATTGGGTTGGCCTTCTCCCTTAATGCCCCCCTTTAAATATGAAGGAAACTATGGAAAAAGTACTAGTCTTACCCACTTTCCTGTAGCCCTTGAACCTTTTTACCCTAATTAACTATATAAAGATTGTCAAAATATTAAAAAAAAATAGAAAAAAAAGATTCCTTTTTAAAAAAGATTTTTTAAAATTTTTATTAGAAAGACAGATTTACACAGAGGAGAGGTAGAAAGACATTCCGTCCATTAGTTCACTACCCAAATGGCCACAGTAGCTAGAGCTGAGCTGAGCTGATCTGAAACCAGGAGCCTCTTGCAGGCCCCCCACACGGGTGCAGGCCCAAAGCCATTTTCCACTGCTTTCTTAGAGTACAAGCAGGGAGCTGGAATGGAAGTGGAGCAGTTGGGACACGAACCAGCACCCACATGGGATTCTGGTGCTTGCAAAGTGAGGACTTAGCCATTGTGCTGGGATCTATCTAAGATTCCTCTGTGGGGAATGCTGTTTACTGTGTTCTTATAATTTTTTAAAAAAATAGTTGTTTAAGAGAGAGATAACACTGCATTCATCCCCATATGACTGCAGTGGGTGGGGCTGAGCCAGGCAGAGGCAGGGGTCTGGAGTTTTTTTTGGGTCTGCTATGTAGGTACAGGGGCCCAAGCACTTTGGTCATCAACTGCTGCTTTTCCAGGCACATTAGGAGGCATCTGAATCAGAAGTGGTTCAGCTGGGTCTCAAATTGGTATTCACATGGGATGCTGGCTCTGCAGGCATTGGCTTCATTTGCTGAGCCACAGCACTGGCCTCATGACCTGTTTTTATTTTGTAAATAGTTGTAATATTCAGATACTTTTGTAAATAGTATACTATTGCAACATTAGAATCTGTAAAAGTGATGTCACTTGTTGTATCTTACAGTTTATGTTTCACTTAAGAAGATCTCCTTTCTTGCAAGTTTTTAACAATAGTCCTGATGAAAGTTCCTATTATCGTCACCATTTTATGCGTCAAGATCTGACACAGTCTCTGATCATGATTCAGCCTATTTTGTATGCATATTCCTTCAGTGGACCACCAGAGGTAAGAGTGCAGAGCAACAAGAACCTGATCTTGTTATTGTGATGTGCAGCTATAGGCATTTAATTAAAAGAATACCTATCTCAAGCTATTTGTGTTTTAACTGAAAATTATTTGTGCTGTATATCTTGCTAGTCTGATTCTAAACTATCCTAAAATTATATTAAGATGGAATAGAAGAGATGTTTAGATCATTTTGTCTAAATATTTGCTCAAATCTTTTACAACTTTTTATATGTAACAATTTGTAGATCCGACTATGAGTCTATAGTCTGTCACTTATTCTAGAAGTTAGTGTCTAACAGGATAAAGAGCTTTCTATATTATGTAATGTTATTTTCCTTTGGTCTTTTGAAAAAAATGAGCTACTTTTGTTTATAAAGATACATACTGAAAAGTTATTAAGGTCACTCAGTTAACATTTATGGCCTACTTATTTTGTTTTTTAAATGTTATTTATCAAGAGAAGGAAACTGACAAGACAGAGAGCATCCTCAAATGCTCATTAACATCATGGGGTAGAGGGCTGCAACTTGGAATTGGATCTCAGTCCAGGTCTCCATGGGTGGCAGGGACCTAATTAAAACTTAAGACACCTTGGATGAGCATTAGCAGGAAGCTGGGGTCTGGAGTGGGGCTGGAATTTTAACCCAGGCACTTTGATAGTACTACAGGCAGCTTAACTGTTACAGCAAATTGAGAAATGACCGTTTCTCCATTCAGTAATTATAATGGTCTGTTTTACCACTACAATGTATGTAGTGGCTATATTTGAAATGTTAAGTGTAAAGGAAAAAAAAATTATTGATCATGATCCTTTATGATGCCTCCCTCACTATTGTGTGAACTAGTGAGTAATATGTTTTATTTTGTTATTACAAGCTGTATTTATTTGAAAAGTAGAATTAGAGAAAGAGAGAGAGCGAGCTCTTTTATCCCCTTGTCCCCTCCCTAAGTGACTAGAGTGGATGAGGCTGTGCCAGGCTGAAGCCCGGAGTCCAGAGCTCAGAGCTGCTTCTGGGTTTCCCTAAGTCCATGGACCTAATTGCATTGCTTTGCTAGGTACATTAGTAGGAATCTGGGTTGAAAGTGGAGCAGCCAGGTCTTGAACCGTCCCCTTAATGGGATGCTGGCATGCTGCAATTTTTTTTGGTCAATTAGTTAAAAAAAAAATTAAATGTATTAGTCTACCAGTATATTTTTGTCTCTTAGTTGTTTAAATCTGTTTGAGTTATTTCCCCATTTTTTAGTGTAATTCATGGAAATTGTGACATCTGAAAAATGTAGAATGATGTTTAGAAGAAAATTAGAGCTGCATCATCTCTAAGGCCGGTTCCCATCAAATTCCAACTTTATTTTGTCCATGAATCCCACAAATTTTGTTTTGTTAAGGCTGTTTGGAGTTGCCTTCTTTCTCTCCTTGCTTGTGCCATCACTTCCTGTCTATTTGTATCATTCTCATCGACATAGAAACTTTTAGTAGCACTCATGCCAGTATTAAAAAAGAAAACTGACCAAAAGAAATCCTACTTTGACCCCACATTTTTTAAAATTGTCATTCTATTTCTTTGTTCCTAGTCACAGTTAAAAAGTTGCTTTGCTGTCTATCTTTTCTTACCTCGCATTCTCTTCTCAACTCTTTTATTAGACCTGTAGTGGTCCCTGTGCTAGTCAACCTGTGTTCGCCCTAACAGTATTCGGAAACAGCTCTTGTTGGGACTAGAAACATCCCACAGCTGCCTCATGAGCTCGCAGCAGCATTTCTGTAGTGGCTCTTTGCTTGAGGCCTCGGTGATGCTGCCTGCTGATTGTATTGTCACTCACTCACTGTGTCTGTCTTCCCAGTCTCCGGGTGCTAGCTTCTGTCTTTCAGACCTTGTTGGCATGCTTCAGGGCTTAATCTTTTGGTCTTCCTTATCTTTCATCTAACTCGTACTATCAAATCTCATACCTTTCTGTGAGCAATCCCCAAGTACATGTCCTCAGCTGACATCACCCTGGTTTCATGTCTTCCTGTTTGGTTCAGGCTTTCCTTATCCTAAGTCCCTCCCACGTCACTTAGTTGTGCCCCATCAGGCTTAGGAGTTATCCTTTTTTTTTTTTTCTTTGCTTATAATTGTTAGATCTTGTTAAAGAGATTACTTAGGAAATTAAATATGCTGAGATAATTAATAATAAATTATGTAGTGAATTATAAATGTACAATTTGGAAAGTTTCTTGGAAAAATCCATTATGTATCTTTAAATAGGAAATTTCTTTTTTCTTTTTTCTGTTCGGATTGTTTTTCTACTAGCCGGTTCTGCTTGATAGCAGCAGCATTCTTGCAGATCGCATTCTTCTCATGGACACATTCTTCCAGATCTTGATTTATCATGGGGAGGTAAGGTTCTAAGCTAAGCATAGTTTTGTGTGTCTCAGTCATCAAGAGCTGTTAGATGTTTGAGGAGATAGATACGTTTACCCTACTTGAACTGTGTAAACATGTGTTGAAACATCACATGATATCCCATAAATGTGTACAGTTTATGTGTTAGCTAAAAAGGAAAAGAAAACTAATAAAACTATGCATGTGTTAAGTCTTTTTACTTAGGGAGACTTCTTTTCTTCCATTGTATGGCTAGTGTTTCAGGTGTAGCAAGCTTTGAATTCCACTTCTGTAAAATATGTGTCAAGTGTAATCCTTAGTACTAAAGATTTTGGGGCTTCAATTGCAGTTGATTCAACTGTGATTATTTTGTTCACCTGTCTACACACAGTTGGACAAATGGAAATATTTATGAAGCACAGTGGGTTGTTTTGTTTATATTTATCAGAAAGGCAGATTTGCAGAGAGAAGGAGAGACAGAGAGTAAGATCTTCTGACCACCGGTTTACTTCCAAAGTTGTCACAATGGCCGGAGCTGAAGTGATTCGAAGCCAGGAGCCAAGAGTTTCTTCTGGGTCTCCCACATGGGTGCAGGGTTCCAAGGCTTCGGGCCACCCACAACTGCTTTCCCAGGTTACAAGCAAGGAGCTGGGTGGGAAGTGGAGCAGCTAGGATATGAACCGGTTCATGTATGGGATCCCAGCATGTGCAAGGCAAGGATTTAGCTGAGCCATCATGCTGGATCCATGAAGCATGGTGTTGTGAAAGTAAGAACAATGACACAGTGACATGACACTTCAGCTTAAGCCTAGAGACACTGAGAGGCTGAAAGTTGGCCTTGCTCAGCAGCAGGCTTTCCTTTTCATTCTTGTAGTCATTGTAAGTCAGTTTTAGTGGTGTGCCAAATGATCATAAAAACTTTAATAAGGCAGAGGTGAGTTAAAATGTACAGCTTCCCTTAATTGGAATGGTTCCTGATTGAAAAGAGCAGAAAATACTAGAGTAGTGTTCAGAACTCTGCTCATTCTGGCATTTATTAGTTCAGCCAGAATTTAAGTGCTTTGCTTTGTATAAAATGAATTGCACTCTTGGAGCTTTGGAAGATAAATGGTTTTTTTCACATACCTGCACTCAAATTTATATTTAGTATTCTAGTAAATTGTATAGATTTAGCTTTCCATTTGCTTTGTGAATGATCTTAGATCTTACTATAAGAGTAAATGAATTGCTCAAAATTCCCCTATAAGTAATATTTTCAGTACTTTTAAGATTTACTGACTATAATTACCTAATTATATTTAATTGATGTCAGTTTCTAATATTTTAGTGACTTTTTAAAAGGATCTATTTATTTTTATTTGAAAGGCTGAATTATAGAGGGAGAAAGAGACAGAGAAAGACAGAGATTTTCCATTTGCTGGTTCATTCCTCAAGTGGCTGCAGCAGCCAGAGCTGAGAACCAGGAGACTCTTGAAGGTCTCCCAGGTGAGTGCAAGGGCTCAAGGACTTATAGCATCCTCCACTGCTTTCCCAGGCCATAAGCAGCGAGCTGGATGAGAAGTGGAACAGCCAGGACTTTAACTGGTGCTTTATGGGATGCTGGCACTGTAGCAGAGGCTTGTCCTACTGTGCTGTGGTGTTGGCCCTTAGATTTTAAGAATAACGGCTATAATAGTGAAATGCTTGACGTTTTACTGTAATTTTATCTTCGAATTGCTTATTGCTAATGTACTTAAAAAGAAATGAGAAGGGGCCCAGCATGGTAGCCTAGTGGCTAAAGTCCTCATCTTGCATGTGCCAGGATCCCATATGGGTGCCAGTTCATGTCCTGGCTGCCTCACTTCCATTCAGGCTGCCTGCCTGTGGCCTGGGAAAGCAGTAGAGGATGGCCTAAAGCCTTGGGACCCTGCACCCTCTATTTTCTGGTTCACTCCCCAAATGGCTGTAATGGGTTGGGGTAGGCCAGGCCAAGGCCAGGAGCTATAGACTTAATCCTGGCCTCTCACATGAGTGGCAGGGCCTGAGCAATTGGGCTATGTTCCACAGATTTCCCAGCTGTGTTAGCAGGAGCTGGATGGAAATTGTAGCAGCTGGGACTTCAACCTGTGCTCTATTATGGGGTGCTGGTGGTATAACCAGTGGCTAACGTACTGAGACGCAATGCTGCCCCCATTCCTTGGTTCAATGGAGATTTACAGCTATACAGAGTGATTCAGTTACCTTAGACTGAAACCAGCTTGAAGTTCTAGGTGATTTAATTAGGTAGCTTTTACAGCCATTTGCCTTGATAAAAGAACCGTTTCAGTTCATCTCCTATATGTAAGTGACCTTTATAATGCTATTGCTGTTATTATTAAGATTTTTGTGTTTATGTGTCTTGTCAGAATGTTACTTCATTGATAAGGATGTTTTATATTGCTAATTTTGAAGCCTGAAAAATCTGTAACAAAAATCTTCTTTATATTGCTTAAAGGTAGATGGATAACTTTTATTTTTGTAAATGTTTATTTTTATTTGAAAGTCAGAGTTGCAGAGATAAGAGAAACCGATTTTCTATGCACTGGTTCACTCTGCAAATGGCCACAATGGCCAGAACTGAGGTGATCTACAACCAGGAGCCAGGAACCTCCTCTGGGTCTCTCCCATGTGAGCATAGGGGCCACATGGAATAATATTTGCTACTAATTGTGTCATTTGCAAAAAAGTCTTAAGATTTTTGGATAGGTAAGAAATGTAAAACTAATTCTTTCATTTGATTTTAAATTAGACGATAGCGCAGTGGCGGAAGTCAGGATACCAGGACATGCCGGAATATGAAAATTTCCGCCACCTTCTGCAGGCGCCAATTGATGATGCACAGGAGATTCTTCATTCTAGGTTTCCAATGCCGAGATACATTGACACTGAGCATGGGGGCAGCCAGGTGAGTAGTGTCCGTTTCTGTTTCTTTGTCAGTAGTTCTGCAGTTCAGATGTTGCTGCTGGCCTTCTCCCTTTCATTTGAGTAGAACCTCACAGTGCCAGCGGAAGGGGAAGGAGCTAGGAGAAGGGGTATGCGGCACTTGTTTTCTCATTAGCTTTGGGAGCAAAGGAATGGGGTGTTTGAATAGTTGCCTAAAGTTTTTATCACAGTCTGGATGACATTAGTTAAGCAGGAAGATGTGAAGAACCTGGGAAAAATGTAACGTACTTTTCTTAAAGCTGTTTGTTGGGTGGAAAAGAATATGGGGCTTGGAGTAATTTTTTTTTCATTTTTACTTATTTGATCATTCCAGTTTCTACAATGCAAACAGTCAGGATTGAGTTAGAAACAATATATATGCACTGTGCTCTTGAGACTTAGAATTTTAGGTTGAGTCCCTTTAACGTACGCTCTTATATGCCTCTGACCTCTCCCTGGTAATGCTTAGCAGATTTGTAGTAACTCAGTAGTTATAAGGTGTTACATGTTTGTTCCACTTGTTCCTTGAAGACAGGGACCGTGTTTTGTTTATTGCTGTATCCCTACCTCTTTGTGCAGTATTACAGCATCAGGGACTGTTATTTAGCAATGGTCACAATTGTTATTAGCGTTTTTACCATAATTACTGTATTTCTCATGAGTATACTGTACTGCTCTCATGAGTTGAAAATTTGCACAGTGCATGCCTTTTCTCATTTGATTCTGTTAAGAATTCTGCAGTAATTTCATTTTAGAGAAAATAAACTGGTTTAGGCTACAGATGGACAAGAAAATACAGTAAATGGAAAAACTGGAATTTGAATTCTGGTGTTCTGATGCCAAGGCTGGTGCTCTTGACTCTTGTGTTAATACGATTACTGAGAGTTAAAGAAGGTTTATTTAACTGCCTGCTTTCTTCTGGTATGACTTGAAAATTTATGGGTCATTCGCTCATTGTTGTCTCTACAACATGTATTAAAAATTTACTTATTTTTATTGGCAAGGCAGACTTAGAGACAGATCTTCTGTCTGTTGGTTCACTCCCCAACTGACCACAATGGCCAGAGCTGATCCAACATGAGCCAGGAGCTTCTTCTGGGTTCCCCACACCAGTGCAGGGCCCTGAAGCTTTGAGTCATTCTCGACTGTTTTCCCAGGTTACAAGCAGGGAGCTGGAAGGGAAGTGGAGCAGCCAGGACATCAACTGGTACCCATATGGGATCCTAGTGCATGCAATGAGAGGGCTTTAGAAACTAGGCTACCACGCTGGGCCCTATTATTTGTTTGTTTGTTTTTTTAAAAGATTTATTTTACCGAGAGAGAATGAGAGACAACAAGCTAAATCTTCATCTGCTGATTATCCCCTAAGTGATTTTTGTGAAAGAGCTGGACTGCTTCAAAGCCAGGAGCCAGGACTTCCTTCTGAGCCCCCACCTTGAATTTCTTCTGTAGCTTTCCCAGGCCATAAGCATAGAAGTTGATTGGAAGTAGAGCAGCTAGGACAAGGATTGGGATGTGACCCGCCAATATGGGATGCTGGTACTATAGACAGAGGATTAGGTTGTTACCCACTCTATTGGCTTCTGTTACTCTTTTGTTCTGATATATAAAGGGCTGGTACCCTGGTATAGCAGGTTAAGTCTGCCCTTACAATGCCAGCATCCTGTATGGATGCAGGTTTGAGTCCCATCTGATTCACTTTTGATCCAGCTGCTTGGTAATGTTCCTCAGGAACATCCTGAGAAGGATATGGTCTAAATCCTTGGGTCTGTGCACTCACATGGGAAATCCAGAAGAAGCTCCAGGCTCCTGTCTTCACACTGGACCAGTTCTGGCTATTGTGGCCATTTGGGAAGAAGCAGATGGCAGATATCTCAGTCTTTCCTCTCTCTGTAAATCTTTCAAATTTAAAAAAAATATTTTTAAGAAGAAAAAGAGGAGAGCAGCCAAGACTTGAACTGGCAGTCCAGTATGGAATGCTGGCATTGTGATTGTGAGTGGTAACTTAGACTACTATACCACCTTATACTTAGATTGACATAATTTTTTAAAAAAGATTCTTTTTTTTTGAAAGGCAAATGGCCACAATGGTTAGAGCTGATCTGATCTGAAGCCAGGAGCCAGGAACTTCTAGGTCTCTCCTACATGAGTACAGAGGCCCAAGGACTTGATCTATCCTTTGCTGATTTCCTAGGTCCCAAGCAGGGAGCTAGTTGGGAAGTGGAGTAGCTGGGACACAAGCTGGCATCCATATGGGATGTCAGCCCTGTAGGCAGAGGTTTATATGCTGTCATCATGCCTCCCCCAACATAACTTTTCTGTGCTGATTTTTGGATTTAATTATTTTTATTTTCTGTTATGTATTAGAAGTGAAGAATACAGTTATTATTTATATATAATAGTGGTCTGCATGTTTCAAAATTTGCCAAATCTTTTTAAAAGATGAAGTTTAAGAAAATTAATTTTACTAGCACTTGTTAGATAATGATGATAGATGTTATTTATTTATTTATATTGTCTGTATCTGTTTCTAATGGGTAATGTTATTTCTTCTTTGCTTTTAAGGCCCGTTTCCTGCTTTCAAAAGTCAATCCTTCACAGACTCATAATAATATGTATGCCTGGGGTCAGGTAAGTATAAATAGCAGGTCTTAAAAATTACCTCTTTGTGTATATATAGTTTGTCATTTAAATGAGAGCTATATTTTTTCCCTGTGTGTTTAGTAATAATTTCTACTGGAAAACTGGTGGAAACAGTAAGAGTAGAAAATAGTATTTGAGAACGCCATATACAAAAAATAATCCTTTGGAATAGACAGAATCTCTCTATTCTAAGTTTAGTATCACACACTAGAGACAAAAACAATAAAGTGACTGTGAGACGGGAAGTAGTGGTTCAGGCTTACTGTTAGTCTGCGAAATGTAAAAGGCCACAAGAAGCCTGGAGCACCCAGAACTGTGCTCAATCAGGAAGAGTCAGGAAGTCTGGACTCATAACATATTAATTTATTTTAATCTGATAGAAGTATTACCTCTTGGCTTAGCATATTGTGCAGGACTCAGTTATCATGCCTGCCTTTAAAGAACTCATAGTCTAGTATCACATGTAAGATACATACTTATGTAAAGTACAAGAGGAAATGGGAAATGTGCCTTTAGAAAGATACCAGGCATTGGTAAGTGTTAGAAGAAGAAAAGAGGTCACCTGGTGGCAGGAGGAGTGTGGTCAGAAACGAGCTCAGAAGAGAGAGGTTTTACATTATAGAGTGGGTATTTCCGTAAGTGTAAATTGCATGAAGAAGGAAGTTCTAGTTAGAGGATAGTGTGGGCTATGATAATAGAGTGAGGGCAGAGATGAATAGTAGAACATAAAACTGGAAAAGTGCTTTGTGACCAGCTTGGGGAGAATCTTGAATACCAGGTTGAAGACTTCAAAACTGAGTCTTGATTTATAAGTAGTGGAGAGTGGTCGGGAGCTTTTGGACAGAGAATGTTTTAGTCCTAGTGTAATTGATTCTTATAATTAATTGGGAACAGACTATAGACAGGAACTGTATGTGTGTAAGTAATCCAAATGAGAGGGGATGTAGACAAGATGGTAAAGAGGAATAGATTTGGAAGACACTTCAAAATTAGAATCTGTAGAACTTGATTAGAAATTATAGGAAAGTGAACTTATTGTAGGGTATAATGGCTGTACACAGAATCCAGTTTCTGATTGAATCCTGGATTACTGGGAGAGAACAGCTGTCGAATGAATGAGGTAATGATGTTTGGTTATAGAGGAGATTCTCTTTGGTCATAGGAGATACATCACAATGTATTAATGAATAATATTTCATTGTGTCTTCTACTTGCAGAAATAACACAAAAACCAGAAAATAAAGGAAAAATTGATAGAAACAGAAAGCAATGTGACAAAATGTTAAAAATGAGGAAATTTTGTTATGCTGAATGTGGGTATCATATTTCTCCTCTGACTTTTTTTTTATAGATTTGAGTTAGAATAGTTAAAAGTGAAAACAAAGTAATTGGGATATTTGAGCTTGGGTGATTAGGAAAATATGTGCAAGTAAATAGAGGTTGCAGAGAAAATGTTTGATTTTAGGCACACAAAGATTGTGATGCCATCTAGAAAATCATGTTGAGCCTCGATAGAATGGCTATATTGATTATGGCCATATTGAGTGGCTTGCTGGAAACTTGACTTTTGTGGTGGTCAGAGCGTAGATGTGAAGGTTAAACGTGACAGTCAGTGCTTGTCCAACAATGGCATGTAAAATGAGAGAAAATAGCAATGAGACAAAAGCTTGAAGAAGTGCAAGTGCTAGGAGTATTTGATAAATAGTGAGAGAGGTACAAGAGACCGAAAAGAATAGCATGTCCTACAAGGTGAGGGAAGACTTCCTAGGAGCAGGTAACAAATCCTACAGTTCTGCAGACAGGTGAAGGAACATACAGATTGGAAAAAGGTCATGAGTTTGATGACGAGGATGTCATTATGGCCTTTGACCAGCAGTTTTATAATGTATTTATTTGTTTTCAAGGAGTTATTCATTTGAATGCAGAGTTACAATAGGATAGAGAAGCAGCAGCAATAAATCAGGTTTAAGGAAATGATGCTAGATGAGAAGGAAAGGGGAAGGTAAGGGAGGGACAGTCATCATACACAGATGGGGCCAGTGAGCAGCAAGATGAGTGCAGTGCTCTGGGAAGGGAGGTTGGCCCTCCATGCCAGGAAGCGGTGTGCCGAGTCAGGGACAGTGGGTAACCAGGGTACACCAATTCTTCTTTCAAGCAGGCACTTGCTATTTTCTGCCATCTACTTATTGCCACTTTCATAGTTAAGTTTAAAAAAATGAGAGCCCACCTCATACAGACCAGATAAAACACACCTGCCTGTGCCTGTATTTCTGTACATTGAAACGGAGTTCAGTTTATGAAGTTAGTCATGGCAGTGGTGCCTGCCTTCTCCTTTTCCTGGGTTTAAATGACAGCGTATAGATGGAGCTGGTACTTACTGAGTTGTTACACGTGTCATTCTTGGCAGATAAGGATGTAAGCTGCAAGTTGATTTCTTTGCCTTTACTGCTATGTCTGTCGAGTATAACAGTAATTTATGCTTGATTTAGACATTAATACTCAGTAAATGTTGGTTATTAGTTTTTACTGATGTTAGTGGATAGAAAAGTATCTTCCTAGTGATATTTAACAAGGAAGCAGACCTATTTAGGCTTCAAAGTTTAACGATCACTCTGTGGAAATAAGGGCAAAGAGGTCAAACCAAGAGCCCTAAGATGTTTCTTGACCATAATTTTTAGAAGTTATGTTAGTATTTTGATAAGCTAAATGTGTATGTACCTAATCATAGGACAAATTAATTTAATCTTTGTTGTTACAGCTAATGTTTATATTTTTATGTGTTTTATTTATCAAAAAGAAAAAAACCTTATGTGAGGTAGATGCTATTAATTCTGTTTTTCAGAAGAGAAAATTGAGGCTTACAAGTGAAGTTACCCAAGATCAACTGGTCGAAGTCAGATTTTAACCTAGCATGTCTGGAGTCAGATCTGGATATTTCAATCTATAAGATAATTTGATATTTTGATTTTAATTTAATTTAACTTAGGATTTAATTTAACTTTAATTTAATTTAAATTAAAACCTTTGGCAGCCAAACATTTTACTAAAAATTAAAGCTTGTTATCCTCAAGTGCCAGTGACAAGTGTTATCAGTGAGTAGCCAGAAGAGGGCACCACTATCACACTGCTTTGCTTAACTGGTTGGTGGAGGCCTCTGTTGCCATAGTGCTTCAAAATTTAAAGTGACAAAGCTCGAACCTTTCTGGGTAATCCTGGATATGTTTTAAAGAGAAAATTTTAAAAATTCAGACAACCAATTACTAACTTTTGAAAAAACAATTGAATTAGGCATTAGTATTTATAATTTTAAGTGAAATGTGCAGCATATAAATTGGAAGCTTTGTATCTGTTTTGGCTTATTTAATAAGGAGCTAGGATTGGGTGATTAAAAGGGGAAAACAAATAAAATGAAAAAAAAATTAGGAGTAGTTTCAACAAGAGCCAACAATTTTCAGTGCTACAGGTCATGTTTTTTAGACTTGCACTTCTCTAATTCTGAGTCAGATGTGGAATAGAGAGAAAGGTTAAAAATAACAGGTTTTCAAAAGAAATAGTAATAAACATGTGTGTGCCTACTGTTTTGGCTGTTACTCTGCTTTATACAGTGTAAGTCATTTAATCTTCATAGTTACTATGAGATGGGTCCTGTTCTCTTTATTTTACATTTGAGGAAGCTAACACAGAAGCTGATTATATAACTCTCCAAGTCGTGGGGAGGTGTGTGTGGGTGGGCGGGGAGAAGGGACCGAGCCAGGAACTCACACAGGCAGGGGTCCCCCAGCCCCCATCTTGCTGCTGTTAATCCAGCTTGGCTGCCTTCCTTCCTTGTCAGGCCTTTCACGTTCTTGTGAATGAGCCGACATGACATCAAATTGATTTTACTTTATTCAGGGAAGGTTATGGCATGTCTGTGGCTGAACTAGAAGCTCTTCTTACTCATGTTTGCCACTGTTTTGCTGATCTCTAAAAATCATTTTTCCTGAATAGCCTTTTTTGTATTGACATTTTTTACATTTTTTTAAAAGTCTTTTTTTTTTTAATTTGAAAGAACTACGGGGGTGGGGGGTGGAGTGCTTTCATTCACAGGTTCGCTCCCCAAATGTCTGCAACGGCCGGGGCTGAGCCAGACTGAAGCCAGGAGCTGGCAGCTTCATTTGGGTCTCCCACAGAAGGGCACAGGGGCCCAAGCACCGTGGATATCCTCTAGTGTTTCCCCAAGTGCTTTAGCAGGGAGCTGGATCAGAAGTGCCTGCCAGCTATTGACTGCTTTTCTCCTAGCACCATAATACTTGCCCAGGTGTAAGGCTACCTAGACAGTTTCCTTCAGCTGGGCAGCACCCTGAGTCTGGTCTCACATGTGATGGGAGTGGTCAGTGAATCATGGAGACACTCCTGCAATTCCGGGAATTCTAAGAATTTAGAGCTTCCCTTAAGAAATAGGACAAAGACCTTGTTCTATAATGGTATAAAGATACTTAACTTAAAATGATTTCCTTGGGTATTTTAAATATTCATTTGTATGTTGTTTTTCCATCCCAAGGTATCATTGTACACTGTAACCATAACAGATATGTTTTTTGTTTTCCCCTAGGAATCTGGAGCACCTATTCTCACTGATGATGTTAGTTTACAAGTGTTCATGGATCATCTGAAGAAACTTGCTGTGTCCAGTGCCGCGTGAAAAGCTAGACATGTCTGGGACACTCTAAATGATGAAATAATATTACAATTAAAATTGTTTTAATTTTATCTGTCAAAAACAACAGATATCTTGTTAGACTTTTTTTTTTTTCCAATTAGCATGATTTGAGACAACATATGGAAAAATGTTCACATTTGTAGATGAAGCTTATATAACAAGAGTAGTAAGAACAAATTTATTTTGCTTACCACAGTATTATATCTGGTTTTGGAAATCTGAGGTCTTTATAATTCACTTATGTTTAAAAGTATACAAGGAGTCTGCCTTGTACAGCATATAGGACTGATTTATATATTGCAGACAAATCTAAAATGACACTGAATGTCATTGTTGACAATTAAAAATTTTTTTTCTTTTAGCCATAAAGAACAAAATGGGTAATAATGATAAATGTGAACATTTTTGATTATCCAGTGGATATTTTCTGTAATTTTCAGCACCTGCATATACACTTTCCTTGTACTTACTCGATTATGGCAGATTTATTTTTATGATTTGTTTAGGAATTATTTGACTTTATAATACAGTTTTCATGAAGATAATTTAATGTTTTTGGTTATTTAGAAAAACAGGTTAGAGATGAAAAGGTTTTTTTGAGTGTAGCAATCTCACAACTGACAATAAATGTGAAATTCCTTCAAAATACACAACTTAGGTGATAAAATGATGTAAGTTAGTCTTTATTTTTAATAGGGAGATTAATAATTAAGTATTTCATCAGAGTGCGTTTTAGCAAGCCTTTGCAGTAAGATGCCTGGTGTCACTACTAAAGCAAATTTTGTTTCACTGCAAGGTTTTGTAGTTTCCCCTTGTTTTACTAAGGTAAATTTTGCATTATATCCTTCAGTATTTTTAACACTGTTTTGGGAGTTTACATATTACTTTCGTTTCTGCTTTTCTTCTGTGAAATATATTCAGTTATGGTTCTCACTGAAACAGTATTACATATTGTTTGCTTACTTATATCATGTAGTGATGCTGTCATGTCTTGATGTATTCATTAGCATTATTCCCTATTACAGGTTACTTGTAGTGAACATGCTTATATCACTAAGGCAGGAAATGATCTGACAATGAAATTCACTTGTTGAGTACTGCAGATAAAGGGGGCACTATGATATATGCTAGAAAGACACTTTGGATGATTGTACTTGCATGAACAATCATGATAAAGTCATAAATAGTTTATATGTTATATTCAGTTAGCTTAAATACATTGCTTTGTTCAGTTTTACTTGAATTGTACTATGCTAGGCCTAAATGCCAACAAAATATACTTTGGTTTTGCTAATTTTGAAATCTAGGAAAATCCTAAGAAGCCCAGTGTAAAATTATAGCATTTAAAATCTGTTTGTGGGGGGTTAGCGTTGCATAGCAGTGGATTATGTCACTGCTTGCAATACCAGCATCCCGTTTGGGTGCAGGTTCGAGTCCTGGTTACTTCAGTTCCTACCCATTCCCTGCTAATGCAGCTGGGGAAGCAGCAGAAGATGGCCCAAGGGCTTGGACACTGCCATGTATGTGGAAGACCCAGATGGAGGTCCTGACTTCTGGCTTCTGTCTGTCCCCGTCTCTGTTGTTGCAAACATTTGCGAGTGAACTAGCAGATGGAAGATATCTCTGTCTCTGTAATTCTGCCTTTCAAATAAATTTTTAAAAAAAATCTGCTAGTGGATTACAGTTTTGTAAATAGCTTTATTAGGAACAAATATATCAGAAAAAAGCTCTTGGAAAATAGCATTGAAAGATGTTTGTTTTGGTGCAAAAAAAAAATTTAAAATTCAAGATATGGGTGTTTTCATGGTTTATCCAAGTGGGCCCAAAGGAATCACCAAGGTCCCTGTAAGAGGAAAGAAGGAGGATCTGATAGGAATTGCACGTGACAGCAGAGGCAGGAGGCTGCAGGGACATGGAATGGACTCAAGGACAGGGGTGTCCTCTAGAAGCCAGGAAAGATCCTGGAACAGATCCAGCTATTCTTGTTATTAATGTTAAAAAGTAGTATGATGTTACTCAAGATGTCTCAAGAAAATATGCAAAAATATTGTGTGGTGATAAAGTCGGGGAAAAGGGTAAGTAGTAGCTGTGCTTGAGAGATTAATTTTTGAAAAAATTTTTAGGTGTGAGATGCTTTTATAATAAAAATTATTCTGAAAATACAGTAACATACATAGCAAGCTTAGAACTCCCAGATACAAGTAAAATCACAGAAGTCAGTGACTGTTCTAACAGCTCAACCCACAGGTCACACTTTATTTACTTTTGATGACATCAATTTCGTTCACTGCAATGATCAGCCTCCCCACGGTGCGGAGCCGGAGCCGTGCGCACAGGCTGCCGAGCACGCGGGGCGGTGTTAGCATCCCGAGACAGGGCAGGCCTCGGGGTGCCTGACGCACGCTCCCGCCAGGGAAGGAAGCTCGGTGCAGGCCCCGGGACACAGAACCCTCGGATGACCCTCAGTGCTGACCGTGCTCTGCAGACAATCCTCCCGGCCTCAGGTCTGGGGGTCACGGCGAGGTCTCCATCGCGGGCTCTGAAGAGGAGCCGCCCACAGGCGCTGCAGCACACGCAGCCTCCCCGAGCCCGGGCGGGGCGAGGCGCCTGCGCAGAGAGGCCCTGGAGGAAGGACGCTCCCACAGGCCGCGGGCGACGCTGGACATGCCGGGCGACCGGACATGGCGTCGGACTTGGAAGGCAATGCCTTCCTGTTCCCAGGGCACCCCCAAGTCCGGTCAGCCGCTGCCGGGGAGATGGGGTCGGAGGGGTGAGGTGTGGCCCCGGCTTCGTCAGGCCACGCGTGGGCTCGGACTCTGGTGGTCGCACCTCAAACTACGGAGAAGAGCACAAGGGTGGCCCCCTGGCCGGGGGGCAGCGGGAAGTAGTAGTTAAGGTGGCTGCGCATTCACCTCATGGCCTGGATGGACACCGGGCGCCAGCAGCTCTGAGCTCACAAAGAAGTCGACGCGGAGAAGACGAGGCCCGAAGTGGCGCTCCGTGTGCATGGCCTCAAGGGCGGCTGTAGTAGGTACACCCGAGACCTGCTCCGCTGGCGAATACCTCACTCACCCCAAGCAGCTGCCACCAGACGGGCAGGTCCGCCTTGTGCCAACCACATTACCGAATGGCTGGTTGATGGTTTTCTGCTTCATTGGGTACAGTCGTTTACCTTCTCCATGGCGAAGGCGTGACGGAGTCCATGTCCACGGAGATGCTCTGCAGGGAGGATGGCAGCAGGCCATGCCTCCGCAGCACCGGGTCCACCCGGCGGTCCTTGGCTGCGTTTGGAGACGCACCATCCAGTAAAGAGTCAGAGCTGAGGACAGAGGGACAGGCTGGACCACTGCGTTACCGGCTGCCACTGTTCCGTGAGACGCCTTACCGAAATCACTCTTTAGCAGATTGTTGAAAGACTCCACTGACTGCTCCGCTGCTCGGGTGCCCTGGCCGCTGTGACAGGTGTAAGCAGGAGGAGGGGACAGATCCTTAACCTGTTAGTGAAGGCACTGCCGCCAGGTTCCTTAAGCTACAGAAACTTTAGGGCTCCCCAGGAAGACCACGCGGGGCACAGCCATGGGGACAGTGGGGCTTGGGGAGTCCAGTGGCAAAGCTCATGTTCTCCTCCCAATGCGCCAGTGGTGCCCAAGTAAATGTGAAAAACCTCCTTGCTGCTTCAGGACCGCAGCCCTTAACCTTGGAGTTACCGACACTGCTCCTGAAAAACCCGGGACCCGCCCGCACTCCAGGCCCACACTGTCCCACTTCCGGAGCCCGGGTCCAGACGGTGCATTTTCAGCAACTTTCCAGGTGGCTGCTACTGATAGGTGAGTTTTGAAGCTGATGCTCCGGGGCTCCATGCCCTCCTGAGGGAAGTGAGCGTGGCCCCGGGCACAAGTGGTTGGGCAGAGAAACATGCAAGGCCCCAGGTGCCCTGAGGTCACGGTATGGGCCAGCCTGAGAAGTCTGAAGTCCCAAAGTCACAACAGCATGAGTTGCTTACCTATGCCAGAAGCCATCAGCGGGATCAAGAGCAGTTCTGACGAGGGTTCCTGGAAGGCTCAGCTCGTCCTCTTCTGAGACATGAAGGGGAACAGGTAGCAATACCCAGATCAGGTGCTCACTTACGTGTCTAGTTGTTTTGTACTTTGCATAAAGGCTGTCTTACATCAGAGATGATGTAGGATGTGCTTATTTCACTGAGCATAATGGGACCATTTTGTTGCAAATGGTAGAATTTCATTCTTTTTAATGACTGTGTAGTATTCCATGGAGTAGAGGTTTCAGATTTTTTTTTTTTTTTTTTACTTTTTCCATTTTTTAAAATTATATCTTGACAATCTTTACGTAGTTGATTAGGGTAAAACGGTTCAAGGACTACAGGAAAGTGGGTAAGACTATTATTTTCATATTGTTTCCTTCATGTATCTGAGGTAAAAGGGGCTATTTAAGGGAGAAGCCCTACCCAGTCTCCCACCCTCCCCAGGTCCCGGATGTAGGACATGCTCTCAAGGTCTTGGCTCAAGTGGTTTTAATAGTTCAACAGCTGTGAATTGCTGCCAGTCTTGCCACTCCAAGCACTATGAGGTCATTGAAGAATCCACTGATTGACATAGTCCATTGTAGTCTCTGTTTGCCCAGTTTTTCACTGCCAACATGTAGCTAAGGTGGTTGATTGACTTGTTCTGTCCTCTGTCTTTTCATGGTTAGGGTTCTGAGTCTGGCAGTTTGGGGAGATCCCCAAAGAAACTTTTTAATGGCTGTGTAGTATTCCACAGAGTAGAGGTTTCAGATTTTTGTCCATTCCTCTTTTGATGGGCATCTGAATTGCTTCCATGTCTTTGATGTTGTGGATTGTGCTACTACTATAAATATGGGGTTGTGTGTCGCTTTCTCATGTAAAGATTTCCCTGTTTTTGGATATATTCCCGGAAGTGGGATAACTGAGTCCTATGGCATATCATTTTTCAGTTGTCTTAACACTCCATTCTTCTGTGGTGGCTGCACTAGCCTGTGCCCCCCCCCAACAGTGGAGTATGGTATCTTTGTCTCCCAACATCTACGCCAGTAGGTGTAATTAGTAGAGTTCTGAATGTAGGCTATTCTCCCTGGAGTTAGGTGGAACCTCAATGTGTGTGTGTGTGTGTGTGTGTGTGTGTGTGTTGGCTTCCCTGATAGCTAAGCAGCCCGAGCATTTTTTTCAAATTATCATCTGAAGTTTTTCTCTTGAAAAATGTCCGCTCTAAGAAGAAATAGAGAATTTGGAAACAACTGTTTCACTCATTTTCCCCTAACTCTCAATCCTTCCCACCCTGGTCAACCATGGATTCAATTATTTTCATAATTGAAAATAAAAATTTAAAAGAAAAAAATTTCTACTCACTTTCTTCACCCATTTCATACCAGGGTTATTAGTTGTGCTATTGTTGAGTTTCTGAAGGTCTTTGTAAATCCTGGATATTAGTCCCCTATCAGTTGTGGAACACGCGAAGATTTTCTCCCTTTCTGCCAGTTGCCTCTTTACTTTGGGCTGTTAGCATATAGCATCACTGACTGCCACACACCAGTCCACAGGTTTTTCCGTGTATAACATTGTGTCAGCAGTTTCTTCCTGCCCTGACCTGGGATGGTGGTGGCTCCCAGCTGGCCACCGTCTTCCCTTTTTTGTTCTACAGAGTCTTTATTGTTTTTTCACTTCTCTGCTAAAAATTTCTGTCCAACTCTTGGAAACATGATCCTTCCTTTGTTCTTTTAGTATCCCCAGAGCAGCCGAAGTCAGCATGGCTATACCCTATTCAGCCATCTTTATTATCCCCGAAACAATTCAGTGTCTTACCAAACTTTATTTTTAACTGTTTGTCAAATAAATTGATAAGAAGTTGTATTCTATGATAATGATTTTGTGACTTTTAAAACTTATGGGTGAAGTTGGACATTTTTATCATTTGATTTTTGTTATAGTCCTTGCCTATTTTCCTACTGGAGTATGCTCTTTTCACTTGTTGAACTCTTTTTTTGGTAGAGAGACATGAAGCTTTTGACCAAAAATAATTTAAAAATCCTCTCTCTAAAAAATTATGTTGAAGAAAAAAGTATCGCTCACCTTCCCTAGTGGAGTTAAAGATTCACAAAACAATCCTGTGTAACTTATTCTAGGCACTGAACAGTTTTGGGAAAATAGGGCAATACATAAAATCAACATTTTTTTTTCCTAGAGCTTAGTACCTTTTGTGAGTGTAACAAGTCGAAAGGTTACTTATGAGTAGAGATGTCACTCTGAAGT